ACTTATTATGTGACTTGTTAAGCAAATGTTTACTCCTGAACTTATTTAGGCTTGCCATAAAAAAGGGGTTGAATACTTTTTGACTCAAGACATTTCAGCTTTTCATTTTTTATTAATTAGTACAATTTTCTATAAACGTAATTCCACTTTGACATTATGGGGTATTAAGTGTAGGCCAGTGACACAAAATCTCAATTTTATATTCAGGCTGTAACACAACAAAATGTGGAAAAAGTCAAGGGGCGTGAATACTTTCTGAAGGCACTGTACCAGGCGCCTGACGACCAAACACCTCAACGCACACCCTGTCTGTCTCCCATGTTCCCGAGCCAATGTGTAATAACAGCAGTCTCCATTGAAGCATATGTGTCTCATCATCATCACTCGTTAGCATAGCAGCCCCAGCCACTCGAGTAGGGGTTCGCAGGGCTGAAAGCCAGCAGAACACAATACACCACAATGGGCTTTCTGTCTAGGTTTTTTCTCATGTGCCATCGTTACAATGCTAATCCATTGGCGGATTGCTTTGCTGACTGGGGCTGGCTAATAGCAGGGCCTGTGTGACTAGAGGGCTTGCCAGAGAGTTGGTGGGGGAGAGAGAGAGAGGAAAGGGAGAGAGCGAGAGGGAAGGGATAGAGGGAATGGAAAGAGAGGGGAGAGAGATAGAGGCAAGGGTGAGAGAGAGGGGAAGAGAAGAAGATAGAGGCATGGAGGGGAGGAGAGGAGAGAGAGGGAAGAGAGAAGAGAGAGGAAGAGGGCTCCTCCTCTTCCCCTTCTAAAGGGAAGAGGAGGAGGGAAAGAAAGGGGAGGGAAGGAGAAGAGAGAGGGAAAGAGAGAGGGGGAAGGGAGAGAGAGGGGGAAGGGAGAGAGAGAGGAGGGAAGGGGGAGAGGAGAGAGAGGGGGGGAGGAAGGAGAGGAGGAGAGGAGAGGAAAGGGAGAGAGAGAGAGGAAAGGGAAGAGAGAGGGAAAGGGAGAGAGAGAGGACAAGGGAGAGAGAGAGGAAAAGGGAAGAGAGAGATAGGAAAGGGGGAGAGGGAGGGAAGGGAGAGGGGAGGGGAAGAGAGAGGACGAGAGGGAGGGAGAGAGAGGAAGGAGGGGGAAGGCGAGAGAGGGAGGGAGGAGAGAGGGGGGAAGGAAGAGAGAGGGGGAAGGGAGAGAGAGAGGGAAGGGAGAGAGGGAAGGGAAGGGAGAGAGAGGAGAGGGGAAGGGAGAGAGAGAGGAGGAGGGAGAGGGGGGAGAGAGAGAGGGAGAGAGAGGGAGAGAGAGAGAGGGAAGGGAGAGGGGAGAGGAGAGAGAGAGGGAAGGGAAGAGGGGAAGGGAGAGAGAAGGGAGGGAGGATAGAGGAAGGAGAGAGAAGCTGAAGGTGGGAGACGAGGAGAAATGCGGGAGAGAGAGGAGAGACGAAGCAGAGGTCCGCTTCGCGTTTATTTTGGCCGTTCTGGGACTGCACGAGACAGGGAGAGAGAAGAGCGAGCGAAGAAGAGATGAATGCGGAAGGGTTTAGAGAGATGGGAGAGAAAGAAATGGGACAGAGAGGGATGGGAGAGAAATGGTTTGGGAGAGAGAAGGGAGGGGGAGAGAAATGGAAGGGAGAGCGAATGGGAGAGGGAGAGAGAGGTCATTCAAATCAAATCAAAGTTTATTGGTCGTGTACACAGTTCAGCAGATGTTATAGAACGTACAGTGAAATGCTTATGTTACTAGCTCATAACAATGCAATAAAATGTCAAACAAGTACACAAAAAATTAAAAAAATAAAAACAGAACAAGAAATCAAGAAATGTCGCAATGAATCCAATGAACAACCCAAATAGCACTGTAACAGTAATCCAAATGCAATCTATACGTGTATACACCGCATATTCACCGGATATACAACGTGTATACACCAAAACCTTGAGAGCATCTCTAGTAGTGAGAATACAGTCTTATCGTTTGCTTTAGCATAGGCAAAGCGTATATGTACACAGTAATTGGGAATATGAGGCTATCAAGGATGAAAGCTTATTTAGTTGTGGGGAGAAATCCTACTATTCAAATCTATATGGCTACTTCCTTTAATTCATCCAATGCTCCTGTCTAGAGTCACTTCAAGATATATTCAAAGCCTACAATAAGAAATGCTGGACAGCAGTAGAATTGCCAAATGACAAACACTGTACTTCTGAATATAAAAGAGCTTGTTCCATTTGACAGTTCCGCTACAAATATCACAATCATTATTTTCATATCAAAACACATTTGTCGACATTAAGTGAGCAGCTGCTAAAAATAGACGAAGCGCTGAAACAATGGAGCTTGAAGGAGAATAAATTGCGCATTGAGAGAGCAAAAAAGGAGAGAATAGACTGACAGTCTTGCCATGGGAGGACGAGAAGCAGGGTCAGGGAAAACTGGATGACAGATTCTATTTCTTCCTTCAATAAATTCAGCACAGAAGGTCCAGGCAGGGTCCAGGCAGGTCACACTGGCTGGTATTATGTTGTTGTCTGGGGTGATGGAGAGATCTGCTGGAGGGGGCGAGTGAATGGGAAGGTATACGTTTTATAAGTATTTTATTGTATTTGTTAATATTTTTCTAACTTTAATCAAACTACAACTTATAAAGGCTTCATAGGGCAATCATAAAGTCGGCATAAGCACTAAAAGTTTTTTTCTCCATGACATGTTAAGGTGGCCCTCCTAGTTGAATGGACAAGGTGCTTGGATAATGCATAATGATTAATGTAGTGCCAGATTAAAGCAAAGCCAGTTTTCAAGTTGTAATGTAAGATAACGGCCTGGATCGTGCCTCTGGCCACTCCAGATACCAAGTCAATACATGGCCACTTAATGCATGAGTACTCTACCTCTGAACAGTTTAGTGGGTTTTTGTACTGTAATATGGACATAACTCAGCCGGCACAGACCTTTATGGACATTCCAGCCTAAGCAACTCATTAATTCCCACTTTATATAAAATGGATATAAAATGGGTAATTTGGGAGCGGGGCCACATTTCTGTGGGTTAGTTCACTAGTGCAGCGTCTATCGTCTACTGATACTGATTTTTTTTAAAGGGAGCTCTGCTCTGTTTAAATCTGTTTAAATTGGCCCTGAAGTGTGAGATAACTGTGTTTTTTAGGGAAGAGCCATAGAAAAAGCCATAGAAAGAGGGGTGGGGGGGAGGACAGAAGGCAGCCGGCACTTAACCAGGGTTACCGTTCAGTAGAACATGAAGAGCCGCGTTAGCTCTCCTAATATTGAACTTGGAGTTGACACAGAGAGAGGGGTAAACACTCGGTCTCCCAACCCGTGCGGTTCGATGCAGCGGGGAGGAGAGGGGAGCTCAGCGAGCGCCTGTGCTTCAGAACTCATTCCGGAGAGCCCAGTCTTGTGGAACGTGGAGTTTTTTTAGGGGGGAGGAGGGTAGTGGTGCAAAGGGGAGAAAGTGGGCACAGATCGATGGGGAAGATCGATTTTGTGTGTGTGTGTGTGTAGAGAGAGGCCCGGGAGCATGCCCTGCCTCACGCTCCATTGATAGACTAGACTCAGACTCTCATTCTTTCTCTTCCTCTCCTCTTTCATACCCCTGCTGTACTTCTTTCTTCCTCTTCCCTCTTTCTATCACCTTCCCTTTATCCCTCCCTCTTTCCCTCTCCCCTTCACTGTATTTCTCTCTCCATCTCCTACCTTTCTCTCTGCCACTCTGTTTTTCTCCCCTCCCTGTTTCTCCTATTCCTCTCTCTCCCTTTCTCTGTGGTAACTGGAGGACAGCATGCCCGACTGGCTGTTTGAAAGGCCTCCCTGTCTTATCTCTCCAGCGCTAACAGACACCACTTCACTCCCTCCAGCCATGAAGAAAGACCGCCTCAGTACGCTGTGTGTCTAACTCTGGCCGTATCTACCTCACACCTCCCTTCAAACCCCCTGACCCCCACTCCTCAATTTCACTCCACAGTTGGTCCAAGGTAGTCGGTCCAAAGAGAACTCTGTCTGCCTGCCTGTCTGTCTGTCTGCTTGCCTGTTTGCTGGCTTCCCTGTGGTCTGTCTTTGCTAGTGCAACCGAGGAAGCAACGTCCGTTGTCTGTCAGTATAAAGTATTAAATGTGTTAATGTGGAAATCGATGTGTTGTGTTCTTTCCCTCTTATTGACTGTTAAAACCACATTCTTCAATACCAAGGAAACGGTTGGTTTGCTTCTCTTTGGGTCTGGTGCCTTTGACAGGTATCCAATTGCAAAGCGGGATATTGTACTGCGCCTCAAGCAATCTGGTGGCAACCACTTTCTGAGTCTGGTTCTGAAATGGAAGACAATGTAAATCTCTCTCTCCAAACTGTAAAGAACTGGAGGCTTGAAGAGGAGCTACATTCCTCACAAGGCAGAAAGTCCCCACAATTCACAATCCCCTCAGAGTCAATGCAGAATGTTCTACTCTAGTCTATGGTCTTCCATAGAAGACATATCGCAAAGACATTTAAAGAGACAGGAGGAACAGTTTGTGAGGATGTTATTTGAAAAGGAAGTCTGTAGACCACAGTCCTCAAAAGGAAGAAAGACCCCACAATACACAATCCCCTCAATACAGAATGTTCTCTTCCATGGTCTTCCATAGAAGACAAATTGCAGACTTCCTAAGCAACACGAGCAGATTGAATGGATGTTATTTGAAACTGTAGTCTTTTGGATAGTTATTTTTTTCTACCAGCCTTGTGTGGAGTAAAGCGTTCCCAGACACCTAAACCTGATACTTTTCTCCCAGGCCCAGTTGCTGTGCGGACTACAATTCAAATCCGACAGTTTTACTCCGGCTGCACTTTTGTGATGGCCAGTGCTAGTTAGGAGGTCGTTAAGGTGTTAGGGGCGTAGAAAGACTGATTTATCCGTGGCAGTCTTATAAAGCTCTGGGAAGAAGCCTTGGACTCCATAGCCCCTGAAACGAAGGAGAAGCTAGCGAACTTCCTCCACCTCTCCCCCTTTCCCTCCTGTTAGCTGACAGGTCGTTCGTTACTCTGGCGACATGCGTGCGCCTCCCCCTGGCGAAATCGCCATGGCGATAGAGTTCGGCAGCAGGCAGCGACTGCGGTGGAGTGTGGTGAGACCTGGTGTAAATGAGTTTTCTCTCTCCCAGCATGGAGGTGCCAGCGACACTGTGTTCACCTGTCTTCTCAACCTACTAGAGGCTCTCTGTCTAACTCTAACTACACTCATCATCTAGCTTCCCCATAGAGACGGCTTAGAGACCGCTAGAGACTCTCTCCAAAAATATGTCTGGAAAATGGCCGTCAATCAATGTTTTTTCCCCCCCTTTAGTATTTTTAGATCATAACATTTAAATGGACATATGTTGTCATATTGTGGATAGGTTGCAGCTCAAATGTGAAAACATGGCATTACTGCTGCTACACATTGGCTTGGCTCAGGAACTGTCATAGGATAGGTTATAATGTAGATTTTGAATTCCCTCTGTCTCCACCCCATCCCCCTCTCTCACTCTCTCTCTCTCATTGAATTGGGTGTAGGTCATCTCCGTGAGGTGTCATTCAGCCTGTGTACCTGGTTGCTGACCTCATCAGTAGGGTTTCTGCTCTGCTCCCCTACTGTAGCTGCTATGATGTGATCCACTGACTACACTTTCTCTCTCTCTCTCCCTCTCTCTCTCTCTCTCTCAATTCAATTTCAATTTCAATTCAGTTTAAGGGCTTTATTGGCATGGGAAACGTGTGTTAACATTGCCAGAGCAAGTGAAGTAGATAGTAAACAAAAGTGAAATAAACAATAAATATTAACAGTAAACATTACACTCAGAAGTTTCAAAAGAATAAAGACATTTCAAATGTCATAGTATGTATATATACAGTGTTGTAACAATGTGCAAATAGTTAAAGTACAAATGGGAAAATAAATAAACATAAATATGGGTTGTATTTACAATGGTGTTTGTTCTTCACTGGTTGCCCTTTTCTTGTGGCAACAGGTCACAAATCTTGCAGCTGTGATGGCACGCTGTGGTTTTTCACCCAGTAGATAAGGGAGTTTATCAAAATTGGGTTTGTTTTCGAATTCTTTGTGGATCGCTGTAATCTGAGGGAAATATGTGTCTCTAATATGGTCATACATTTGGCAGGAGGTTAGGAAGTGCAGCTCAGTTTCTACCTCATTTTGTGGGCAGTGTGCACATAGCCTGTCTTCTCTTGAGAGCCAGGTCTGCCTACGGCGGCCTTTCTCAATAGCAAGGCTATGCTCACTAAGTCTGTACATAGTCAAAGCTTTCCTTAAGTTTGGGTCAGTCACAGTGGTCAGGTATTCTGCCACTGTGTACTCTCTGTTTAGGGCCAAATAGCATTCTAGTTTGCTCTGTTTTTTTGTTTGTTCTTTCCAATGTGTCAAGTAATTCTCTTTTTGTTTTCTCATGATTTGGTTGGGTCTAGTTGTGTTGTTGTTGTTGTTGTCCTGGGGCTGTGTGGGGTCTCTCTCTCTCTCTCTCTATCTCTCTCTCTCTCTCCCTCTCTCTCTCTCTCTCTATCTCTCTCTCTCTCTCTCTCTCTCTCTCCATCTCTCCTTCTTTCTCTCTCTCCCTGTTTCGCTCCCTCTCTCTCTGTTCTCTGTCTCTCTGAAATGCAATGTGAGGGTTAGAGGTGAGGGTTAGAGGGCGTCAGAATAAATAAGATCTAATTCCCCTGCAGGGTCTCACTTGTGTTCAGTATTGACCCAAAATATGTTTTTTTGACCCTACACACACACACTCATATGCTAAACAAACAGGCTCTCTCACAGACATACAAGCACACATGCACACACACACACAGTCTTGTATAACTAACCTTTTGGGGACACACAATTCTGTTCCATTCAAAATCTTATTTTCCCTAACCCCTAATCCCTTACCCTGACCTTAACCCCAAAACCTAACCTTAACCTAACCCTAAACCTAACCCTAGCTCTTAACCCTTACCCTAAAACTAACTCTAGCTCCTAGCCCTAACCATATACCAAATTCTAAACCTAACACTAACCTTAACTCTAAACCCCCTAGAAATAGCATTTGTCCTTGTGGGGATGTTAACAAAATATCCCCAGTTGGTCGAAGTTTTGTTCGTTTAATATTATTGTGGGGACTTCTGGTCCCCACAAGTATAGTTAAACACATCCATACACACAGGCACACACACACAGGCCCACAAATGCCCACTACCACACAATCCCCCACCAACACAAGGAATCAGCCTTCATTTCTCCTCCTCATGCTCCAGATGATAATGGTAGTGTCTTGAATCCTATCGCCTCATTCGCCTCCTTCTCCCGCTCATCCTCCAGTACTGAGCCTTGTGATACTTGTTAAACAAATCCCTGTCTCTTTCTCTCTTTCTCCCGTCACCTGGCGAGGACCTGGGCTTCATGCTCTGGAGAGATAACAGATTATAGTACCAGCTCACGCATTAATAACCCACTAACCAACACACACACACACACACACACACACACACACACACACACACACACACACACACACACACACACACACACACACACACACTCACACTCCTAATGACAGACAGAAGCTTCGTTTTACATGTTTTACTTTATGTATTTATGCATTCTGCTCCTCTGAATAATCTATTGAGGTTGGTTTGTTGTTTTTCTTACGCAATGCGAAAAATAACATTGGATATAGAAAGAAAAGCTGGGAGTCAATGGTACACTTTATATCAGGAGGAAATTACAATAGTGACAATAGTGAAAACAATCCTATTTGTTTGTGGCACGGTTTGGGTGTGAACGTGCTTGTCTGGGAGTGTGTGTGGGCGTCGAGACAAAGCAGGAATCAGTAAAATGCCCATAATTATAAGGGGGTAGTCATAATCATCTCCTATGCCATGCGTATGGGTTAGGGTTGATTGATAGGATAATGGATGCCGGTAGGGTAATGATGGTAACCCATCCTCACCTCTTTCTATCTATGTATTTCTCTCTCCATCTTTCTCTTTCTCTCTCTCTCTCTTCCTCCTTCCTGCTAGTGAGATGTGGAAGCATAGTGGTTGGAGGATACTATTTCTTATCCCCAACCACCTCTTTGTAACTCTCTCTCTTTGTCCTTAAAACTTTCCTCACTCCTTACTCTCCCTCTCATTTGTCCTCTCTCTCATTTGTTCCTCCCTCTCTCTCTATCTGTATTTCATCCTCATCTCCTCTTTCTAGCAATCCCCTCATCCTCCTCACAGTAATCTCCCCCTCTGCCTCCCCCACTCCTCCTCCTCCTCCTCCCCCTGTCTCTGTCAGGTTAATACTGTCTGTGAGATAGCCACACTCCCAGCTCCTTGCATGCAGTAGTCTTAGGCGAGACAGAGACCAAAACGCTCCTGATCCGTCTCCCTCGCCTCCTAAAACCACCTTCTCCCCAACCTGTAATAGCACTGGAAGCTTGAGTCCTCAAAATACACAAAGTCCCCGCAATCCCCTTAGTATGCTGTGTCTGTCCCCTCCTCTGTTTACAGTTCAAGCAATAACCAGACCATAATGGATAGAGATGGAGACAGATATCAACACTTATTTGCATTTATTAGGCCCGCCATTATAGGAACTCGGGCTTCCTGTTTACCTGATCATTTTTTGCCACACCGGGTTTTATGATGTATTCACCGCTATCTCCTCGCTCCCCTCCTCTGTCTGGTCACAAAATGAAGTGGCTTATAAAAACTACGGCTGATAGAATTCTTGTCATGTTGAAAAGGCACTATATTACAGGGCTGAAGTGAGTGTAGATTTAAGAGGTTTATCTGCTGCGTGTGTGTGTGTGTGTGACAGAGACTAGAGTTATTAGCCTTCAACAACATTACTTTTAGGGTGTCTGTGCATGCAAAAAACATGCGTGAATGTGTATGTGTGAGTCAGAGACCTACAATTATTCGACTTTAACTTTTAAAAATGTTCAAAAACTTGTAGCATATTGTTCACAGTGACTGTTACTCATTAAAACCCCTTAATACCATATGCCAGTTCAGCGCATTGAACTCTCCAGCACACATTACTGCCCATTGTTTTGGGTCATCATCTCAGTTAAAAATGTCTAATGCTAAATGATGATACAATGGAGCTTCAATGCCCCGCAATTACCAGTTAGCAGTTAGCCTATCTACTCTCTAGAAGAGAACATATCTGGAGTGTTACAGATACCAATGGTGAACCTCAGAACCCCACCCCATCCTCACATAAAGACAAATCCAGACATTTTAATCCTGTCTGGTCTTCCCATGTAAAGGGAAGAAATAATCTGCCTATCTTTCTTAAAGGAGCATCCCACCCCCCAACCACAAATATCCATACAAGCGTGGAGACTCTTCTGTCAACAGGCAGGAGAAGATTGCCCAAAACCCCAGCCTTTGAGTGCAAACAGGAGTCCCTCTGTATAGTGAAGATTTTGTGGCTGATTTTCCAGACTCAAGGGTAACACTAAAGCATGTAAAAGAGAGAGACAGCTGCAGTCAAATAAGCTCTTTGAAGAACTACATCAAACGGGCAAATCATCTCCCAGCTATTGGGCGGACTGCAGCGGTACAGGGAGGACGTGAGGGCGAGATGGAGGCGAGGGGCGATGCTTTGTGGTTGGTCTGCTCCATGTGTCTGTGGTAGGGTGGCCGAGTGGATGTGCTGGGTAGGGGGGGCTTTTTTCTCCATTGTCTCTACCTCTCTCTGTCTGTCTCCATCACTTGCTCTCTCTCTTATCTTTCTTTCTCTTTGTCTAGCTCCTCTCCTGCTTGGGGTTATATATACACATTATATATACATTAAAGGATAATACATTAGAGGATTCTGCAAATCAGCTGTGCTAGACAATGCTTTCTTTCTAAAAATTAGCCGCCGAAATTGTCGCAACCCCTATTACTAGCCTGTTCAACCTCTCTTTCCTATCGTCTGAGATCCCCAGAGATTGGAAGCTGCCGCGGTCATCCCCCTCTTCAAAGGGGGTGACACTCTAGATCCAAACTGTTACAGACCTATATCCATCCTGCCCTGCCTTTCGAAAGTATTTGAAAGCCAAGTTAACAAACAGATCACCGACCATTTCGAATCCCACCATACCTTCTCCGCTATGCGATCTGGTTTCCGAGCTGGTCATGGGTGCACCTCAGCCACGCTCAAGGTCCTAAACGATATAATAACCGCGATCGATAAAAGACAGTACTGTGCAGCCGTCTTTATCGACCTGGCCAAGGCTTTTGACTCATTCTTATTGGCAGACTAAATAGCCTTGGTTTCTCAAATGACTGCCTCGCCTGGTTAACCAACTACTTCTCAGATAGAGTTCAATGTGTCAAATCGGAGGGCCTGTTGTCTGGACCTCTGGCAGTCTCTATGGGGGTGCCACAGGGTTCAATTCTCGGGCCGACTCTATTCTCTGTGTATATCAATGATGTCGCTCTTGCTGCTGGTGACTCTCAGATCCACCTCTACGCAGACGACACCATTTTGTATACATCTGGCCCTTCATTGGACACTGTGTTAACAAACCTCCAAACAAGCTTCAATGCCAGACAACACTCCTTCCGTGGCCTCCAACTGCTCTTAAACGCTAGTAAAACTAAATGCATGCTCTTCAATCAAACGCTGCTTGCACCCGCCCACCCGACTAGAATCACTACTCTCGGCGGGTCTGACTTAGAATACTACAAATACCTAGGTGTCTGGTTAGACCGTAAACTCTCCTTCCAGACTCACATTAAGCATCTCCAATCCAAAGTGAAATCTAGAATCGGCTTCCTATTTCGTAACAAAGCCTCCTTCACTCATGCTGCTAAACATGCCCTTGTAAAACTGACTATCCTACCGATGCTTGACTTCGGCGATGTCATTTACAAAATAGCTTCCAACACTCTACTCAGCAAATTGGATGTAGTCTATCACAGTGCCATCCGTTTTGTCACCAAAGCCCCATATACTACCCACCATTGTGACCTGTACGCTCTCGTTGGCTGGCCCTCACTACATATTCGTCGCCAAACCCACTGGCTCCAGGTCATCTATAAATCCCCGCCTTATCTTAGCTCATTGGTCACCATAGCAACACCCACCCGTAGTATGCGTTCCAGCAGTTATATCTCACTGGTTCCCCAAAGCCAACACCTCCTTTGGCCGCCATTCCTTCCAGTTCTCTGCTGCAAATGACTGGAACGAACTGCAAAAATCTCCCGCACTATCTTTAAGCATCAGTTGTCAGAGCATCTTACCGATCACTGCACCTGTACACAGCCCATCTGTAATTAGCCCACTCAACTACCTCATCCCCATATTGTTATTTACATTTTTTTTTTTGCTCATTTGCACCCCAGTATCTCTATTTGCACATCATCTTCTGCACATCTATCACTCCAGTGTTAATACTAAATTGTAATTATTTTGCACTATGGCCTATTTATTGCCTTACCTCCATAAGTTACTACATTTGCACACACTGTATATAGATTTTCTATTGTGTTATTGACTGTACGTTTTGTTTATTCCATATGTAACTCTGTGTTTGTTGTTTTTATCGCACTGCTTTGCTTTATCTTGGCCAGGTCGCAGTTGTAAATGAGAACTTGTTCTCAACTGTCTTACCTGCTTAAATAAAGGTGAAAAAAATTAATAAAAAAAATTATAATATTGATTAGCCAAATCCCCCTCCTTTCCCCTACAACTATCACCACCACCACGACAGGGAAGCCTGTTCCGCCACACGTATCTGGGCCGCGTCCCGCCAAGCAGAGCTGTCACCCCCACACTGCGCTGGCTGACAGCTCCCCAATCCTAATGAAGCGTTAATAAACCCAGTTCAAAACACTGTGTCACAGGGAGAAGCAAGGCACACACACATAAAGGCCCGCAAAGACTGCCTGCCTCCCTGCCTGTGAGATAACTCACACCCTCCTCTCTTTGTTGGCCATCCTCTCCTCTCTGCCTGTTTTATACTATATATTCTCTGTTAGGGTTTTTGTAGTGCAGGGTTGTGTTCTCCTCCTGCTCCACACTACTACTACCATGTCTTCTTCTTCAGCTAAAGTGAATGTTTCAGCATTGCGGTATTCCTTTCCTTTACTACCTGTATTCCTCTTGTTATTATCCCAAGCCTAACCTTGCTGGTGTCTACCACTTCAGTACCGCCTTGCGGCTCAGGGAGACGGGCTAATTGGCAGTGAGGAGCATTCTAATTTAGAAGGTAGCTCGGTGACTTTTCATCTTCCTACTTCTCCGGCCTTTCAAATGATAATAATGTGAAAATGCAGGCAGGAAGTCCCTGAAGTTTTTTGCCGGCGCGTTCTGCTTGTTACACCGGTCACATTCGCCGAGGCAATTTGCCTCCTTGTCTGAGTCTGAGAGGGAAAGCTTATCTGTGCTAACGCCGCCGCAGTGGCGAAGTGCGATGCTCAGAAACTGGACGGATCCGTTAGCATTCAAATCAAAGCGACCCCCTCTGTTCTTTCTTGCCCTTCCTTCCTTGCCTGTCAAGGTGCCTGCTATGGCAAAGAAAAACTACCTCAGACTATTATTATTGAATGTGTTCGAGAAGAGACGAGGAGAATTCTGTTGACTGTCACAAAGAAAACAGAGGCACGCTGGGAAATGGCGAGGACGAGCCGTTGGCTGCAGGCTGAAGGCGGTGGCTTAACACGTATAATTTCACGGTGGCCCATAAACCCGAGTGACAATGTGCTTCCATTGCTAGGCAAACCATGTCCTCCTATTGTGTTTTCATCCTCCATGGTGTCACCCAACAAACAATGGTACATCAAAGACAGTGTGGTTCTTTGGCTTCTGTTAGGATATATTGAATAAGGACGAAGGGGAAGCAAACCAATGTCAGCATAAATCCTTCACTACAGTTGGTAGTGGTGTCGATTGGTTTCATGGTTGAATGATTTAAAATGGCTTAGTATCCGTTTCAGTCACAGAGGTGTGTCAATGCCTCAGTTGAATTTGTATTGATAATCTATACATGAAATACTAAATAAAGTCTTCCCTCGTTCCCAGGGCCATACATAAAATGTATGCTCGCATGACGGTTAGTCACTTTGGATAAAAGCGTCTGTTAAATGTCCTATATTATTATTACTTACACTGACCTTTTGGTTTGCTGTACGTCTTCTTTTCGTTAGTCAATTCACCATTTTATGACCCATGTTTTCAGCTCGTAATAATTTGGCTAGTCTTTCTGAGGTTAGAGCAATACCGAGATTGATTTTATGTGGTAGTTTAATGGTGCACTGTTCTGGGCCTGCATCTACAGTAGAAGACCTTTACTAATCTTTTGGTTGATATTAACTGTCACCAGTTGTCCAGCTCCACTTGCAGTATTGCACTGAAATCGAACTGAAACAAAGACACATTCGTTAGCGACACCACTCAGCCGTGTCTTAAAGCGTTTTGAAGACGAGAGCGGCAGAAAGAGAAATGTGTCAAGATTTGAGAATGAGCGAGAGATATGTGTGAGGCTTTGATCCGAAGACACACAAAAGCACTTCTCTTCCCCAGTCTCTCCTAGCCTGACGACTCACACTAAATTATTCTGCTGCTCTGTCTACATACAGTGCATTCGGAAAAACGTTTCTATCTACACACAAATCCCATAATGACAAAGCGAAAACAGGATTTTAGAAATTTTAGCAAATCTATAAAAAAAATTAAAACAGAAATACCTTATTTACATAAGTATTCAGATCCGAAATTGAGCTCAGGTGCATCCTGTTTCCATTGATCATCCTTGAGATGTTTCTACAACTTGATTGGAGTCCACCTGTGGTAAATTCATTTCATTGGACATTATTTGGAAAGGCACATACCTGTCTAGATAAGGTCCCACAGTTGACAGTGCATGTCAGAGCAAAAACCAAGCCATGAGGTCGAAGGAATTGTCCGTAGAGCTCCGAGACAGGATTGTGTCGAGGCACAGATCTGGGGAAGGGTGCTAAATAATTTCTGCAGAATTGAAGGTCCCCAAGAACACAGTGGCCTCCATCATTCTTAAATGGAAGACATTTGGAACCACCAAGACTCTTCCTGGAGCCTGCCACCCGGCCAAACTGAGCAATCAGGGGAGAAGGGATTTGGAGAACCTTCCAGAAGGACAACCATCTCTGCAGCACTCCACCAATCAGGCCTTTATGGTAGAGTGGCCAGACGGAAGCCACCCCTCAGTAAAAGGCAAATGACAGCCCGCTTGGAGTTTACCAAAAGGCACCTAAAGAACTCTCAGACCATGAGAAACAAGATTCTCTGTTCTGATGAAACCAAGATTGAACTCTTTGGCCTGAATGCCAAGCGTCACGTCTGGAGGAAACCTGGCACCCTCCCTACAGTGAAGCATGGTGGTGGCAGCATCATGCTGTGGGGATGTTTTTCAGCGGCAGGGACTGGGAGACTAGTCAGGATCGAGGCAAAGATGAACAGAGCAAAGGACAGAGAGACCCTTGATGAAAACCTGCTCCAGAGCGCTCAGGACCTCAGACTGGGGTGAAGGTTCACCTTCCAACAGGAGTGGCTTGAGTCCCTGAGTGGCCCAGCCAGAGCCCGGACTTGAACCCAATCGAACATCTCTGGAGAGACCTGAAAATAGCTGTGCAGCGACGCTCCCCATCCAACCTGACAGAGCTTGAGAGGATCTGCAGAGAAGAAGGGAGAAACTCCCCAAATACAGGTGTGCCAAGCTTGTAGCGTCATATCCAAGAAGACTCGAGGCTGTAATGTCTGCCAAAGGTCCTTCAACAAAGTACTGAGTAAAGGGTCTGAATACTTATGTAAATGCTATATTTAAAAAAAAAATTAAATTATAAATGTGTAAAAATGCCTAAATACCTGTTTTTGCTTTGTCATTATGGGGTATCGTGTGTAGATTGATGAGGGGAAAAAACAATTTAATGCATTTTAGAATAAGGCTGTAATGTTAGAAAATGAGAAAGTCAAGGGGTCTGAATACTTTCCGAATGCGCTGTACGTTAGTCTGAAACTGCCATCATTGAAGTCGTTTGTAGTGAGGAGGGACATGAGGGGCGTTGTACAAAACAAAGTCATCAGCGATTGGATCGTCTCTAACCAATTGGAGTATCAAAGCCAATGACTAATTTTCAAACCGCAGCTTTACCCACTTGTGTTCTGGCTCTGGCCCAACCCAATCAGAAGGTCCCGAAAATGTTCGGATTCGGTGAAGGGTCAGGGAGGTACTGAGATCCAGACTCAGTGTGGAGATGAAACTAACATCGTGGCGTGGTGTAGCATTTGGCCGGAGCAAGGAGTCTGGGTAGCCAGACAAAGTCTCTCCCAGATCCTAGACTCTCATTAAGGCGACCAGCGTGCTACCTACCTAGTTACGTACCCCCAAGATCCAGGCTGTATCACAACCGGCCGTGATTGGGACTCCCATAGGGCGGCGCACAATTGGCCCAGCATCATCCGGGTTTGGCCGATGTAGGCCGTCATTGTAAATAAGAATTTGTTCTTAACTGACTTGCCTAGTTAAATAAAGGTAAAATAAATAAATAAATAAAATAAAAATAAAAGATCAACCTAAAGAAATGGAGCAGTCTTCTGCGACAAACATGGTCTGAAAACAGGAGTAAGACTTAATATTTTGGGGGTAGGGGAGATTAAACAAAGAGTATGCTGAAGGATTGTTGGATTAATATACCTTAGCTCCCGTTCCGAAATGAAATTCATGGACAAAGCATCATAACAAAAGGTGGATATTGGACACAGATAAACATTATTCCAAATGTGGCGGTGCATAGGAAATGAGAGACTCAGAGCTTGTCGGAGCTCCTCCAGGGTCTCGCTCTCTGTGTTTGTTATAATGCTCGCTATAAATATGTATTGGGGGAGCGGGAAAATTACGCTGATTGTAATCTGATGGCGCTCCTTTGTCGAGATTATGAGATACCAAAATACCTCCAGTTGCAGACGCTAAATTAGAAGTTCCACCCACTCATATCGGCAGAATAAGTCACTCCGGAGTGGCAGGGCTGTTTAATAAGGGGTTGGAAACAAAGTTCTCTAGAGGGAAAATGTCTCTTTAATTTTCAGAAAGGTAAATATTCAGGTGGTCTGCTCAGCTGCCAGTAGAAGAGCATGCTGAAGCATAGCAATTGAGATTGTATTGTGAATGCAAAGCGTCCTTCAATTGGCCCTTCAGAAAATTAATGCAACTTGTTTGTACAGCCAGCCAGCTGTGACTGCCCGTGAATCCTTAGTCAGGGCTGTCAAGTAGTTCTTCAGCCTAGAGTTACCCATCCACGGCACCTTTTCCATTTGCACTCGAATAGGCTGACACTCTGATGTAAAAAGGTGGCATGTGGCAATTTTGTACTTAAACTGCTATGGACTTTGCTTTCATTGTTGTGTTACACATGGTAGAAACTCTACTTCCCTGGCCTTCTTTAATGCACCAAAGTGAATTCAATCAGTTGGATCTTCAACCAACGTTGAAGGGTTCACATGATGTAGGCTAGTCGTGACAGTAAAGTCAAGTGTTCCTGTATAACCCATACAGAATCCTGCAATATACACACAAACCCTAATATCCCTCTGTCTTCTCCCTCCCTGCAGCCCTGAAGGACCCATGCAGCGAGATGACCTGCAGCTACGGCAGCACCTGTATCCAGTCATCGGACGGCCTGTCGGCCAAGTGCATGTGCCCGCTGAGCTGCGACGGCAAGCCCGAGCAGGTGATGTGTGGCAGCGATGGCCAGGACTACCGCAACGAGTGTGAGCTCCACAAGCAGGCCTGCCATACCAAGAAGAACGTCCGCCTTCAGCGCCAGGGTTCCTGCAGTGAGTCCCCTCATATACTTTTCCTCTGCCCTCTCTCTCTTTCTCTCTTTCTTTCTTTCTTTCTTTCTTTCTTTCTTTCTTTCTTTCTTTCTTTCTTTCTTTCTTTCTTTCTTTCTTTCTTTCTTTCTTTCTTTCTTTCTTTCTTTCTTTCTTTCTTTCTTTCTTTCTTTCTTTCTTTTTTTCTTTCACTCTCTCTCCTCTCTCTCGCTCTCTCTCTTCACCTCCCTCTGGGGTTTCAGTGTCTTCTTTCTCTCTGACATCATGTTACTGGTTTTCTCATTCTGTTACTTGTTTTCTTTATGCAAACTCTTCCTGTGGTGTGGATTATTCACTGTTGACAAACAAAGACATTTGTTTTTAGAGCTGGCCAGTTCAAGATGGTTGTTTGTCTGTGCCCCCCCCCCCCCCCCCCCCCTCCAGTTGTTTGTTTTAGTTGTTTTATCCTGAGGACTATGAGGTAAGGGAGAGAGGGAAAGAGCCAAACAGAGCGTGCCAGACAAAATAGCCTCCAAAAAGTGATGGCAGCCTGAGAGGCTACAAAAGCGAAGGGAGACGAATACTCAGGCCTCGAGAGGATGCCTGTAATATATCATGCCCGGTAAGACCAGGCTCCATGTCGCCATACCCCCAGGGGGAGGCTGGGTTCTCAGGAGAGCTGGTCCGGCGGACCCTAAATCTTCCTGAGTGATTCTGTCCAAGCCTTGGCTGTCTCAACTGGCTCGCTTCTGAAGCTAAGTAGGGTCGGTCCTGGTCGGTCCCTGGATGGGAGACCAGATGCTGCTGAAAGTGGTGTTGGAGGTCCATTAGAGGGCACTCTTCCCTCTGGTCTAAGGAGATCCCAATGCTGCAGGGCAGTGAAGGGGACATTGCCCTGCATAGGGTGCCGTCTTTCAGAAAGGACGTTAAAATAGGTGTCCTGACTCTGTGGTCACTATAGATCCCATGGATCTTATCGTAAGAGTAGGGGTGTTAAGCCGGTGTCCTGGCTAAATTCCCAATCTGGCCCTCATACCATCATGGTCACTGGCCACCCCTCAGAGCCTGGTTCCTCTCTAGGTTTCTTCCTAGGTTTCTGCCTTTCTAGGGAGTTTTTCCTAGCCACCGTGCTTCTACATCTGCATTGCTTGCTGTTTGGGGTTTTAGGCTGGGTTTCTGTATAGCAGTTTGTGACATCTGCTGATGTAAAAAGGGCTTTATAAAGACATTTGATTGATTGATTGATTGATCTCCAGCTTCCAATTGTCTCATTCATCCCCTCCCCCCCCCCCCCCCCTGTAACTCTTCCCCAGGTCATTGCTGTAAAATATAATATGTTTTCAGTCATTTTACCTGATAAAATAAGGGTCAATAAATAAATAAAATATACAGCTGGGGCTAGGCTAGCCAGAGCCTTTGCTGTCTGTCTGTATGTCTAATACCTCATCGGGGGGGCTCAACTGCGAAGGGCAGGAATCCTGGAAGCCGGTCTGGTGTCTTAATGGGAGGTAATGTCTTTTGCAAAGGGGATAATGGCTGGGCTTGTGTGGCATCATTGCATTGCTGGCTTTGGGCGCTTTTTGCATTACGATAAAACCCCCAAATTGGTTGCGGTCCCGCGTTTTATATCCTCCTGTGTGAGCGATTCCATTGTGCTAATATACACAATCCCTGACCTTGGTGATGGCGTTGCTGGCGTTGGCCCTGTTGTTGTCTCGCCTGCCCAGCCCGGGCCATCATTGTCCCTTTTATGTGTTCCGTTGTCGCCGTTTGTTTTCCGAGCCATGGCCTTGGAAACCATTTCTCCCCTCTTTTTCTCCCTTTCTCTCTCGGACCCTTTCTTCTATACCCATTGGTCTCATCCTCCTCTGTGGTGTTTTGAATGACTCGCTCGCAGCCTGGCAGTGTTTTAATGCAGCGGTACATAAATCCTCTGTGTCCCCTCGCGCTGAAGAAGAGAAGTGGAAAGAGATGGGACGAAGCTGCAGCAGCTAGCGGCTCCTATTTCAATAAGCTTCTCCCCAGTTCCTTTATGATTACAGCTGATATGGCCACCAGCGCCAGCCGTCAGCCTGGCTTCCCCCAGAGAGGAGTGCAACGAGGCCCAATCAAAAATAACCTATTTGGAGCCTGTCGTCCACTCAGATCCATGGGCTTCCCGGCTTTTCACTCAGCCTCTCCAGGGCAACCTTTGTTGATAGCAGGCCTATCTCTGGCATATCCCTGGTGATGGATAACCGTGTCCTACCACTAACCTCTCTCGCTCTCTTTCTCTCTCATTCTCTCTCATTCTCTTTCCCTCCCTCTCTTTCTTTCTCTCTATCTCTCTCTATCTCCCTTGCCTGTCCATAGACCCATGCAAAGACCGCGAGAACAACCTGAACGTTGCATGCCGGGTGGAACCGCGCACCCACCAGCCCCTGACTTTCCCCCTCCCGGAGTCCTGCCCACCCGTCAATGAGCCACTGTGCGCCAGCGATGGGCAGACCTACGAGAGCGAGTGCCATATGACGCGGACGGGCATGCAGAAGGGTATTGAACTCAAGAAGATCCACCCGGGCCGCTGCAAGAAACAAGGTGAGTCGGTATATTTACGCACGCACGCACACACACACACACACACACACACACACACACACACACACACACACACACACACACCACTGCCTTGACGGATAGATAACTAACCATGTTCTGTCAGGGCTGTGTTGTTACATGCATGATACCAGACGGCTGGCTTGATAAGAGCTCGCAAAGGGTTATCTGGGCTATTAAAACAGAGGTCTTAGGCCACACCAAGTCTGCACTGCCAGGTTTACTGCACTGCCAGGTTTACTGCACTGCCAGATTTACTGCACTGTTGCATGAAAAGGGCTTCAATAGGCCTCCACCACCACTGTATCTGTAGCTTTTCCCCTCTCACCTCATCTTCACACATCTACGAATCCCCGTAGAGTTAAAGACAGAGGCTCATGGTGTGATGCATTCTATTACAGACTCTCTTTCTGCCCTGCAACACACTGACTTAGCTGTTGTTAGCAATATTTTGTGGTCAAGCTTGAGTAGGACTTCAATGTCTCAGGAGGAGCGATAGCACTGTGTATGCTTGTGAGTTGAGTTAGTCTGGATCGAGTGAAAAGGAACCTATTCTCTATCTGCCTTTTACTGAAGTAAAATGGATGGGCGTAGTAATATGTTTTTTTTTTTACGGTTTTGAAATGGAGATAATATTTTCATTTGAAATGCAGATCCATGAAATCAGGTTCTTTATTGCGTTCAGTCGTGAACGGTGGTTTGTCTTGTACCATGACATCATACAATACATCCCTCTAATGTTCGACACCCAGATAAGGCAGCTCCGTAATGAAGTTGCAGTATAGCATGACCGCTTTACAAGAAAGAGAAAGAGAGGAATTGCTCCGAATTGAATTACTGTACAAATTTGATCCACTGATCGGGAACGTAATTAATTTTAAGCTCTGAATGTGCCTTGACCTAGAGAGAACGTTTTGTAGATGATTGCCTCGATTTGTCAGCAGATTTGCTGCGTTAGCCTTATTTTCAGTCACGTCAAGTCACGTTTTATTTAAAAAACATTATCACAACATCTCAACACACTTTACAGAGGAACATTACAAATTCTAAACAAGAACAAGAAACAAGAACAATAACTAAAATGTTCCTCATTCGTTTTGCAGAGGAGTGCAAGGAGGAGTGCAAGTTCAACGGTGTGTGCCAGGTGGAGCGTCTGGGCGTGCGCTGCTCCTGCCAGCCCATCCAGTGCGACGGCACCTACAAGCCGTTGTGCGGCAAGGACGGCCGCACCTACATCAACGACTGCGAGCGCCGGCGGGCCGAGTGCCATGCCAAGGCCCATATTCCTGTCAAGCAGCAAGGCCCGTGTGGTGAGTCAGGACCCCTAGGAGGGGAAAAGGGTATTAGACTTTGGTCCTCTCTCTCTCTCCCTCTCTCCCTCTCTCCCTCTCTCCCTCTGGTTGACTCCTCCTCTCACAGTGTTTTTGAAACGTCCTCCTGTCCTGTGTAAGTACTGTGTGTGTGATTGTTTTCTGTCTGTCTCTTGACTTGTCAGTAGTCTGTGGTGGGAGGGGAAAAAGCTAACAGACAGGAATGTACCGTGACCACCACGTTTCCCTTCACCCCCATCTACCTCATCCCCGTCACGCTCCGCCATCACATGTGACACATGAAACACAACGGCCTTCATGTTTCATTCATGTCCTCCTACCCTCTGGTAGTGCCAGTGTTCCACTTCAATGGGTCTCTCTCTCTCTCACTCTCTCTATGCACAACACACACAACGTTTTGTCGCTCGCCTGTCTTTGTCTCTGTCTGTCTCTTTTTTGTCTGTGTGGCTTCCTTTTTAAACAGGTATTCTTTCTGTTTCAGTGCGTCTCAGTCTGTCTGTCTTTGTCCGTGTGATGTCTGCCGCTGTTCGGGACACACCGCTCGCTGCAGCACAACCTTTGACCCCTCTGGTGGACACTGACCACTTGGGAGGGGTCAGAGACTCTCCTCCAATTGGACTATTGGTGGTGGGATGGTTGTCTTGTCTTGTCTTGTCTTGTCTTCTCTCTCTCTCTCTCTCTCTCTCTCTCTCTCTCTCTCTCTCTCTCTCTCTCTCTCTCTCTCTCTCTCTCTCTCTCTCTCACACTATCTACAGTATCTCTCTGAAACTGAGTAGTATGTTCTCTCTCCCAACACTCCAAGCTGTCGCTCCTGTCTCTCCTCCTCTGTGCACCCTCCCTGCAGCCCTACTGTGTTTGCGGGGGGAAGAAAGCGTCCGTCCGTGAGGTTGGGGAGCTCTTCTTCCCAGTGCTGTGTTTTGTCTTGTCTTGTGTCAACCCCTTTCCCATTCCCCAACCACCTTATCCCTCAACCCTAAATCTATAATGGTACCCTTCTACCCCAGCATGGCAGACGGCATGTGGACACTCCTAACCCCTGCACAATGCCCCACCCCTCCCTTGCCACCCGGGCACTGACATTAGTCGTGCCATGCCAGTGCCTACTGACTAGGTCTCTCAACCTCATATAATCTAAGGCAGTGTTTCTTAATTCTGGTCCTGGGGACCAATTTTAGTTTTTGCCCTAGCGTTACACACCTGATCCCACTAATCAACTCTTCATCAAACCTTTGATTAGTGGAATCAGGTGTTTAGTGCTAGGGCAAAAAAAAAAAAGTGCCCCCCTTTGGGTCCCCAAGACCAGTATTAAGAAACACTGATCTAAGGACTTGTAGATTTAGAATTAGAGCAGCAGTGGGCAAACATACCCCTGCGAAGGCCATCTGGCGTGGGTGCATGTTTTTGCTCCAGCCAAGCAGTAACACATACGATTCAGCACATCAAAGCATTGATCGATGACTACGATTAGTCGATTTTGTAGAGTTGGGTGTGTTACTGTTTGGCCAAAGTAAAAACCTGTACCCACAATGGCCCTAGCGGAGTACAGATAGCCTACCCCTGATGAAGAGTGTCTCTCTTCGATAGACAAGCTAAACGTTCTGGAGCAAAGTTCTAGCTCCTCTGGTTCTTTTCAGACAGATATCTCTATCTCGTCTCACTCGGGTTGCTTATCTGAATACTAAGTTGTATTCGTTGGAAGCATCGCTCCACAGTATCATGGTGTAACTCATTAGCATTGTTTTCTAGTCTGTTTACCCGTCTTTTTGCCACGCATAAATTAACAAGCAAAATGTCCGGGTGGTTATGTTTTTTTTCTTTTTCATTATTTTCGACAAAGTAAACTGTCACAGTCCTTTTCGGCAGGTTTTAGCCAGTGGCGAGTTACAGTGTTTTATAATGCGTTTTTATTGACATTTGCATATTTAGCCAAACAGCTCGCGCGACTATTTAATTAAACATCAAAAGGAGAGGAGCAAGGTGCCCACCGAGGCTGTGTGTTCCTACCTTTGGACACCTGCACACAGTTTGATGTTTAATTACTGTGTTTCTTCGTCTTCTCTATCTCTCCTCCGCCCTCTCTTACTACTCCTCCTCTCCTTATTCGTAAGCCTTTCTTCCTCTGTGTGTCTGAATTAGATAGAGTCCCCAGCACCGTTAGTCTCCTTTCCACTAGACTCTAGGATACACTGCCCTGACAAAGTCCCCTGGCAGGTGCGTGTGCGTGCGCAAGTGAGTGAGGGTTTGGGTGTGTGTGCAAGCTTGTGTGCATTGATTTTGTTTGGTTGTGTGTGTGTGTGCAAAGCTGTTTGAATGTGACAGTGTGTGTGTCTGTGTGTCTAAGTGGCCTCTTTGTCACGACGTGATCAATAGCACAAACGGAGCACAAGTTACAGTTACGGCCCGCGGCACTCTTTCATCACTGTGACAGTGGCAGCCATTGTCTCTCACTGTACTACACAAAGAACGTGGTTGTGGCATCCTAACTGGGCCACCCTTTAGCACATAACTGCAATGGCACATTCTCTAACTGCAATGGCACATCACAAACACACCAGCATTTTAGAGTGACCAAAAGCAGAGGTATGCACATACACACACACACACACACACACACACACACACACACACACACACACACACCCTTCAAACTACTGAAGGCCCTGCTGTCTTTTACCATCAATAGTCCTCCTATCCAGCTGCTGTTGTGGCGTTCCTTCTGTGTGCAGTCTTCTCCATGCACCCCCATAAGCTTAAGTGGTTCAGTCCTTCATCGTGTGCCGCCTGGCATTGGCCAGCCTTTTGTCACTTCCCCATGGCTCTTAGAGCTTCAACCAAGAGGTGGATAGGGAGCGAAAAACTTGGATGATGGGGTGTCATGGCTGTCACTACCCCCCACCACCCCCCAGATGCACACACACACACACACACACATTTGGTGAGAGGCAGTGCTAGTTTATAGCTCAATCATGCCATAATCCGAGGGCTGAAAATCCTCCAGATATGACACCAAACCGCTGGAGCCTGTAAATCTCAGTCACATGCGGTGAGTGTGTTGACAACCCCCCTAATGTGACTGTCGTCCGCCCTTTCACTCACCATGTCCCTCAAGGGCCACTTGTCCCCTATGGGGGGGCACAGACTACACTAATTATACGGACACCAGTGTTGGCCACGCCGAGAAAGACAATGCCGCCCTATTTGATTAATAACCTATATGGTCTTATACAGTGGGGAGAACAAGTATTTGATACACTGCCGATTTTGCAGGTTTTCCTACTTACAAAGCATGTAGAGGTCTGTAATTTTTATCATAGGTACACTTCAACTGTGAGAGACGGAATCTAAAACAAAAATCCAGAAAATCACATTGTATGATTTTTAAGTAATTAATTTGCATTTTATGGCATGACATAAGTATTTGATACATCAGAAAAGCAGAACTTAATATTTGGTACAGAAACCTTTGTTTGCAATTACAGAGATCATACGTTTCCTGTAGGTCTTGACCAGGTTTGCACACACTGCAGCAGGGATTTTGGCCCACTCCTCCATACAGACCTTCTCCAGATCCTTCAGGTTTTGGGTCTGTCACTGGGCAATACGGACTTTCAGCTCCCTCCAAAGATTTTGTATTGGGTTCAGGTCTGGAGACTGGCTAGGCCACTCCAGGACCTTGAGATGCTTCTTACGGAGCCACTCCTTAGTTGCCCTGGCTGTGTGTTTCGGGTCGTTGTCATGCTGGAAGACCCAGCCACGACCCATCTTCAATGCTCTTACTGAGGGAAGGAGGTTGTTGGCCAAGATCTCACGATACATGGCCCCATCCATCCTCCCCTCAATACAGTGCAGTCGTCCTGTCCCCTTTGCAGAAAAGCATCCCCAAAGAATGATGTTTCCACCTCCATGCTTCACGGTTGGGATGGTGTTCTTGGGGTTGGACTCGTCGTTCTTCTTCCTCCAAATACGGCGAGTGGAGTTTAGACCAAAAAGCTCTAATTTTGTCTCATCAGACCACATGACCTTCTCCCATTCCTCCTTTGGATCATCCAGATGGTCATTGGCAAACTTCAGACGGGCCTGGACATGCGCTGGCTTGAGCAGGGGGACCTTGCATGCGCTGCAGGATTTTAATCCATGACGGCGTAGTGTGTTACTAATGGTTTTCTTTGAGACTGTGGTCCCAGCTCTCTTCAGGTCATTGACCAGGTCCTGCCGTGTAGTTCTGGGCTGATCCCTCACCTTCCTCATGATCATTGATGCCCCACGAGGTGAGATCTTGCATGGAGCCCCAGACCGAGGGTGATTGACCGTCATCTTGAACTTCTTCCATTTTCTAATAATTGCGCCAACAGTTGTTGCCTTCCCACCAAGCTGCTTGCCTATTATCCTGTAGCCCATCCCAGCCTTGTGCAGGTCTACAATTTTATCCCTGATGTCTTTACACAGCTCTCTGGTCTTGGCCATTGTGGAGAGGTTGGAGTCTGTTTGATTGAGTGTGTGGACAGGTGTCTTTTATACAGGTAACGAGTTCAAACAAGTGCAGTTAATACAGGTAATGAGTGGCGAACAGGAGGGCTTCTTAAAGAAAAACTAACAGGTCTGTGAGAGCTGGAATTCTTACTGGTTGGTAGGTGATCAAATACTTATGTCATGCAATAAAATGCAAATTAATTACTTAAAAATCATACAATGTGATTTTCTGGATTTGTGTTTTAGATTCTGTCTCTCACAGTTGAAGTGTACCTATGATAAAAATTACAGACCTCTACATGCTTTGTAAGTAGGAAAACCTGCAAAATCGGCAGTGTATCAAATACTTGTTCTCCCCACTGTATATGATTTGTGGGTGTGTATTTTCATCCATAAGCCACAATCAAGTTTCACAGGAATGTGTTCGAGGTCAGTCCCTCATGAGATGGCCACTTTATAGGGGGCTAAATGTGAATGGTGGTGGATTGCGAGAGGACAATTCTTAGCATTCTTCGGATGCTCAGATGAAAAACGAAGTCAAAGTGGCTTAAAATGCCTCTCGCTTGACCCTGAGAGCTGGAAGAAAGCTTTCACTCCTGCGAGACATGGACATATAAGATGGTATAGCGGATCACAGACAGACAGACAGACAGGCCGGCAGACACACTCTCTCTCACACACACACACACACACACACACACACACACACACACACACACACACACACACACACACACAGTGAAGTACTTAGTTAGATAGTTATATAAATGGTATGAATGCCATTTAAGAGCGGTGCGAGATTGGGTCTGTGCGTCTGTGTGTGTGTCTGTGTGTGTGTTTGTGTGTGTGTGCATGCGTGTGTGTGTGTATGTGTATGTGTGCATGCATGTGGGTGTGTGTGTGTGTTTGCGTGCGCACGTTCACACACGCACTCTCCCCTTGGAGGTTAACAGAAAATCACTCAGTCGGAGAGACATTGTCATTGACAAAGAGCCTCTGCGAATGAGGAGATATTGGGGAGAAAAACCCCTGAAACGTATGCCTGGTGACAAGTCTCTCCGGTGAATATTTATAATTTGCATGTTTATTTGATTAGCATCTCTGCCGCTGCGCGACGACACCAGTCGCTGGCTATGATTATACTCATAAACAATAATAGGCTGAGTACCCATTGAACCCAACAAGGACCTCCAGTGATGTTTGGTAATGAATCTAATTAATGGAGTTGCTCTGGGAGTTACAGTGCCTTCAGAAAGTATTCACAACCCTTAACTTTTTCTACATATTGTTGTGTTACAAAGTGGGATTAAAATTGATTTAATTGTCATTTGTAAAACATTCATGAAAATAAAACATATATCTTCATTACATAAGTGTTCAATCCCCTGAGTCAATACATGTTAATAATCACCTTTGGCAGTGATTACAGCTGTGAGTCTTTCTGGGTAAGTCTCTAAGAACTTTCCACACCTGGATTGTGCAACATTTGTCCATTATTCTTTTCAAAATGATTCAAGCTCTGTCAAATTGGTTGTTGATCATTGCTAGACAACCATTTTCAGGTCTTACCATAGATATTCAAGCCGATTTATGTCAAAACTGTATCTCGGCCACTCAGGAACATTCAATGTCTTCTTGGTAAGCAACTCCAGTGTAGATTTGGCTTTGTGTTTTAGGTTATTGTCCTGCTGAAAGGTGAATTCATCTACTGGTGTCTGGTGGAAAGCAGACTGAACCAGGTTTTCCTCTAGGATTTTGCCTGTCCTTAGCTCTATTCCATTTATTTTGTTATCCTGAAAAACTCTCCAGTCCTTAATGATTACAAGCGTACCCATAACATGATGCAGCCACCACTGTGCTTGAAAATATGGAGTATGGTACTGAGTAATATGTTGTGTTGGATTTGCCCCAAACATAACACTTTGTATTCAGGACAAACAGGCCACATTTTTTGCATTATTAATTTAGTGCCTTGTTACAAACAGGATGCATGTTTTAGAATATTTTTATTCTGTACAGGCTTCCTTCCTTTCACTCTGTCAATTAAGTTAGTATTGTGGAGTAACTACAGTGTTGTTGATCCATCCTCAGTTTTCACAGCCATTAAACTCTGTAACTGTTTTAAAGTCACCATTGGCCTCATGGTGAAATCCCTGAGCGGTTTCCTGCCTCTCCGGCAACTGAGTTAGGAAGCACGCCTGTATCTTTGTGGTGACTGGGTGTATTGATACACCATCCAAAGTGTAATTAATAACTACCAATAGGTGCCCTTCTTTGCGAGGCATTGAGAAACCTCCCTGGTCTTTGTGGTTTAATCTGTGTTTGGAATTCACTGCTCGACTGAGGAACCTTACAGATAATTGTATGTGTGGGGTACAGAGATGAGGTAGTCATTCAAAGGTAGCAACTTATTATGTGAGTTGTTAAGCAAATGTTTACTCCTAAACATATTTAGGCTTGCCATAACAAAGAGATTGAATACTTATTGACTCAAGACATTTCAGCTTTTCATTTTTTTATTAATTTGTAAAAATTTAGAAAAACATAATTCCACTTTGACACTATGGGGTATTGTGTGTAGGCCAGTGACATAAAATTCAGGCTGTAACACAACAAAATGTGGAAAAATACTTTCTGATGGCACTGTAGGTTGACGGTGAAGTGGTGTTAAGGATTATAGCGGCCAATAGCGATTGTGTGTGGTGGTGGTGTGTGATTGTGTGTGTGTCAGTGGGTGTCGGTGGTGGCAGAATTGCTGCAGTCATCAGACCTTATGGGTACAGCAGGGTCCTCCTATGGCGATCCACCCCTTACCCCGTCTGTTGCACCCCTCCTTGCTTCCTCCCTTCCTCTTCCTCTCCTACAGTGTATGTGTTGTGTGCTGCTGGTCAGTGCACCCGGACCAGGCCCACCATGCCAATGATGCCATCTGCTGTTTGGTGGTCTGTCTTTCCTTTCCCTCTCCTTCTTCTCTCCTCTGTTCTCTCTGTTCTCTGTAAGTATACACGTCATGAGATGGAGGAGCTCATCTTTGTCATTTTTCCCTCGCTGTTGTCTTTCTCTGTCCCCCCCCCCCCCCCCGCTCTCTCCCTCTGTTTGCTGTATTTCACTTAATCTGTGTTCCCTATGTCGTCCGGTAGAAGAGAAAGAAATGTGTTTGGGGTTTTACATGCCAAGTGGAGGACTTAGGCGTTTGGTTTTGTCCCCTTGCAGCCATTACTCTGTGATAAGTGCTCCGAAGCAGGGAAACACGGCTCGCGGGCCTTCGGTTTACCATATGCTAATATTGACACTTTTCTCTCCCATTCCTGCCAACTATGTTTCTACCCAGTGGGCAGCGCCGGCAGCCACTTCTCCCTCAACCAATTGGCTACCTAGAGCCCAGGGATGGGTTTTCTTAGATTCTTATAGTGACATTGGGAGTAATCCGGAATTGGAACAGGGAAGATTCCAATCTACATATGCATGAGTAGGGAGAAGCTCGACCGCATAAGATAATCTCCCTGCATTTACATCCATATGTACAGGCTTAAACCGCAAACATTACCCACGCAAACACGGCTAAGAACATGACACTCCATCTCTCCAGGCTTATATACAAACCGCCTGCCGAGTGTGTTCAGCTCAACAAGGCTTTGACTGAGGTAATACTCAGGTCGACTCCGAGAAATCCCATATTTGCTTGTCAGATAAGGCCTTTAAATCTTGACTAATGTGGCAGTTTAGTGAGAGACAGGGAAGAGGCAACGTCCCTCTTGGGATTGGGAAGACGGGTAGCAAAACGTTTGTCAGTGGGGGGCGTTACGCCTCTTGGTGGGGAGACAGGTAGCAGAACGCTTGTCAGTGGGTGGGCATGTGGCGGTTATGGTTCTTTTAGCATTCCGCGGTGGCATTGCAGCACCCCAGTAGCCCACTTCATCTGACAGGGACTTCTAATCACCCTGGTTTTAAAGGGCAATTCTGCCACTTTTCAACCTCATTCATCATATCCAGCACCAACCAGTGTCTACATACTGTATGTGAAAACAGCGCATTATTATGATCTTTAGTCAAAAAGATATGAAGAAAGGTCCTAAAAAAATGCTTCTCTGTGACATCACAGGGTAGGATGAAAAGTAAAAAACAATGATTTTCAAAACATGCAACAGGTTTCTAGTCCAAAGGAGGGTATTTTCTTGCTCCCCGTGTCACTGTGAATCTCATAGTTTTTGAAAATGACTGTTTTTAAAATGTTTTAACTTTTTAACTTTATATTTTTTTCTACAAAACTTAGAAATGTGCTTTTTTCACATACACTTAGTGTACGAAACATTAGGAACCCCTGCTCTTTCCATGACATAGACTGACCAGGTGAATCCAGGTGAAAGCTATGATCCCTTATTGATGTCATCTGTTAAATCCACTTCAATCAGTGTAGATGAAGGGGAGGAGACAGGTTAAAGAAGGATTTTGAAACCTTGAGACAATTGAGACATGGATTGTGTGTGTGCCATTCAGAAGGTGAATGGGCAAGACAAAATATTTACTGTAAGTGCCTTTGAACGGGGTAAGTTAGTAGGTGCCAGGCGCACCGGTTTGAGTGTGTCAAGAACTGCAACGCTGCTGGGTTTTTCACGCTCAACAGTTTCCCATGTGTATCAAGAATGGTCCACCACCCAAAGGACATCCAGCCAACTTGACACAACTGTGGGAAGCATTGGAGTCAACATGGACCAGCATCCCTGTGGAACGCTTTCGACACCTTGTAGAGTCCATGCCCCAACGAATTGAGGCTGTTCTGAGGGCAAAAGGTGGAGCAACTCAATATTAGGAAGGTGAACCTATTGTTTTGTACACTGAGTGTATAGTATGTTGACACTGGTATTGTGCTGGAGATAATACAAATTAGGTTGAAAAGTGGTGGAGTTGCCCTTTAAACTCGGAGCTCGCCACTATAAAATATCAGACTAATTAAAAACAAAAGGAAAGTAGGGGAGCGGAGGGGGGAGGGAGCCTGGCCTAGGCTGGTGGGAGAAGGGCAGAAAGCGGTGGCGGCATTCAGACTCCGAAGTCGCCATGTCTGAGACAGAAACATTGTCCTTTCTTAGAGAAGCCTCTAGGGACTGGTATGAGATGTCTACTCCTAAACAGTTTCTTGACTGCAGCTAGAAGAATAATTATTGAACAGAGGAGAGTTATTCATCTCCTCACTCACACATCCCTTGCCAACAAACCTTTTTTTGTCTCTCACGTCTTTGATGACGCTTGCGGCACTCTGGATCCCACACACACACACACACTCTTTCGTCTGATAAACAGAGTTGTGATAGGTGATTTGAAGGAGTCAGGCGCAGGAGGGTAAATCACAGAATACAGAGTTTATTCCGTAGTTCAGAGTTATGCTGGATAGCGTCAAAACGTCCAGTGCGCAAAAGAGGCGCACTGGAACAAACAGGCACACAGGGAAAATATACCCCGGCAATACAAAATACACGTAGCTCAACCGAGCTACTCTCTCCTCACATTTAACAATCACCCACAAGGACAAGGGGGGCAGAGGGAACACTTCTACATGTACTAATGAGGGGATATGAACCAGGTGTGTGTAATAGACAAGACAAAACAAATGGAATGATGAGATATGGAGCGGCAGTGGCTAGAAGGCCGGTGACGACGAACGCCGAAGCCTGCCCGAACAAGGAGAGGAGGCAGTTTTGGAAGAAGTCGTGACAGTACCCCTCCCTTGACGCGCAGCTCCAGCAGCGCACCGACACCGGCCTCGGGGACGGCCAGGAGGACGCGGAGCAGGGCGAGCCGGATGGCGACGGTGGAAATCCCGCAACAGGGAGGGATCAAGGATATCCCTCACCGGGACCCAGCACCATTCCTCCGTACCCCTCCCACTCCATGAGGTACTGAAGGCCCCCCACCCAACGCCTCGAATCCAGGAAGGAACGGACGGAGTACGCCGGGGCCCCCTCGATGTCCAGTCAGCGTTGGCCTTCTGACGACACACGGCGCGTTGGAGGTGGACTTGAGCAGCGTCCCACGTCTCCTCCGTGTGCCGAAACCAGTCATCCACCGCAGGAGCCTCGGTCTGGCTCTGGTGCCACGGTGCCAGAACCGGTTGGTAACCTAAAACACTTTGGAATGGCGTTAGGTTAGTGAAGGAGTGACAGAGAGAGTTCTGGGCATATTCGGCCCATGGCAAGAACACCGACCACTCCCCCGGCCGGTCCTGGCAGTAGGACCGCAGGAACCTACCCACATCCTGATTTTACCCGTTCCACCTGCCCATTAGACTCGGGGTGGAAACCAGAGGTCAGGCTGACCGAGAGCCCCAGACGTTCCATGAACGCCTTCCAGACCTTGGATGTAAACTGGGGACCCCGGTCAGACACTATATCCTCTGGTACCCCGTAGTACCGGAAGATGTGTGTAAACAGGGCCTCCGCAGTCTGCATGGCAGTGGGGAGACCGGGCAGAAGAAGGAGGCGGCAGGCCTTGGAAAAGCGGTCCACAACGACCAGGATGGTGGTGTTACCTTGAGAGAGGGGAAGATCAGTAAGGAAATCAATACTAAGGTGAGACCATGGTCGTTGTGGAACAGGTAAAGGCTGTAACTTACCCGCTGGGAGGTGCCTAGGTGCCTTACTCTGGGCACACACCGAGCAGGAGGAGACATACACCCTCACATCCTTAGCCAAGGTAGGCCACCAGTAATTTCCGGTCAGGCAGCGCACTGTACGACCGATACGTGGGTGACCAGAGGAGGGTGATGTGTGTGCCCAGTAGATCAGACGGTCACGGACAAGAGCAGGCACGTACTGCAGCCCAGCTGGACACAGGTGGAGATGGCTCTGTGCGTAACGCCTGCTCTATATCCGCGTCCATCGCCCATACGACCGGCACCACAATGCAGGAGGCCGGGAGTATGGGGGTGGTGTCTCTGGGCCTCTCCTCTGTGTCATACAGCCGTGACAGTGTGTCTGCCTTCACGTTCTTCGTACCTGGGATGTATGATAGAGTGAAATCAAACCGGGTGAAGAATAGGGCCCACCTGGCCTGGCGAGGATTCAGCCTCCTCGCTGCCCGGATGTACTCCAGGTTACGGTGGTCCGTCCAGAAGAGGAAAGGGTGTTTCGCCCCTTTGAGCCAGTGCCTCCATATGGTCAGGGCTCGGACAACAGCCAACAGCTCCCGATCACCAACGTCGTAGTTCTGCTCCTACGGGCTGAGCTTCTTGGAGAAGAAGGCACAGGGGCGGAGCTCGGGTGGTGTGCCCGAGCGTTGAGATAGGACAGCGCCTATCCCTACCTCGGACGCATCCACCTCCACTACGAACGTTAGTGATGGATCAGGGTGGGCCAGTACCGGGGCTAAGGTGAACAGACACCTCAGGTTACTGAAGGCCCTGTCAGCCTCGGCAGACCAGTGGAGCCGGGACGGCCCACCCATCAACAGAGATGTAATGGGAGCTGCGACCTTGCCAAAGCCCCGGATAAACCTCCGATAGTAGTTGGCAAAGCCAATAAAGCACTGCACCTCCTTAACCGTGGTTGGAGTCGGCCAATTACACATGGCTGAAATGCGATCTCCCTCCATCTCCACACCTGAGGTGGTAATGCGGTATCCGAGGAAGGAGACGGACTGCTGGAAAAAACAGACACTTTTCTGCCTTGGCATAAAGGTTATTTTCCAACAGTCGGGCCAGCACTTTGCGAACCAGGGACACATGCTCGGCGCGCGTAGTGGAATACACCAGAATGTCATCAATGTAGACCACTACACCGCGACCAAGCATGTCCCGAAACACCTCGTTCACAAAGGACTGGAAGACGGATGGAGCATTCATCAAACCGTAGGGCATCACCAGGTATTCATAATGCCCCGTGGTTGTGCTGAATGCTGTCTTCCACTCATCCCCCTCTCGGACACGCACTCCGGAGATCTAATTTGGTGAAGAAGCGCGCCCCATGTATTGACTCGATCACTGAAGGAATGAGGGGGAGAGGATAACTAAATCTTATCGTCTCCTTGTTCGGTGATCGATAATCAATGCAAGGGCGCAAACCGCCGTCTTTCTTCTTCACTAAAAAGAAACTAGAGGAGGCGGGCGAAGTGGAGGGACGTATAAACCCCTGGCGCAGGGACTCGGTGACGTATGTTTCCATAGCCTTCGTTTCAGCCTGTGACAGGGGATACACATGACTCCTGGGAGGCACAGCGTCTACCCGGAGGTTTATCATGGAATCCCCCGCCTGATGAGGTGGTAACTTGGTCGCCTGCGTTTTGGAAAACGCGTGCACCAAATCGAGGTATTCGGGGGGAATGTACACGGTGGAGGTACTGTCTGGATTTCCACCATGGTTGCACCAACGGAATCACCGAGACACCTACCCTGACACTCTCGCGACCACCCCGTGAGAACCCTCTGCGGCCAAGAGAAGGTAGGGTTGTGGAGTGCTAACCAGGCTAGCTCCCTTCAGACGTACTCCCGCAGATGGCACCGGAAGTGGTCGATGAGGGCCCACTCATTCCACCCGGACCCAGCTGCTAGAGTCCGGAACTCCAGGGCGAAGTCCTGCGCAGTCCTCGTCCCCTGCCTCAGGTGGATCAGCCGCTCACCCGCCTCTCGACCCTCGGGCGGGTGATCGAAGACAGCCCTAAAGAGGTGAGCGAACTCCCCGTAGTTGTACAACGCGGCTCCTCCTTCGTTCCAGAACGCGTTGGCCCACTCCAGGGCTTTCCCCGAGAGGCAGGAGACGAGGGCGGACACCTTCTCTCGCTCCGATGGCCGGGCTGATGCTGGAATAATATAGCTCTAGTTGGAGGAGGAATCCCTGGCAGAGAGCGGCTGTCCCGTCGAACTCCCGTGGTCGGGATATATGGATCCCTCTGGGTGCTGGGGTGTGGATGGCTGGTTCCGGTCGCCCAGCTGGCTAGCATCGTTGAATGCGCCGTGCCATGACTCCAGGCATGCGCTCCTCTCCCGCTGACTCCATAGCGGGTGGGTGATTATGTGATAGGTGATTTGAAGGAGTCAGGCGCAGGAGGGTAAATCACAGAATACAGAGTTTATTCTGTAGTACAGAGTTACGCTGGATAACGTCAAACAGTCCAGTGCGCAAAACAGGCGCACTGGAACAAAACAGGCACACAGGGAAAATATACCCCGGCAATACAAAATACACATAGCTCAACCGAGCTACTCTCTCCTCACATAAACAATCACCCACAAGGACAAGGGGGGCAGAGGGAACACTTATACATGTACTAATGAGGGGATATGAACCAGGTGTGTGTAATAGACAAGACAAAACAAATGGAATGATGAGATATGGAGCGGCAGTGGCTAGAAGGCCGGTGACGACGAACACTGAAGCCTGCCCGAACAAGGAGAGGAGGCAGCTTCGGAGGAAGTTGTGACAAGAGGGGACATTACATGTTGTGTGTGTGTGTGTGTGTGTGTGTGTGTGTGTGTGTGTGTGTGTGTGTGTGTGTGTGTGTGTGTGTGTGTGTGTGTGTGTGTGTGTGTGTGTGTGTGTGTGTGTGTGTGTGTGTGTGTGTGTGTGTGTGTATGAGACTGCCTGCTGTAGCCTGGCTTCCAGTATATGTCCATCTCTACTGAGGCATATGTCTGTCTGTCTGTCTGTGTGCTGCGGAAGCTCCAGTCCTTGAACAGCACAGCCACTGCTACCATCTCTACCCAGACCTCTGGGATGACAATCTGCTGTTTCAAAGTCTCCCTCACTGCTTTTGAGGGAGAAAATACTCTTTCAGTTCCCTGAGATTTATTTTCAGACTGAGAGAATATGCAAATCTTCTCAATTACCAAAGCCGGGTATAAGGGCTGTTGTAGGTTTCTCAAAGTCTCTCATCGTACGCTCACACTCTCTCTCCACGCTTAGATGATTTCTCAGAGAACTTGGGGAGTTTCGCCATCCCCCCTTCTCTTTTTTGATTGAATAATTCTGAGAGAAAAACATTGCCTCCAGAAGGAGTGGGGGAATGAGAATGAAAGAATAAAGAGAGGTATTTGTTTGGGATTATTTTCATTTAATTTTTTGGGGTAGAAACAAAGAAAACTAGGGACTAAAGGGTTGTCGGAGGCTGCAGTTGCATTTAAGGGAGCTGGGCCTTGGGAAATGGGTTGTGAACCATTCTGAAGGCCACGAGTGTGTGTGTGCCGTTCACCCTCTGTATCCAGCGCTACACACACACACAGGCACACACACACACACACACACACAGTGTAGAAAAAAGATCAGGCAGAATACAGTTTTTTGAAGCCCGGCTAAATTAGGCACAGTTCCCCCACATACATATTTACATGCCATTTCTGAGCTCTTTCAAACTGCTGGCTTTCCTACAACACAGAAATCAATAGCAGTGTTACACTACTTAAGCCGCAACGTTCCCATTAGAAAAAGTGAGCGCCTTGTCTCCTTGCTCATCCTTGCTCAGGATCCGTAAAGATTTGTTCAATTACGGTCGCCGATGGACACTAGATGTAGCCTGGCTCCTCCTCCACACCAGTATCGGCCTTATCTCATTGTTTCTTCTGCTGCTCTCTTTTTGTAAAGAAGTATAGAACATAGGTGAGGTTTTTTATAGCGCTGAATCATCCTGTGGAGAGACACTATCGCACAGACGATGGCCTAACAGCCCAAACGTTTGTTCTGCACTCGTTGAAATGAATAAATAATACGCACCCTCTACACTGCAGCCTAACTACTACCCCCTAACACAGACATCATGGTGCGCCGGAAAGCATACAGTGTCCATCTTGACACTTATGAATGTGTTTTCCACAACAATCCTGTGATTTTAGACGCTAGCTATCAAACTGCTACATCAGGCCTCTTCCAGGGTTCCAAGATGACGTCACTCCTATCTGTTCCCCTCCTCTCTCACCTGGTATTCTGTGAGACAGATAGAGCCACAGTGGTAAATTACCTTCTGCTATATGTTGATGATTTTACCCAGAGCGCCAGGATGAGGCTCAGGGGGGAATATTAAGAGTATTAAACACACTCGTGCGTTCGGAAACTAATCGGCGGCAGCTTCTTAAACAGCGCCCGGCGAGATGCTAGTCTAATCACATAATAATCAGTGTAATGACTGCACCCTTGGTTGACATGGGGAGAGGAGGGGACACAGGAGGGGTTGTAGGAGGGGGGTAGCCTGGGTTCAGTATTGTAACCCTATTCCCACCACCAACCACCACCCCTGACATACCCGAGTTCCGCTCCAATCTTTTCCCTGTCTACAATCTCTCTCGCTGGGAAGCCAGGGATCAAATGCATCCTCACATTCTCTTCCCTCTGCATTTTAATCTGTCTCCCAAACGGCAGACACGCTGTGTTTAGCGCCACTGCACTACTCCCCCACGCGCCAGACATGCCAATGAGCCTCCTTCGCATGGCTTTGCCGCCCCCTGCATAATTCTCCTGCCCGCTTGGCTTGACGAGGATGTACTGTATGCCACAGTCTTCCGAGACCTTGGGGTTTCAACTGTCAATCCGTTCCACTCACCCACCCAACCCATCCCCAACTCAATCCACCCCCTTACAATACGGCTAACATACGCCTAACCTTGGAGACAATACTGATGAAGGCTTGATCGGGGGGAATGAAGGAAAATAAATGCTATGATGATGAAACAGTATCATTCCGTGGATCACATTGTCGTCTTTACGCGTTTCTTTCCCGTTTTTTTCAGTTTCTGACCCACTTGCTAAATGGCCTGGCAGTGGCACAACCGGCGCCACATGGAACGCCATCCCACTACTCCCCTCAGAAGCCCTGGCAGTCTCTTCTCTAACCAGGCCTCCAATTTAATGAAGTTACAGTGTAGTGGGGCGGCCGGAGAAGAGAGCGGCTTCTCTGATGTTCTCCCACTTCTTCATATCTGTCTCTGCCCAGGAGCTGGGCTTTGAATTATTAAGCAGAGTGCTGCTCTTTTTCTTGTCCTCTGTTTCTTTTCTTCCCTCCCTCTCTTCTCTATCCACATAGCGAGAGCTCTCTTCATCATCTTTTTCTCTCTCTCTCTCTCTCTCTCTCTCTCTCTCTCTCTCTCTCTCTCTCTCTCTCTCTCTCTCTCTCTCTCTCTCTCTCTCTCTCTCTCTCTCTCTCTCTCTCTCTCTCTCTCTCTCTCTCTCTCTCTCTCTCTCTCTGAGGCTCTCGGTGAGATGCAAATGGCTGCGTTTGAAGAACGCCATGCTGAGAAACATCAATTAATCAGCACCTGTTTACTTCCCTATAAATACAAAAATATGTTATTCTCTACCATTCCTCGCCAGTTTCCTATCCATGACACAAGGTCAAGGTTTTTACTCATAGAACTTAGGGTGTGGGTCTCTGATTGGCTCATCCATAGTGGTCAGACACCTCTGATTGGCTCATACAGAGGAGCAGACACCTCTGATTGGCTCATACAGAGGGATCAGACACTTAGGGCCAATAAAATTACCAAAAAAAAAATATTACCAGGAGGGAGTTGAGTCAGCTACATGTTTTAGACTTGTCCATAGGGTTGTAAAGGTACAAAAGAGGAGGGGGGGGGGGGACAATTAGCAGTGCATCCACATTGACCAGGCAACCCCTTTTTTCAAACCTTCTGATCCTAATCCTCCATCAACCTCTACTCTCTTTTAACCTATCCCGAGTTCCCTACCCTTCCCTGCCTCAATACCCCTCCTTCTCCTTCTCCACCTCTCCCTCATCCCCCTTCAACACTAACCCCTGTCTCCTGTCTCAGATCTACACACTCCCAGCCCGTGCCTAGGGAAGGCCTGCGAGTTCGGCGCCGTGTGCGTGGTGAAGAACGACGAGCCTGTATGTGAGTGCGCTGGCGCCTGCCCCCAGACGCCCGACCTGGTGTGCGGTAGTGACGGCCACAGCTACGGCAGCCAGTGTGAGATGAGGGCCATGGGCTGCGCACTGCAGAAAGAGATCCACATCCAGCACAGAGGACCCTGCGGTGAGTACCGTACTATACTGCAGTATACTATGTATGTATACTGTACTATATTATAAAATAGTACAATCTAAGCCAGCAGTTTCCCAGACCATGTGACCTGAGTAGGAAAACAGGAATAACTCCGGGCCCTAGTTTATAAGGTTATGTCACGTGATCAGGAAACACTCCTAGTCTTATTTATAGTATGATGTACTATGGTCATTTAACTTACCAAGAACAAATAGTATATTTAGTGCATGTATGTGGCCCTTGTGTGAATCAAACCATTTACCTTTTGGGGTTGCATGCACCATGCACCATACTCCACCTAACCAACCATCCCAACCAACTCAAGCACATATTGTAACTCTACTATACTCTGAGTATGTCATTCCTCTCTCTTCTCTTCCTCCACCCATATCCTCATATCTTCTCATCCTCCCCTCTCCTCTCAGACATTTTACATTTACATTTTAGTCATTTAGCAGACACTCTTATCCAGAGCGACTTACAGTTAGTGAGTGCATACATTCTTTTTTTTCTTTTTTTATACTGGCCCCCCGTGGGAATCGAACCCACAACCCTGGCGTTGCAAACGCCATGCTCTACCAACTGAGCTACATCCCTGCCGGCCATTCCCTCCCCTACCCTGGACGACGCTGGGTCAATTGTGCGCCGCCCCATGGGTCTCCTGGTCACGGCCGGCTACGACAGAGCCTGGATTCGAACCAGGATCTTTAGTGGCACAGCTAGCACTGTGATGCAGTGCCTTAGACCACTGCGCCACTCGGGAGACCCATGGGGCGGGAGACCCATGGGGCGGGAGACCCACGCCACTCTCAGCACTCCTCCAGCCCGGCACAAGCCTGCAGTTTCCCTATTTTTGACCTTTCTAGTTGAAGATGCACTCTACTTCCAATGAGAGGGCGAACGGCCATGCTCTTCTTTTCTTTTAGTTTTTTCTTTTTTTTAAATCTTTTTTTTTCTTTCTTTCTTTTTTTTAGGGGGTAGATCAGCTTTAATATTGCAGATAGATTGTAACTTCCATCAATGTAATTGTCTGCATCACTTATATATACAGTGGGGAGAACAAGTATTTGATACACTGCCGATTTTGCAGGTTTTCCTACTTACAAAGCATGTAGAGGTCTGTAATTTTATCATAGGTACACTTCAACTGTGAGAGACGGAATCTAAAACAAAAATCCAGAAAATCACATTGTATGATTTTTAAATAATTAATTTGCATTTTATTGCATGACATAAGTATTTGATCACCTACCAACCAGTAAGAATTCCGGCTCTCACAGACCTGTTAGTTTTTCTTTAAGAAGCCCTCCTGTTCTCCACTCATTACCTGTATTAACTGCACCTGTTTGAACTCGTTACCTGTATAAAAGACACCTGTCCACACACTCAATCAAACAGACTCCAACCTCTCCACAATGGCCAAGACCAGAGAGCTGTGTAAGGACATCAGGGATAAAATTGTAGACCTGCACAAAGTTGGGATGGGCTACAGGACAATAGGCAAGCAGCTTGGTGAGAAGGCAACAACTGTTGGCGCAATGATTAGAAAATGGAAGAAGTTCAAGATGACGGTCAATCACCCTCGGTCTGGGGCTCCATGCAAGATCTCACCTCGTGGGGCATCAATGATCATGAGGAAGGTGAGGGATCAGCCCAGAACTACACGGCAGGACCTGGTCAATGAACTGAAGAGAGCTGGGACCACAGTCTCAAAGAAAACCATTAATAACACACTACGCTGTCATGGATTAAAATCCTGCAGCGCACGCAAGGTCCCCCTTCTCAAGCCGGCGCATGTCCAGTCCCGTCTGAAGTTTGCCAATGACCATCTGGATGATCCAGAGGAGGAATGGGAGGTCATGTGGTCTGATGAGACAAAAATAGAGCTTTTTGGTCTAAACTCCAATTCGCCGTGTTTGGAGGAAGAAGAAGGATGAGTACAACCCCAAGAACACCATCCCAACCGTGAAGCATGGAGGTGGAAACATCATTCTTTGGGGATGCTTTCCTGCAAAGGGGACAGGACGACTGCACCGTATTGAGGGGAGGATGGATGGGGCCATGTATCGCGAGATCTTGGCCAACAACCTCCTTCCCTCAGTAAGAGCATTGAAGATGGGTCGTGGCTGGGTCTTCCAGCATGACAACGACCCGAAACACACAGCCAGGGCAACTAAGGAGTGGCTCCGTAAGAAGCATCTCAAGGTCCTGGAGTGGCCTAGCCAGTCTCCAGACCTGAACCCAATAGAAAATCTTTGGAGGGAGCTGAAAGTCTGTATTGCCCAGCGACAGCCCCAAAACCTGAAGGATTTGGAAAAGGTCTGTATGGAGGAGTGGGCCAAAATCCCTGCTGCAGTGTGTGCAAACCTGGTCAAGACCTACAGGAAACGTATGATCTCTGTAATTGCAAACAAAGGTTTCTGTACCAAATATTAAGTTCAGCTTTTCTGATGTATCAAATACTTATGTCATGCAATAAAATGCAAATTAATTACCGTACTTAAAAATCATACAATGTGATTTTCTGGATTTTTGTTTTAGATTCCGTCTCTCACAGTTGAAGTGTACCTATGATAAAAATTACAGACCTCTACATGCTTTGTAAGTAGGAAAACCTGCAAAATCGGCAGTGTATCAAATACTTGTTCTCCCCACTGTATCACGGCTTTCAGCCAATCACCATTCAGGACTCGAACCACCCAGTTTATAATTACATTTTAGTCATTTAGCAGACGCTCTTATCCAGAGCGACTTACAGGAGCAATTAGGGTAATGTGCCTTGCTTAAGGGCATATCGGCAGATTCTTCACCTAGTCAGCTCGGGGATTCAAACCAGTGACCATTGGTTACTGACCCAACGTTCTTAACTGCTAAGCTACCTGCCCTCCATTTATCTGGAGTATTCGTCAAAACAAGATCAATCAAGGTTAAGTTTATGGTTAGGTTTCAAATCTGACTTTATGACTTTGTGGCTGTCCCAGCTAGTGACCACTCTGCAGAGCTGCGTCCACAACCAGATTCATGAAGAACAACGCTAACCTGCACCCATTTTCCCATAGAAGAGTAATTGATGATGACGATGATTAACATTTTCCTTTAACCAACAATTCATTTGCTCCTGTGCCTTCCGTTCCGTGTCCTTTCCGTGCTCTTAGACCTCAGCCACAGTTCACGCTTGGTAGTTTTAGTAAGAGTTTGAATTACATTTTCTGCTACTGTAAATGTAGGCTACACCATAGGCCTGTATCTGTATAATAAATAACATGTATGTACAGTGGGGGAAAAAAGTATTTAGTCAGCCACCAATTGTGCAAGTTCTCCCACTTAAAAAGATGAGAGAGGCCTGTAATTTTAATCATAGGTACACGTCAACTATGACAGACAAATTGAGGAAAAAAAATCCAGAAAATCACATTGTAGGATTTTTTATGAATTTATTTGCAAATTATGGTGGAAAATAAGTATTTGGTCACCTACAAACAAGCAAGATTTCTGGCTCTCACAGACCTGTAACTTCTTCTTTAAGAGGCTCCTCTGTCCTCCACTCGTTACCTGTATTAATGGCACCTGTTTGAACTTGTTATCAGTATGAAAGACACCTGTCCACAACCTCAAACAGTCACACTCCAAACTCCACTATGGCCAAGACCAAAGAGCTGTCAAAGGACACCAGAAACAAAATGGTAGACCTGCACCAGGCTGGGAAGACTGAATCTGCAATAGGTAAGCAGCTTGGTTTGAAGAAATCAACTGTGGGAGCAATTATTAGGAAATGGAAGACATACAAGACCACTGATAATCTCCCTCGATCTGGGGCTCCACGCAAGATCTCACCCCGTGGGGTCAAAATGATCACAAGAACGGTGAGCAAAAATCCCAGAACCACACGGGGGGACCTAGTGAATGACCTGCAGAGAGCTGGGACCAAAGTAACAAAGCCTACCATCAGTAACACACTACGCCGCCAGGGACTCAAATCCTGCAGTGCAGACGTGTCCCCCTGCTTAAGCCAGTACATGTCCAGGCCCGTCTGAAGTTTGCTAGATTGCATTTGGATGATCCAGAAGAGGATTGGGAGAATGTCATATGGTCAGATGAAACCAAAATAGAACTTTTTGGTAAAAACTCAACTCGTCGTGTTTGGAGGACAAAGAATGCTGAGTTGCATCCAAAGAACACCATACCTACTGTGAAGCATGGGGGTGGAAACATCATGCTTTGGGGCTGTTTTTCTGCAAACGGACCAGGACGACTGATCCGTGTAAAGGAAAGAATGAATGGGGCCATGTATCGTGAGATTTTGAGTGAAAACCTCCTTCCATCAGCAAGGGCATTGAAGATGAAACGTGGCTGGGTCTTTCAGCATGACAATGATCCCAAACACACCGCCCGGGCAATGAAGGAGTGGCTTCGTAAGAAGCATTTCAAGGTCCTGGAGTGGCCTAGCCAGTCTCCAGATCTCAACCCCATAGAAAATCTTTGGAGGGAGTTGAAAGTCTGTGTTGCCCAGCGACAGCCCCAAAACATCACTGCTCTAGAGGAGATCTGCATGGAGGAATGGGCCAAAATACCAGCAAGAGTGTGTGAAAACCTTGTGAAGACTTACAGAAAACGTTTGACCTGTGTCATTGCCAACAAAGGGTATATAACAAAGTATTGAGAAACGTTTGTTATTGACCAAATACTTATTTTCCACCATAATTTGCAAATAAATTCATTAAAAATCCTACAATGTGATTTTCTGGAATTTTTTTTCTCATTTTGTCTGTCATAGTTGACGTGTACCTATGATGAAAATTACAGGCCTCTCTCATCTTTTTAAGTGGGAGAACTTGCACAATTGGTGGCTGACTAAATACTTTTTTTCCCCCACTGTATCATGCTTTCTGTAGACTAACTAAGCACAGAGCAGACATGAAGAAAGGAAAATACATATTTAAATTATCTCTTCACCTCTCTTATCTTATAGGCTACTTAGCATAGTTCCATGTTGCCTGCTAGCCTTTTGGTCCTAAATGGGTAACAGTTTATAGATGTAATAGAGATATACTGATCTAATAATGTAGAGTGATAGAGATGCCTGAAGCCATTTAGCAGCCAGTATCCCAGACTGCTAATACCTTAAACACTGTTAGCCAGCCTTACTGTTAGCTGTTGCATCTGCTACCACCAGCACACAGAGAGAGATTTGCCTGGCTCAGCTTAGCACCTTTACGCTAGCTCTCGGCTAGCTCTACCCCGTTGCAGGTTTTCTCAACTGGCGGCCCACAGGTGATTCAAAGTTTTCTGAGCAAAAAAATGTAATATACAGTGCCTTCAGAAAGTATTCATACTGCTTGACATATTCCACATTTTGTTGTGTTACAGGCTGAATTCAAAATGGATTATATATTTTACCCATCTACACACAATAGCCCATAATGACAAAGTGAAAACATGTTTGTACGAATTTTTGCAAATTTATTGAAACTGAAATACAGTAAATATCTCATTTACATAAGTAATCACACCACCCAGTCAATACTTTGTAGAAGTACCTTTGGCAGAAATTACAGCTGTGAGTCTTTCTGGGTAACTCTCTAAGAGCTTTCCACACCTGGATTGTGCAACATTTGCAAATTTGTACTCCTGAACTTATTTAGACTCAAGATAGTTCAGCTTTTAATTTGTAATTCATTTGTAAACATTTCAAAAAACATAATTCCACTTTGACTTTATGGGGTATTGTGTGTAGGCCAGTAAAAAAATCTCAATTTTATCCATTTTAAATTCAGACTGTAACACAACAAAATGTGGAAAAGTCAAGGGGTGTGTACACTTTCTAAAAGGACTGTATATATTGTTATAATAATTTTTTTGCACATAAGACTGTAAAAACACCAGCAAATCATCTCCAAGTGATTTAAGTTAAGGAAAAATCTGTTCCAAAGTATTCCCACGCATAACAGAGAGATATATGTGCTCGTATACAAATGTAAGCAAGGTTTGAAATTATTATGTTTTAATCAAATATTATATCTGTTTGGGCTGCAATTATGTTCCGGCCCCCCGACCATCTGCTCAAGAAAGAATCGTCCCACAGCTGAATCTAGTTGATGATACCTGTCCTATTGTTTCAACTGGAGTTTGACGTTTAATCCATTGCAGTGTTGTTGGCAGGCTGATGTGACTCTCCCAAGTTGAAATCTCTGCGCATAAAGATGTATTCCAATGGGAAATGGAGCAAAAGGAATGTTTGAGCCGGGCGAGCAAACTCAATTTGGAGATGGCGTGCGTGCGTGCAGCGTTAGGTAGACAGTTCTCGCTGTGGCGCCGCGGGGGCGTAATGAATAGTCTTTATTTAAAAAGGCGAGGTGGTAGCGGGCAGAGCGAGGTAGCAGGGCCTGCTGTGTGTGTGTGTGTGTGTGGGTGTGTGTGTGTATTACAGCACTATGGACAACAGCAAGTCTCCACAGAGGCCAGAGTCAGCGGAACAGGGCAATAAAAGCGACAGGCAGGCAGCGCTAAGCAAGGCCCGCTGGAGGAATGATGATGGTGATCTGGGTTGGTTTATTCTGGGCTGTTTGCACTGCTTTACACAGGCCTCTTCAAACTCAACTGAGTCACCTCACCTCCCTCCATCTCGACTATTATCTGTGTTAATTATCCTGGCCCATTCATATCACTGGCATACTCTGTGGTGTGTGTCTAAAGAGGCTGGGAAGTTTGTGTGTGTTTCTTGTGCATTTGCATGTAGAGACAACCGGTGTGTGTGAGTGGGCCCACCGTTCCGCAGGCCTGTGTGCGCTGTCATAATTAGATTTTCTTCCCCTCGGGGGGATAGAAAAATGGCGCTAGGGGAAATTGTTATCTTTACGGCTCAGGTGTGGTCCCAATAGTGAGATGAGTGACATTTTTTATTATTCTGATGTATTTTCTCCTCCCAATGTTTGAGTGGCGGGTGACCTTGTGTGTCTGGCAGGCTGGAAGAAGCAGAGACACACATGGCTAATAGACCACAGAAGGATATCAATCGCTCCGTAAGGAACTTCATATATATTTACCTCAGAATAGATGAGACAGGAGACGAAGTCATTTAGAACAGAAAAATAACAGTTTTGCACAGGTGCTGCAAAAAGGTAGGGGGCGAGACAGGAGCGGGAAGGTAGGGAGAGAGAGGGAAAGTAATAAAGGAGGAGAGGAGAGGCGGTGAGGAGGGACGGAGTAATAGTTATAGAGCAGGCACGGTGGGGTCGGCTGGGGAGTGTTTTTATAGTCTGGGACATTCTCAGAGCCTTTCACTAAACAACCGTCTCTCTTTCTCATCATGTTAAAGAACAACTCCTCCCTCCCTCCCTTGTCGTAGCTCCAGTCTCTCTGACTAATATTACTCCTCCGAGAGTGTGTGTAGCGCTCTGAGGCCGGAAAGGCTTTTAGCTTTTCTTTTCCCCACCGTCTCTCTCTCTATCCATCACTCGGAATGGCCCTCTCCTCAAGGCCACTTTCTACAACCTCCCCCTTCACCGTCAACTCCCCTCCCCGGTCAGACAAGTCCCCCCACCTTGTTAGCACCTTAGCGCAAGCTGTGCTGGCCCTCCCTGTGTTTACAGCCAGTAAGGGAGCCCAGTTGGAGAAGGCCTTTATCGGGACACGGGTGCTGATAAAGGACGACACTCACCGTGATTTATATCGCCCGGGTACGAAACACCGTTATTGTCACGGTGATGCATTCCCCATCCCTGCCAGCCGCCACCTCGACTACATATTTTTTTTTTTAGACCTCCTGCTTTTTTCTTTTAAACAGGCCCCCAGGCTGGGCTGTCCACAATGGGTGCCTGTGCGGTGCAGGCTGATTTCCTGGCTTTATTAAGGTGTAATAAGGTGTAATACACAAGTTAATAACACGGGGGAGGGGAGGAGGAGGTTTCCGCCTGAGTAGCCCACTCTCTCCGTTAGCCATTAGCGATAAATCAGCAGCTGTTATTACGTAGCCACTAATTGAATGTGATAGCGGCCGTGCGATGCAAATGCAATCCTCCAGGTGTAATTGGCAATCGAGGAGAGCTGCCCACCCCTCTCCGCGGGGGGAGTCGCATCTCCGCTCTGGCTCTGTGATTCGCGTGGGCTGCCACGAATCATTGATATCCACAGCATGTCGGTACTAGGCTATGCAAGGCAGAGGAAAAAACACTGAATGGAAAACGTGCAAATGATCAGAGTCAACTGAAAATAGAGGAATCTTGACAGTATTCTCAGTCCAGATCATCCTACTCAAACTTGCAGCTGTGTGAAGTCTGCACACCATCTGGGTTTGGGGCCCTCTCAAAATGACCGGCCTTTTAAAAGGGGTTAGGTAAACACATGACATCATGGTGACGTCACGGCTGTGGATTTTGCCAAGCCACCCACACAGGCTTCGGATGAGACAGTTCTATCTGCCCTCCCTCGCTCTTTTTCTCTGACTCAACTCACTGACACACACACCCACACTCTTTCTCTCCCCCGGTTACCCATACTGGTCTTATTTACTACCTCTAATCCTAACTCTCTCCTACCTGTCTCCCTCCAGACGAGGCGTGTGCCAACTGTTCGTTTGGGGCAATCTGCGACGGGCAGTCGGGCCGCTGTGTGTGCCCGCAGGAGTGTGTGGAGTCCCACCAACCGGTGTGTGGCAGCGACGGCTCCACCTACGACAGCGAGTGTGAGCTCCACGTGCGAGCCTGTACCGAGCAGCTTGACCTGCGCGTGCTCGCCCAGGGAGAATGCAGTGAGTAATGCACCAAGTGTGTGTGTATGTGTCTACCAACAGTGTGGTTGTACAAATAGTATGTCTTACTAAAGTAATGTCTCATTATTGTATTTTAGCAAGCATATTCCTTTTACATGATTCCAATCAATAGCCGCTGACACACCCTGTGTGTGTGTATGTGCAATCGTCCGTTTGTTTGTGTGTGCGCATTTGCAGAGACGTGCGGTAGCGCCATGTGTGCCTGGGGGGCCCGCTGCATCCAGAACAAGTGTGAGTGCCCGCAATGCCAGGGCCAGGCCTTTTCGCCCGTGTGCGGCAGCGACGGCTTCACTTACGACAACACCTGCGAGCTGGGCGTGGCCTCCTGCGTCCTCAAGAAGAAGATTGAGGCGGCCAAGCCTGGCAGCTGCGACGAAGGTAGGAATTAGGAGATTGCAAAAACGTTTTGTTAAATACTTTCTTTCCATTGACTTCTGTAATTGTCCACTTTGTTTTGGAAACACCCATTAAAATCTCTTTGTATGATTTTCTTTCCACTGACTTCTCTTATGATCCACTTTGTTTTTGTAGCTACTGTTGATAGCTGGTGGTGTTGATAGAACCCTACTGGTACTGGTGAAATCTCCCACCATTAGGTAAAAGGAAATTAGTGACCACTACTGATAGGGCAGAGGAAATCTAAACCACGAGACACACAGTGCCTTTTTAAACATGATTTGCTTCACAAGTGGCAGCCTAATTTACACAAGTCCTTTGTGGAGCTCCTCTCCTCTCCTACTGGAACAGGACCAGAGTCTCTACTCCTCTGTCTTTGTGACAATCAGCTCTCTCTCTGGGTATCTTTGTCACCGTACGGTTGTCATGCAGACGATGTCAGCAATAGTCCCTTGTGGCCAGACGTAGTCACCGTCACCGAGACTATCGTCATCGTCTGAGGACGTGTGAACACAGAGCAGTTTTCATCTGAGAGAGAGACAGATGTTGAGAGCGATGGAGAGGGGGAGGGAGAAGTGGTGAGTGGAGGAGAGGGGGAAAATGGAGAGGGGGAAGAGAGAGAGATGGAGGGAGGGGTCGAGAAGAGAGAGAGCGACTGAGAGACAGACATAGAGAGGGAGGGGGGAGTGGGTAAAGGGGTGAGAGTATTCATGAATTATAATTTTCCTCTACCATCCCCAATGTCTGTTCTGTTTTTTTCCATCTCTCACTGCCGTTGTCTACTCTACAGTATACGGCCAGCTCTGTCTGCCAGCTCTTAACGCCCTGCTGGTTTTGTTCAATTTAACACCATCTCATTGACTGAGTCGAGTAACCTTTTGTATGTGGAGCATGAAGAAATGCGCATATAGTACACATTGCACATATAATACACACACACACACACTGCGCCCCATATCATCATTATACGCACACACTCCACACATAGTATATACACATACGCTTGGACACCACACACATATACAAACACACACACAGACACACACACACACTGTGCCCCATATAATAATTATACGCACACACTCCACATGTAGTATACAGTATATACACACTCACACACTCTCACTATGTGCCCCATATTGCTGTCTGGCAGTGGGGAAAGATGCTCTCCTCTATAGCGCCCCAAGGGCATTCATCTATTTGTGAAGCCTGGTGACTCACTCTCTCTCCTCTCTCTCTCTCCTCTCTCTCTCTTCTCTCTCTCTTCTCTCTCCTTTCTCTCCTCTCTCTCTCTCCTCTCTCTTCTCACTCCTCTCTCTCTCCTCTCTCTCCTCTCTCTCTCTCCTCTCTCTCTCTCTCTCTCTCTCTCTCTCCTCTCTCAATCCTCCTCTCTTCTCTCTCCTCATCATCTCGCTCTCTTCCCTCCCTCTCGTCCTCTCTCTCCTCTCTTCTCTCTCTCTTCTCTCTCCTCTCTTTCTCCTCTCTCTCTCTCTCCTCTCTCTCTCCTCTCTCTTTCTCCTCCCTCTCTCTCTAGATCTCCTTTCTCTTCCCTCGCTCTCCTCTCTCTTTTTCTCTCTCTCTTTCTCTCTATTGCAATGTCTCTCCAACTTCCATCTCTCTCGCTTTCTATCTCTCTCTGATAGCATACAACCCCGTTTTTCTCCCTCGCTTGCTCATTTGAGTTCTCAGAAAGCCATCAGCCTGTAACAAACGAAACAGGTTTTATTTTATTTTCTCTGTCTCTCCCCCTCCCTTCCTTATTGTCTCACCATTTTGCCCTCTCTCCATCAAACTAGCATTGTCTCTTGACATAAAGATCACATTGCTTTCAGAGATGGGATCGGGTCTGATCGATAAACCTCCCCCAGGGGACACGGGTCCAGGTTTCTTTTTGTTCTACGCCTTGTCACCATTCCTCTTGCCCCTCTAGTAGATAACTGAAGCACAACCCCCCACAACTAGAAGCTAAGACATTCTTAAAGGGGTAGCTGTAGTAGCTTAGTATTTTGAACAGGAACGGGGTTATAATGTTCCTCTGATGTTTTCGGATAATCTTGATTGAAAACCACTTTGAACAAAAGCGTGAACTACTTTCTTCTGTAAACAGACTCCTATTTTTACATTTGATCTTTAAAAAACTTTTTTAAATTAAGTCTTTAAAACCCTGTGCATCAAATGGACCCAACCCTATAGTCCTATTGTATCATTGGACTAGCCAATGTATTAACCTATCACAACCTATTGAACCGACATTTCCAGCTCTTCATATCAGACTGCAACCTTTCCCCTCTGCACTTACCTACAGTACAACCCCTACCCACCCCACTCCCGTCTACAGTGCTGGTTGAATCCTCCAACTCCGGTGAATTGAACAATTTATTTGTTTATTTAGACCCGACTTAAAAAACATATTCATTTGTCACAGGGAAAAATGGAAGTGTTTTCCCCCCTTTCATTTAGGTTAATGAAAAATGACAGTGTTCTGTACGGGGGGAATCTATCACCTGTTTAATTTCACACTCGGGTAGGCCCAAGCTCAGCTCCTTTGTCGACACTGACCAAGTGGTGGGTGAGCCTAGTGCATCACCTTGGGGCCCAGGACGGTTTTAATTTAATACACATTTACTAAACAGGATTATGGGTGAGAATATCACATGGCACAGTCAATGCACTATCCACCCCCCAATATATATCGCGAGAGCGAAACAACAACAGAGAGGAGGTGGGTGGGTGGAGAAGAGCTCATCAAAAGCAGATCAGTGGCTTTTTGTCTGTCTATCTATCTATGTATCTATCTATGTATATATCTACAGTGGGGGGGAAAAGTATTTAGTCAGCCACCAATTGTGCAAGTTCTCCCACTTAAAAAGATGAGAGAGGCCTGTAATTTTCATCATAGGTACACGTCAACTATGACAGACAAATTGAGAAAAAAATTCCAGAAAATCACATTGTAGGATTTTTTATGAATTTATTTGCAAATTATGGTGGAAAATAAGTATTTGGTCACCTACAAACAAGCAAGATTTCTGGCTCTCACAGACCTGTAACTTCTTCTTTAAGAGGCTCCTCTGTCCTCCACTCGTTACCTGTATTAATGGCACCTGTTTGAACTTGTTATCAGTATAAAAGACACCTGTCCACAACCTCAAACAGTCACACTCCAAACTCCACTATGGCCAAGACCAAAGAGCTGTCGAAGGACACCAGAAACAAAATTGTAGACCTGCACCAGGCTGGGAAGACTGAATCTGCAATAGGTAAGCAGCTTGGTTTGAAGAAATCAACTGTGGGAGCAATTATTAGGAAATGGAAGACATACAAGACCACTGATAATCTCCCTCGATCTGGGGCTCCACGCAAGATCTCACCCCGTGGGGTCAAAATGATCACAAGAACGGTGAGCAAAAATCCCAGAACCACACGGGGGGACCTAGTGAATGACCTGCAGAGAGCTGGGACCAAAGTAACAAAGCCTACCATCAGTAACACACTACACCGCCAGGGACTCAAATCCTGCAGTGCCAGACGTGTCCCCCTGCTTAAGCCAGGCCCGTCTGAAGTTTGCTAGAGTGCATTTGGATGATCCAGAAGAGGATTGGGAGAATGTCATATGGTCAGATGAAACCAAAATAGAACTTTTTGGTAAAAACTCAACTCGTCGTGTTTGGAGGACAAAGAATGCTGAGTTGCATCCAAAGAACACCATACCTACTGTGAAGCATGGGGGTGGAAACATCATGCTTTGGGGCTGTTTTTCTGCAAACGGACCAGGACGACTGATCTGTGTAAAGGAAAGAATGAATGGGGCCATGTATCGTGAGATTTTGAGTGAAAACCTGCTTCCATCAGCAAGGGCATTGAAGATGAAACGTGGCTGGGTCTTTCAGCATGACAATGATCCCAAACACACCACCCGGGCAACGAAGGAGTGGCTTCGTAAGAAGCATTTCAAGGTCCTGGAGTGGCCTAGCCAGTCTCCAGATCTCAACCCCATAGAAAATCTTTGGAGGGAGTTGAAAGTCCGTGTTGCCCAGCGACAGCCCCAAAACATCACTGCTCTAGAGGAGATCTGCATGGAGGAATGGGCCAAAATACCAGCAACAGTGTGTGAAAACCTTGTGAAGACTTACAGAAAATGTTTGACCTGTGTCATTGCCAACAAAGGGTATATAACAAAGTATTGAGAAACTTTTGTTATTGACCAAATACTTATTTTCCACCATAATTTGCAAATAAATTCATTAAAAATCCTACAATGTGATTTTCTGGAATTTTTTTCCTCATTTTGTCTGTCATAGTTGACGTGTACCTATGATGAAAATTACAGGCCTCTCTCATCTTTTTAAGTGGGAGAACTTGCACAATTGGTGGCTGACTAAATACTTTTTTCCCCCACTGTATGTATCTATCTATGTATCTATGTATCTATCGATCTATCTATCTATCTATCTATCTATCCTGCTAAGAAACTTTCTCCTCTCCCTTTCTAATTTTTCTGAGCTCCCTACCGCTCAATCTTTCTTTATGTAGGGTGGGTTTATTTGGACTAACGCATTGTCACATCCTTCAACAGCAGACTGTCTGAGAGGCAAAGGAAGTGAAAACAAACAAGGAAAGGCCACCTGCGTGTCCAGCCCGATCAAAGCCATGCTGTTTTCCATCCCTTCCTAATACACTCCTAAACACACACACTCACCGAGCGCACACACAAATAAACACACAAACACAGCGGTGACGTGCGGTAAGGTCAGTGGCTGGGAAACCACTGGCTATTATCAAAGTCAGATTTACTCACAAATAAACTTTGATAAAGCCCAAGTTTCCCAAACAACAGATAGCTCAAACAACCAGAGTGACATAGGCTATTAACCGAAATTGACAAACAATTTTCACCAAATGTAAATACCAATGTAGCCAGGATACACAAGCGATAGCTTCCGATGGCGGCATATTTCATATCATCCGACAAAATGACACACTGCTCAACTCAGCTCAGCCATAGACCGATGTAGCATCCACAGTTAATAGACCAATATATCGGCACATTTCATCCGAATATTTTGCAACCCAAACTCCATAGCCTTTCACAATGGATTTACAATTCTTCCAATGGCACAAACACACACACATGATAATATTATTATGTGAAATATTATGATACACACATATAGAATAAATAAGGTTCTAATGTCCATATCAATAATCAAAATGACAAAAACATTTACACTGAAGTATGTGGACACCCCTTCAAATTAGTGAATTTGGCTATTTCAGCCACACCCGTTGCTGACAGGTGTATAAAATCGAGCACACAGCTATGCAATCTCCATAGACAAACACTGGCAGTAGAATGGCCTTACTGAAGAGCTCAGTGACTTTCAACATGGCACCGTCAAGTCAGTTTGTCATATTTCTGCCCTACTAGAGCTGCCCCGGTCAACTGTAAGTGCTGTTATTGTGAAGTGGAAACGTCTAGGAGCAGCAATGGCTCAGCCATGAAGTGGTAGGCCACACAAGTTCACAGAACGAGACCGCAGAGTGCTGAAGTGCGTAGAAATAGTCTGTCCTCGATTGCAATACTCACTACCGAGTTCCAAACTGCCCCTGGAAGCAACATCAGCACAAGAACTGTTCGTTGGGAGCTTCATGAAATGGGTTTCCATGGCCGAGCAGCCACACACAAGCCTAAGATCACCATGCACAATGCCAAGCGTCGGCTGGAGTGGTGTAGATGGAGTGGTGTAAAGCTCGCCGCCATTTGGCAGTCCGATGGACGAATCTGGGTTTGGCGGAGGCCAGAAAAACGCTACCTGCCCGAATGCATAGTGCCAACTTTAAAGTTTGGTGGAGGAGGAATAATGGTCTGGGGCTGTTTTTCATGGTTCGGGCTAGGCCCCTTAGTTCCAGTGAAGGGAAATCTGAACGCTACAGCATACAATGATATTCTAGACAATTCTTGCTTCCAACTTTGTGGCAACAGTTTGGGGAAGGCCCTTTCCTGTTTCAGCATGACAATGCCCCCGTGCACAAAGCGAGGTCCATACAGAAATGTTTTTTTGAGATCAGTGTGGAAGAACTTGACTGGCCTGCACAGAGCCCTGACCTCAACCCCATCGAACACCTTTGGGATGAATTGGAACGCTGACTGCGAGCCAGGCTTAATCGCCCAACATCAGTGCCCGACCTAACTAATGCTCTTGTGGCTGAATGGACGCAAGTCCCCACAGCAATGTTCCAACATCTAGTGGAAAGCCTTCCCAGAAGAGTGGAGGCTGTTATAGCAGCAAAGGGGGGACCAACTCCATGATTTTGGAATGAGGTGTTAGACGAGCAGGTGTCCACATACTATTTTAGTGTAGTTCAAATCGTCAAAAAGGTGTCTCATCAAAACAGATTCGTAGCTTGATCAATCAAATGAATCAAAGGGATGTTGTCTATTCTCATGTTCATTCAACAGTATCCTAACCTGCAAATTGCATGTAAAATAGAAGTAACAGCAGAACCCCATGTCCATTATTTTATTCTGTAGGCTCACAACAAGCCCACGGACATGTGGGAGACGCATCCCCAAAGCCTCCTTTTGTTCCATTTTCACATTGACACAAAAAGTCACACACACAAACTGTAGCTGGTAGTACAGTTCTCCCACGCAGCACACAGGTAGACAGCTGTATCCAGAGGGTCGGAGAGCAGAATCCTCCCTCGAGAGTGCGCCCCCATGCAACCATGCATGTAGAATTGTTGTAGTTAGTCGCATCCATCTTGTAGAAGCTAAGACTCGGGCCCTCATTGAGTGGCAGGAGAAGCCCCATTCCCATTACGTCCACAAAGCAAAGGTAAATGTCCAAGATGTGTAAAAGTCTGGGTAAAAAGTATTGATTGGTAATGACGTTTCAGACAAGCGGACAGTCCAGTAGTCACTGTTCGCCTGCCCGACAGATAGCAGTGTGGGAGATGGTGATTGCCTGTCATTAATAACATCACGTCTTGTAGAGTTCCTGTATGCTGCCTCTGTCTGGTCTTAACTTTCATTATAGTTGATGTTCCACTCTTCGAACCCTCCAAACGGCGTGAAACATTATTCCAACTTGGAAAATTATTTGATGTGCAGTATAATGTAAATTTTTCTGGTTGTTTTTGCTAGCTGGCTAACTAACTTCAGTCCAAGGGATGCGAGCGCCAAATTATGTTGACATGCCCAAATGTGCAGAGCTTACCACAGGTTTACCCACACAACATTTTAAGGCAATATGCATGTGCAAAATATGAAATCGGCTCAATGCAACGAATGAAGCTAGGCAAAGCAGCGACGACTATGCTGACCCTCTCCATTAACAGTGACTGGAGTCAGGAACGGCCGCACGCGTCAACGATTTGAATAGATGGAAAGGAAGGCAAGTATACCCTGGCACCTTTCCTGAGGTTCTTGATGTAGTTTTAGCACATTTTGAAATTTGTAGCATAAAAACCACCAGAATCATTGAGACAAAACATTAGGTGACAAAAAAGAATGACAAATTTGTTTTTTTACTGACAGGAGTGTTTCCTGGCCCTGATAAATACAAATATTGATAGTACTGAGGTGACTCGGGGCCACGGTCTTCAGAACCGATACACATATTTGAAGGTCACACCCCTTTCTCTAGTTTCCCTCCAATTATCCACCCTTATCCTCTCCTCTTCTTCCCTCATCGGGTCATGACTTCATACTATAAAAAAGCACACATTTCCTCCTCCATTGCTTCTATCAGTTTTATTCCCTCACACAATTTCTCGCTCTTCTCTTAAAAAAGGGAAATACAAAAATTGGCTGTTATTTTTTCTTCGTCTCTCTGGAGTCTCCGCCGTTCCGTATTTGCTCAACTTAATGGAGATCCCTTGGTTAAATGGACTCTGGTTATGACATGATTGAGTAAAAGTAGCAGACAGACACAGGCGCTGAGAGAATAGCTGATGCAGACATCTTCCCTGCTAATTGAAAGGTTCATAGGCAGTGCGGGTGGCAGCCACATCAAAGACCAACAGCTAATTAGTGCCCCCTCCCTCCCTCCCTCCCTTCACTTTTATTTACTCAATTTCTTAGCTCTTCTTTTTTTTCTTTTATATATGTCAGGGTGGCATGAGCGGAATATTAATTCAGTGGCGAATGCTCTCTCGGCTCACTCCCACATTTCCCTTCTCATGCTGAGTTTGCATAAATGGACTCAGGTGGCCAGGCAAGCCAGGGCCTTGTTTATTTAACAGCTGCTCTGGGGTCAGTTGACTTGTGCATTTGCATTGGAACCCGTCATCATGGCATGTCGCTGTCTGGGATCAGATACCGTGTGTGCTCATCATATGGCACTGACAGACATTTTGCAATGCAGCGTCACAATATGCTTTAGAACACTCACAAAATGGCCTCTCATATAGTTGTATCAAATCCATTTTACAATTCAATTTCATAATCTCCATTTACCATAATCGACGCAGTCACATTGATAGCGAATCCTAACAATTGGATTTGGGTTAATTGTTGTGTACAGCAGTGGTTCCCAAACTGAGGGGTCGGCACAGAGCTATTTAGAGAGCTATTTAAAACTTGTCAGAAATGTCCAGATCAACTAGCCCATGTCAGCTAACGTTTTTAGCTACAGTGAGGGAAAAAAGTATTTGATCCCCTGCTGATTTTGTATGTTTGCCCACTGACAAAGACATGATCAGTCCATAATTTGAATGGTAGGTTTATTTGAACAGTGAGAGACAAACAAAAAAAATCCAGAAAAACGCATGTCAAAAATGTTATAAATTGATTTGCATTTTAATGAGGGAAATAAGTCTTTGACCCCTCTGCAAAACATGACTTAGTACTTGGTGGCAAAACCCTTGTTGGCAATCACAGAGGTCAGACATTTCTTGTAGTTGGCCACCAGGTTTGCACACATCTCAGGAGGGATTTTGTCCCACTCCTCTTTGCAGATCTTCTCCAAGTCATTAAGGTTTCGAGGCTGACGTTTGGCAACACGAACCTTCAGCTCCCTCCACATATTTTCTATGGGATTAAGGTCTGGAGACTGGCTAGGCCCCTCCAGGACCTTAATGTGCTTCTTCTTGAGCCACTCCTTTGTTGCCTTGTCACCTTCTCACCAAGCTGCTTGGCGATGGTCTTGTAGCCCATTCCAGCCTTGTGTAGGTCTACAATCTTGTCACTGACATCCTTGGAGAGCTCTTTGGTCTTGGCCATGGTGGAGAGTTTGGAATCTGATTGATTGATTGCTTCTGTGGACAGGTGTCTTTTATACAGGTAACAAGCTGAGATTAGGAGCACTCCCTTTAAGAGTGTGCTCCTAATCTCAGCTCGTTACCTGTATAAAAGACACCTGGGAGCCAGAAATCTTTCTGATTGAGAGGGGGTTAAATACTTATTTCCCTCATTAAAATGCAAATCAATTTATAACATTTTTGACATGCGTTTTTCTGGATTTTTTTGTTGTTATTCTGTCTCTCACTGTTCAAATATACCTACCATTAAAATTATAGACTGATCATTTCTTTGTCAGTGGGCAAACATGCAAAATAAGCAGGGGATCAAATACTTTTTTACCTCACTGTAGGTTTTTTAGCCCATAGATTTTGTTGTAATGTTTGAGTCACTCAACTATCACATGAATACACATTAGACATGGCAAAAGGTATAGAATTGAAAGAAAATGTGCATTAAAACTGCAGAATGTTTTTTTCTCTGCACCCCCATGACAAAATGTGTAGAATTGCAGGAAATAAGCTTTAAACCTGCAAAATGTTCTCTCCGCCAATAAGGCGGTGTGAACAGTTTGTGTCATGGACAGTGCTTGTGCCCATAGAAAGAGATGTGGCGCGTGCGTGAAGGTGGGGCGCAGGATATTCCCCAAAGCTGGAAGGGGGGCCTGAGTGAAAACGTTTGGGAACCCTTGGTGTACAGTATTGTAAAAAAAAAAAAAAAGGACACAGTCTTTGTCTTGAGTTTGATGTGTACTCTCCTTAATACTCCCAGCCTCTGGAGTTCCTCCATTGTTCACTGTGTGTGGGGCTAATGAAGTGAATGCCCTTCCACTGTATCGACCCATCGAGCGTGTCAGAGCCCATTGCTGATGACCCATATCAGGGCGATGAGATGGACTGCTGCTCCTCTGGACCCAGCAGCGCCCGCTACAGTGTGACCTGCCCCATAATCCACTTAAGGAGATGGGTTATGCTAAGTGGCACTTCCACGACTACACCATCAATTTCCCTATTAGGGCCAGTGGGGGCCTAGCTAAAGCAGCCCGTCAATACAGATGGGCGAGTCAGATAGTCAAAAAAGGAGACTGAGACGGAGGACAGTAGGGAAGCATCTGGGCTCCCGGGTACATATATATTTGTTTAATGTTGTACAAGATTGCGTTATACAGTGAGGGAAAAAAGTATTTGATCCCCTGCTGATTTTGTACGTTTGCCCACTGACAAAGACATGATCAGTCTATCATTTTAATAGTAGGTTTATTTGAACAGTGAGAGACAGAATAACAACAACAAAATCCAGAAAAACGCATGTCAAAAATGTTATAAATTGATTTGCATTTTAATGAGGGAAATAAGTATTTGACCCCTCTGCAAAACATGACTTAGTACTTGGTGGCAAAACCCTTGTTGGCAATCACAGAGCTCAGACATTTATTGTAGTTGGCCACCAGGTTTGCACACATCTCAGGAGGGATTTTGTCCCACTCCTCTTTGTCATTAAGGTTTCGAGCCTGACGTTTGGCAACTCACCCCTTCAGCTCCCTCCACAGATTTTCAATGCGATTAAGGTCTGGAGACTGGCTAGGCCACTCCAGGACCTTAATGTGTTTTGGGTCATTGTCATGCTGGAATACCCATCCACGACCCATTTTCAATGCCCTGGCTGAGGGAAGGAGGTTCTCACCCAAAATTTGACGGTACATGGCCCCGTCCATCGTCCCTTTGATGCGGTGAAGTTGTCCTGTCCCCTTAGCAGAAAAACACCCCCAAAGCATAATGTTTCCACCTCCATGTTTGACGGTGGGGATGGTGTTCTTGGGGTCATAGGCAGCATTCCTCCTCCTCCAAACACGGCGAGTTGAGTTGATGCCAAAGAGCTCGATTTTGGTCTCATCTGAACACAACACTTTCACCCAGTTCTCCTCTGAATCATTCAGATGTTCATTGGCAAACTTCAGACAGGCCTGTATATGTGCTTTCTTGAGCAGGGGGACCTTGCGGGCACGGCAGGATTTCAGTCCTTCACGGCGTAGTGTGTTACCAATTGTTTTCTTGGTGACTATGGTCCCAGCTGCCTTGAGATCATTGACAATATCCTCCTGTGTAGTTCTGGGCTGATTCCTCACCGTTCTCATGATCATTGCAACTCCACGAGGTGAGATCTTGCATGGAGCCACAGGCCGAGGGAGATACTTATTTCCCTCATTAAAATGCAAATCAATTTATAAAAAAATTTACATGCGTTTTTCTGGATTTTTTTGTTGTTATTCTGTCACTCGCTGTTCAAATAAACCTACCATTAAAATTATAGACTGATAATTTCTTTGTCAGTGGGCAAACGTACAAAATCAGCAGGGGATCAAATACTTTTTTCCCTCACTGTAAATGGTCTGGCTATTTTCAAAAACCTCTTTGATCCAGTGAAGTGTACCGTTTTAAAGTAAATCGAAAGTTTACCTTTCACAGTCGCAGTGGCTGAACTAATTTTTGAGTGATTGATAATTGGATCTTATCGTACAATTAGCGGTTTCCTCCTATCAGGAAATCTGTGTCCATGAAACAGGCTCTCGCATTGATTCCCCCGCATTGATTCCCCCTCGCAGGGATGCAAGTGGTAATATTTCCCTCCTCCCACTATCCTCAGCTTTAATTGAAATGTAAAGGATGCCTCACTGGTTGCACGGCAATGTTGTGCCTAATTTATTTTGTCAATCGCTGGACCTCTCCATGGTTGGTCATTATCTTGTACTTCCAGCAGTGCCTTTGGTTCTATCTCAGCGTCAACGTGAAATAAATGTTAAAATCCTAAAGGTGGCATACTCTGAATATATAAACACTCTGCCAAGAACTCGGCTTTAACTTTTTGGGGGGACAACAAAGATGGAAGGCATTTTTACAGCTGTATCGAAAGGTTAGGGTTTCTTAAAATGTGTGTCTGTGCTGGGCTGATAATAACAATTTCAAATTTTTCTCTATGTGTGGTCTCTGCAGAGTGTGGTTCAGGAGGATCGGGTTCAGGTATTGAGAGCTGCGAACAGGACAGGTGTCGTACGTTCGGAGGCTCGTGGGACGAGGACGCAGAGGACGACCGCTGTGTCTGTGACTTTGACTGCCATCGCGTGCCTCGCAACCCGGTAAGCCTTATCCTCCATAACTTAGCCCTCCACAAACAACCACAACCCTGTACGTGGGTTTTACTGCAATAGAGGTGGTTTTCAGTTTCACACAAGCCTAGGTAATTCCTAGGTAATGAATGCATGACATCTGACATTTACATTCAAATGTCTGTGCAATCACATTTTCATATTGAGATTGACCTTGCAATGTCACGTGTTTGAAAAGGAATGATGTACTTAGAGTAACTTTGAAATTAAATCACACGCTGATATGTTCCAGCATTCATGTGATTATGACTACGATTCTCCTCAGGTGTGTGGCTCAGATGGGAAGACCTACAGCAACGAGTGTGAAATGAAGAAAGCCAGGTGCGAAAGGCAGGAGCACCTGCTGATCCAGAATCAGGGACCCTGCACAGGTGAGCAGCCTGGACACCCCACCATAACTGATCTAAGATCAGCCAGAGTGATAACCCATCTCTTACTTTGAGAGATAACCCATCTCTTACTCGTAATTCACCCAGCTTAGTACTTTGTCATAAAGCAACGCCTAGAAATCCTGTTGTTTCTTCTGAACACCACTTTGGTTGGTAGCCTATCCAACACAGTGCCAAAGCTGGCTAGCGAGAGCTTCCCTCCCCCGATTGGATGCCTACATATAGCTCAACATGCATGTGGCTACCAAAGGCTCTAGGCTGCCACCACAGATGCTAGGCAAAAGTAGGGAAGGCTTGTTCTATGTCTTGTTCTACGTTCTAAGTCCCTGCCTTGGCAGTGCAAACCATGAGCTCTCTGTAGTAGGCCAGAGAAAAGCAAAGGGCACATAAGATATTCTGTGTGATCACTGCAGCTCGTTTGATTCCCTGCAGCCCTGAAAAGAGCGAGGGAGCAAACGAAAGAGAGAGAAATGGAGAGAGCTCTCCGCTCCGGTTTCACACTCACATCCCTGTAGAGTCGTCCCTCCTAAGCTGGCCACTTTGGGCGCTTTCTGTCACGCTTCTCCACAATCCGCAGAGAATCAATTCCTTTTTTCTTGTGGAGTGCTATTGGTGCGCGAGCTCAGGGCCCTCTTCTTCTCCCAAAAAGCTCAGATCAATTGGAATCTCTTCATTAGCTATGCATGGAGGAACTTGTCTTTGACCACGGTTTGACCTCCAAGCCTTCAATCTCAAGGAAGCACCTGACTGCTTTAACTTGACAAAGGGGGTTTGAACTCAACACAACCTTGTGTTGTTGTTTTTTACTGTCTTATGTGGTTTATAAACACCTTACGTGTTGTGTCTCTGGGAAAATGTTTCATCATGCCTTTCTGAGTTCTTTGATCTATGACAGCTGTCTCAAATAACTTTCAAGCTGTCCTATTTTGCATTTTTTTATCAGAAAACTGGGTCAGTGATTCCAGTTTTCATGAGGTCTAAAGAAAGATTCTGTGGTATATACCGTTGCTTAGTACACAGGCACTCAATTCTCCCCTTGTTGAAATACAAAGGCTACATACATAGCCGTGGCAGCAGCAGACCTTGAGATAGAGAGAGAGAGTAATACTCGCATATCAGAGAGAACTGTATTGTGCCAGACAATGGCCACTGTAGAGGAAAAACCAATAGGTTGAAGAACATATGAAATTAAAAGTTCTCTCTTGTCCTAATAGGCTCAGTACAGATAGTAGCGGGAGCGCTGAAAAGTGGCAAGTTAATGAACTGTGTCCAAAGCTCATCGCTGGAGTGGAAAAGCACTGGAAAAAGAGAGAGCAAGTCATCACCATTAGGCTTCGGCTCATATCCACACCAGTAACAGTGTGATTTATGGGCCGGTAGCTGCAGCCTCCAAACTCCAAATGAGGAACACAAGAGAGGAAGAAAGAAAGAGCGAGCGAGCGAGGGGGAGAGTTCTTCCTCCCAACTCTACCACTGGCGGCCATTTCGATCCAAGGCCTGAAGAGAGTTTAAGCAATAATATATTGCCTTGGCCGTTGAACAACCCCCCCTCCCTTCCTCTTTTCCTTCCATCCTTCCATATCTCGCTCATTTCCCTTGTACACAAGTGCTCTGTTGGGTAACATATTTGTTTGGGGTGTGTTGTATGCGGTTTTCGAGCTGTCACGTCGCCGTGGAATCTGGCGCTCCCACAGACAAAACAACTACACACATACGCTCACAGATTGGCCCAGTCCATCAAATTCAGCCGTAGACTCGTTTTTTTTCTGCTTCTGCGAGCTTGTAGCGACGTTGTGTCGCGCTCTGCAATTTCACAGGAGAACAAATTAAGAGAATAGGGCTCCTAGGAAGTGGCAAATGTCAGCTGTTGCAAATCCACTAGGAACACCATTGTTTATTTTCACTGCACTGGAGGTAATAGCATAATTCTCCCTCTGATTTTGAGCCATTGTCAGGATTGGGAAAATATCATTGTTATCTGGAAGCCAGATGCCAGCTTCTCCACCCCTGGCTTTCCAGGCGAAACTCATTGTTGCATGTTGTTCAGAGATTGTGTCTTCTAATTCCCCTTAAAAGAGCCTTCACTGTCACTTCTCTCCCTCTTTTGTTCCATCCTCCGTTTCGGCCCCTCATCAGCAATTTCGGCCACCTCTCCGACAGAGCTGACAGCGCCGGAACACTGCAGTCAGTCAGTCTATGGCTGTTGCCGGGACAACAAGACGGCGGCCCTTGGTGTGGGACTTGCCGGATGCCCCAGTAAGTGCGCCAACCTCTCACATGACATCCAACCTCTCACCTCTGAGCAACAGCAGACCGTTTCCAGTCTCGCCTCTGACCCCTCGTATTATATCCATCACAATGGTATTCACTTATTGACCAGATGCGCACAATCAGCCTAGCATACAATTCTTTAAAATGAAAACCTGCATATAAAGTGATATCTAAAGGTGAACATATAAGGCTGGTTTCCTGGACACAGATTCAAGTCTAGTCCTGGGCTGGGTTTCCCAAAAGCATCGTAGCACTAAGATCATCTTATTTCCATTGAAACAAAATGTACGAAAGAAAGATGATCTTAGTGCTACGATGCTTTTGGGAAACCCAGCACTGGACTAGACTTGAATCTGTGTCCAGGAAACCAGCCTTATATGTTGACCTTTAGATATCACTTTATATGCAGGTTTTCATTTCAAAGAATTGTATGCTAGGCTGATTGTGCTCATCTGGTCAATAAGTTAATACCATTGTGATGGATATAATACGAGGGGTCAGAGGCGAGACTGGAAACGGTCTGCTGTTGCTTTGCTGTTGTAGCTATAGATAATTATCTAATTAATTAAATAATTCAATGTCATTGGTGTCCCCTAGGTACATGCCAGTGTAACCCGTACGGCTCATACAAGGGGACTTGTGACCCGGCCAGCGGCCAGTGCTCCTGTAAGCCCGGCGTCGGGGGACAGAAGTGCGACCGCTGCGATCCAAGCTTCTGGAACTTCCGCGGCATCGTCACAGAGAACTTGAGCGGATGCACACGTAAGAGACCTCCTCCTACTCTGCCTCTTTCGCCATCTCTTTTCTTCTCATGAACTGTCCTTACGTAGGAAACAGAAGAGTTATGGTCCTGTATAGCACAGTTAGTAGACTATGACACTTGCAACTCAAGGTTTAGGAATTTTTTTATTTGACTTCTCTATAGACCCTTTTCCAGTACACGACACACTGACGTCACGGACAGATGTGCCCGACTCTTTGCGGCAGTAAGAAAGCCATCGCCATCTGCGCCCATTCAACATAGCCTAGATTTACGTTTTTTTTAAACTTCTAAACAAAATAGATTTTTGGGGTTCTCATACGCTTACAATTATGTTTTGATTCTTGCTTGAACAGTCGCTAAGATTATATTTGGTTGTGATCTTTGCAAAATAACTATTTTGGATGCAGCAGTTGTTAGCTAGAATGCTAACGCTCATTGATATAGGCTGTAGCAAAAGCTAGCCAAAGAGCCATTTTACTGGTTGAAGTTGAAGTGTTTTTTAAGTATAATGCAGTTGATTTGCGATGATGACACAAACATTAAATTAAGCAGGATATTCATACAAGCCTTAAAATCCAATTATAATCCAAAAGTAGTGTGAAATGCACTCATGTGGCAATGTTTGTAAACACAGATAGGGGTCTATTGGGCCGTCTAGTATTTTTTTCCTTTTGGGCTTGACTTCAGCTAAACTGCAGTACCGAAAGTGCCCTCTGAGCACAGTGGAAAGAGTGCTTCCTGACTGGAACACTGGCCCCATGAGGTTTACTCACGGACAAGCAAACAGTACACACATCAGTGCAGAGTTCAGCAGGGGGAAAAACATTGATTCCAGGAACATGATGGGGTTTGATGTTGTCCCTTGCGGGCTGGTGGCTCTCTGTGATCTTGTTGGCCCATCTACCCTCTCCCATCTTGCCACAGGGCTGTCTGGCTGGCCTCGGCCTGAACTATCTCTGACCCCAGTCCCCGACAATGAAGCGCTGAGATTTACATCAACCCAGGGGTCACTTCTGAGTTGGCCTGTGTGTGTGTGTGTGTGTGTGTGTGTGTGTGTGTGTGTGTGTGTGTGTGTGTGTGTGTGTGTGTTTGTGTGTGTGTTTGAAAGAGAGTGTGTGTGTAGGGGCTGGTTTCTCAGACACAGACCAAGCCTAGTCCTGAACTAAAAAGCATAATAGAGAATCTTGGAGAGTGTTAGGGATAGAGTAGAGGGATAGTCTTTCATTATGATGAACAGATGGACTTTTATTCACTGTATTCTATGCATCCCTTTCTCTCTCCATCCCTTTCTCCCTGTCTCTCTTCCTCCATTCCCCCCTTCTTCTCCCTATTCATATCTCCCTTTCTCTCTTTCTTTCTCTCTTTCTCTCTTTCTCTCCCTCGGTGTTCCAGCGTGTAACTGCGACGCGGTGGGCTCGGTGAGGGACGACTGCGAGCAGATGTCAGGCCTGTGCTCCTGCAAGACGGGAGTGAAGGGCATGAAGTGCAACGTGTGCCCCGACGGCAGCAAGATGGGTGTGAGCGGCTGTGACACAGGTAAGGTGGAGCCCCCGCTGACTGACGTGTGCCACCTGCTAACTCGCCGCGACATCGATGAAGCATGGCGAGTGTGGTAACACCTCTCGTCTAGTCCCTGTTACTCCTCTCGTCCAGGGGGCGGCCTTGCAGAGCCTTTTAATGAACTCAATGGCTTTTTCTCAAAGACACGTGTTTTAGCAGCATTTAGAACAGTGAACACGTTTGCAGTACAATAGCTGTCGTTGTTCATGGTGTTATCTGAAGGAAAAACAAATCAGAATGGGAAATATTTTAAGCACTTCTATTTTGGCCATTTATCCAGTATCCAGTCATTTAGCCCTCTATCAGTAGTTTCCCTCGCCCTCCTCCATTCTAATTTAGCCCAATGAATACACACATAACTCCAGTTGACGGAAAGGGAAGGTGAGCCCCTGCTGTGTCGTCCTGGTCTCGTTAAGACCCACCGTCAGCTATCGACAGGAAATCAAGTGCTTAATGAAGTCAATAGTCCCAGCCCAGCAGTGGTGGTCTGTGGCGTACCGGTAGATGAAAAAAGAGGGTCCTGGTGGTGGGGGGGTACATGAAAACCAAGAGGAGGCGCTCCGCACGGCTGTTATGTCAGCGCAGAGAGCCCACACTCAGCGCCTCAGGGGCTCATGGGTAGGATTCTGGGGCCAAGCCCCTGCTGCTGCTGATGCAACCCAGTGGTGATATGTGTCAACGCTTCTAACAGGTTCCTTGGTGAAAGTACCAGAGATCAGTGCTGCTTAGACGCCCAGCCAAAACAATACATTTTTTAATTGTCTTGAAAAGAGTCCACAAATTTACTTTATATTAAAGATTCATCATTAATATAATCTGTATGGAAAGCATAACCATTAATTCATCTGCATAACCTACCCATGTTTTTATATGTGGAACTATTACTGCGCATATCAAATATGATGATGATTATCAACTAGGATTAAGGGCAGTTAAGAGCGCCAAGCTCACATGCTAATGTGAGCATCATGATTTGGCCCAGGAATACCCAATTAGATGAATGGCCAGTGATGCCATAGCTGCCTATCTATTGTCCCATGAGTTGATTTGAACCCCTCATTCCCATCTCAGGTGCCGATGCCCCAACCTCATGTGATGAGCTGGACTGCAAGTTTGGCGCGTTGTGTGACAAGGTCAACGGTCAAGTCCACTGCGAATGTCCCTCTCCCGACTGTGACGAGAAGAACAAGACCAAGGTGGGCCTCTACATTCTCTTCTCTATGACCAATCAGTCCTCTTCTCTATGACCAATCAGTCCTCTTCTCTATGACCAATCAGTCCTCTTATCTATGACCAATCAGTCCATACTGTCAGAAGTCCAGCACAGAATCCAGACCCCAGCACCTGGAACTACCAAGCTTCAGTTCCCCATTTAGTAGCAACGGTGGTTGGTAGTAGGCAACGCTAGAGTTAACAAGTTGTAGCTTCTTCTTGTTCTCTCTTTTTCCCGAGCAGGTGTGCGGCTCTGATGGGGTGACCTACGCTGATCAGTGCCAGCTGAGGACCATTGCCTGTAGGCAGGACAAGCATATCACAGTGGAACGCTTTGGCCAGTGCACAGGTGAGCCCCGTTTGGCCTCCATACATCATACTAGGGGAAGTCCAACTCCTGTTGTCAGGCCCATATCAAAAGATAATGAGTAATGCCACAGGCATCGGAAAGACCAACTGTCCTCTCTCTAACTATCTGGACTAGGGGATATGGGTTGTGTCCACTTTGGGTTTGGTGCCGTATTGCTTCACTGTCTCTTTCACTGTTTTCAGTTTGTCTGTGGATAGCCTTTATAGTTATACTTATAAGTACGTAAACTTTACTTTACACATTACTGTAGTAACCTCTTATACGGTCTAACTGTTTTAAAAACACTTTTTGAGACTGACTTCACAAGATATCATCAAGTCTTTTTATTGTAGTGTGTGTGGGCTTTATATGTCAAGAATTTGCAGTAAAGCACAAGTTTTCTCTGTGGCCACCAGTTGTGGAAATAACGAACAGCTGGCTTGTCGTCAACATACCTGTGAGCGCATACGATGACAGCTGAGGCTCTTTACCCATCATCCTCCCTGCTTGGGATTGCAGTGTCACTGCGAGTGAAATCAACACCGTGGCTGACAGAGAGGAGCGAGGAAGAAGGAAAACAAAGTCTTGGGAGAGAAACGAGGCCTGACGGATGCTCCCCTGTAGATAGAGATGCTGCAGTTTGGATGGAGCCTGCTGAGCCACGGATTCCCCAGAAAGGAGTGACATTTCACTGTTTGATTCCCTCCACCCCTGTGTGGATTAGGGAGGTTTAGCTCCAAAAACCTCTGTGGGGAATCCTTCAATCCCTGTCGCATTTTTTAGCTGGATGGAGTGCACCACTACACTGAGTGGTATAGTGTGCACTGGGACAAGCGCCAAGGCCGTGGCTTTCATGTACGATGGACGTGTTGAGCCGAGCACCGGCAAGCGTCACGGCAGGGCCCGCGGGGACAGCATGGCACTGGGAAGCGCTGGCAGGCGGGCACAGGAAGGTTGGACATGGGCCAGTGCCAGGTGCCTAGCATCTCGCTCAGGAAAATGTTTGCTCACCTCACCGCTTAGCGCCCACAGATCAGACGAACGCAAAAAACAGCAATTCGAGAAAAGCCTAATTCTCTTACTCCCTGCTGATCTTGGTGCAGTTTGTCAGGCCTAAAGTAGGTGCAATACTTCGGAGACTCCACCTCAATCCCTAACCAAGGCTTCTGAAATAGCGCTTTGTGGTGGACTTATACATACAGGTACACTGGAGTAACAGTAATTTTCTCTATAAGAGGCCAACAGCGCTTTGATAGGCCCGGAACATCTGGTGATTAGAGATTCGTTACCGGTGAAATTCACTCCAGACTCATTCTCTGTTGCCTGGCGATGGAAAGGGAAAGGGGCTACCTAGTCAGTTGCGCTACTGAATGCATTCAACCGAAATGTGTCTTCCGCATTTAACCAACCCCTCTTAATCAGCGCCCGGGGAGCAGTTGTTGTTGGGGGTTAACTGCCTTGCTCAAGGGCAGAACGGCAGATTTTTCCACCTTGCCGGCTCAGGGATTAGAACCAGTGACCTTTCGGTTACTGAACCGCTAGGCTACCTGCTGCTCACATGAGACATTGGTAGTATGTAATTCCTTACCTAGTGTGTAGCCTTATTCGGAGGGAGAAAGAGTTGTAACAGAGACCGCTTTCTCTCTCTCTCTCTCTCTCTTTCTGAGCCTGAGGGGAAAGCCAGGTGAACACGACGGGCCTCCGACTTGTCACAGCAGCTCTTTTCATTTCTTCCTTCGGATGCGGTTGCGCCATGGGTAGCGGGCTCCTCCGCCGCCCCCATGTTGGGGGTTAGCGCGCGAGCTCATTTCACGTGTGACTGGGTGCAAATTAGCATTAGCACTGCTCCACCCTCCTACCGCCGCTGCCCCTCGTCTCCTGCTGATCTGATGCAGCTCTTAGTAAGAATTACAGAAATAACTTCAATGCTAACACCTAGCGCAGAAGCACTACTGAGGGCCTATGCCATTCCTACAGAAACCATAGTCGAGCTACAAGCCTCAAGCCTCCTTGATCTGATGTAACTCCACCGTCGTATTGTACGTCAGTGCTAATGGCTCCACACTGAAGCAAGTTTTGCAGAAAGTACATCAAATGGCTACTGCTGTTATCTGACCCATCTCTCAGGCACTTTTGAGTCTTCTCTATACTACACATAATTACTGCTTATGGCTATGTAGCCCATCTCAGAGCTAGATGAACCAATCCAGGGGAAAACCAGTGAAAGCGTGAAAGGTACAAGCCACTAAAAGAGGGTATTTGAACGAATGAGAAACTTCTGGCACCGATCTTGTCCAGAAGTTGGCCAGTGGCCTGGTTCTCCCATATGGTGTCATCACCTCTACGTTTGCGGCAAATTGGCAGCGAACACAAGCATATGGCATCATCAGTTTTCTGCCTGAATGTTAGTCAGGGTTCTCTTGTCTTATACGCCTCTCCCTCAGTCCTCCCATTTTCCCAGATGAATTTGTCTTCTCTCCCTCCCTCTCTCTCTATCTCTCTCTTTCTCTCACCTCATACTTTCCCTCATCACTTCTTGGTCTTATTTCCTCTGTCCCTCTTTTCCTGTCTTGGTCTCTTTCTTTTTCTTTTTCTCTTTCTCCCCCTCCCCCACTGTTTTTCTCCCTCTTCCATTTTCTCTCGACATTCTAATATGAGATTCCTCCTCCCCACTGATCATGGCAGACACTGCAAACAATCTTAATAACCGGCTTTCAAAGATAACTACATAGCCCAGACAAGTGAAGATGACAATGATTTTTCTCCCGCCCGCCCGCCGATATAACAGTCTGCCTCTCGGGAAAAAAAGCAAAAAGCAAATGGAGCGTTAAACCTGATTAAGGAAAGCTTCCACCAAACTGACTACACTGTCAGTTGTTCTTCCTACCTTTCTTTCTTTCTCTTTCTCTTTGTTTTATTTTACCCATACATCCTCGAGCATTTGCCGCCAAAGGACGCCGTATCCCAGACACCTGCTCCCCTGGCGCCGCCGACGCAAGGCTTGGCACCTGAGTGACAGGTGTAGCCAATAGAAAAAGTAAAGTGTGCCACCGCCTCGCTCACGGCGATAGCAATCACTGTTGCACTCTCAGGGCTAAGCTGACATACTGTATCTCTCCAGACTGGCTCCTCTGCCTCCTCTCCTCTGGAGCCTAGCAGGGTGGAAGATAGTGGGGTGCCTGGCTGATAATACCCAGCGCTTCGTCAAGGTATCACATTTCACACTTCACGGTGTAATTGCCGATCAAATAAGAGATTATTAGTGTGCAATTAAATCCTACGCATAATATTAGCCAAATTCAAATGAGGTTTTATTTCCCCCCTCGACACACAATGGATGGGGTAGGAGCATCAGTATCGTTATGCCTATCGTTATGCCTGGCTGGCTCGCCATCATCCTAGCAGCTACACTCTCAGACTCACCTCTACCCCTCAGGATTTTTTGTCCTATTGTATCGGTTTTATCCGATACATTTTTGTCTTTGTACCAAAGCCTTGCATGGGTAATGGTCTCAGCTCAAAGAAAAAAAGCGGTCCCTCTCTCTGCTGACAGCAGGGAAAGGGTTTCGGAGAGTGTTTTTTGGATGGCATGTATGACTGTGTTGACAAGGCTGCCTGACGCGGCGGAGTTGACGGATGCTTGTGCGGCTGTGAGCCGAGTCTGTAGTCTTTGAAGCCAAAGTAAAACCCAGCTTTTTCTGCCCCATTTATATCAATCATTCATCACCAGAGGCGCTGGCTGTCTGTGATTAAAGCTCCACTACAGGAGGGCAACATTTGAATATGGATATATAATTCATACCCACAGACACACACCAACACTGAAGAAAAACACACGCCTCACAAACACACACACACCGACACACACACACGCCAGTGCAACTGCAGTGCAGCTTAACCCTATATAGGCCACATTATTCTTCTCTGTACACAAACAGACTGCAGTGCATTTGAACTCAACAGTATGCAGTGGTGTAATGTACTTTAGTAAAAATACAACTTACTTCTGAAAAATCTGAATTAAAATAAATTATTAATGAAAATACAAATGTAAAGTCCTGTATTAGTGGACCGATATAGCCGTCTGTAGCGCATGCAGAAAAACATCTGCCGCAGTGAAAAACATCTGCCACTGTGGGAAGCTTTGGAGTCAACATGGGGGTGCAACTTAATATTAGGATGGTGTTCCTAATGTTTGGTATACTCTGTATATTCCATATTGCAATGAGACTGGCCTATGCTATTGTATGTCGATCTGTATTGGGTGCTCAGGTGCCTGACGTGACCATAACACACAAGACTGAACCATAAAGGGTACAACATTTAAAAACAAGGAGAGGGTGGGGGGGAGGTCGTATTTGGTAAAGGTGTACATGGGGACTATAAGGAGAGAAAAACCAAAGCATTTCCATCTTTGCTTACCCATTCATCCATTCCTTGCTTCCTCTCCTCCCCTTCCTTCCCCATGCAGAAAGCATCATAGAGCCGGCCGGCCGACCCACTCCTTACCCCCCCACCTCCCACGCCGCCTCCACCACCCCCTCCACCGCCCACGTCAGGCTCACGTCGCCGCACCACGGCACATCACTCTCTCCCTGGGACGATGATCTAACGGAGAGGCCACCGGCCTCGTTCGTGGAAGCCTTGCCGCCCCCCATGGCCACGGAGAGCGCTCTCACCACCAACCGCCCCGTCACCACCCCCCACCACCCACCTCACTCCACCACCCCCCACCTGCCCGGTCACACCAGCCCTGGCTCCTCCCCTACCGCCTTTGAAGACTCAGGGAGCGGCGAGCCCAGCGGAGACGACCAGGTGGAGGAAGAGGAGGAGAATGAGGAAGAAGGTAGCGCTTTCGGAGTTCCGGAGGCGAGCGGAGAGGAGCCAGTTGGTAAATCAAAGCTCTTTCACTTCATTACCCATAATGCTGCTCTGCTATGGGTCAGAGGTCAGAGTGGGAGGGAAGGGTTGAATATGGGCCTCTGACCTGACTCACGGTTTGATATGTCTCATTGCTACATCATAAACCATTTAAACAGGTCATTATCTGATATTATACAACAAACATAGAGGTGTGCATTTTCAAAGTGCTTTCAGTTAGGACTAATCCAAATGTTAGGCAGAGAAATACCAGAATGTATTCTAAACCCAAGACTGTTGTCATGGTATCCTCCATTCTTTCAAAATATAAAGCTATTTTCACATTTGAAAAGTTTCTCTCACCACGTAACTGATTTTGTAGAATTGGAAAACAGAAAAGCTGATGAGGTTATTGGCTTATGTCGGGGGATTGTTTCAAGCCTGAGTTGTTAGCTTGATAAGAATATCTTACCTTGTCATTGCTACATAATGATACGGAACACGACTCTCTTTCTACACACTAAAATCCCTCTACCGCATTCCGGCCTTATAGCTAAACCACTCCGCGAAGCACCACACTTCAGAGACTGCTAGACAAACCCTTTTCAATCAGCTTTTTTACCATTCCAAAGCTCTGTGACCCCTCAGTCTCCCAACAGCTTGCTGTGACACTCCTGAATTGATGGAACACAAGCCTCTGCACTTCCTCAGTCGCTTACCCCACCCTCGCAGATTTATTCTCTTGTCAGCAGTGGACCGGAGCGCTCGCTGGCGCCCATGGCCTGTCTGCCAAGGAGACCTGGTTCTCCTGCCTGCCTGTGTGTGTGTGTGTGTGTGTGCGTGCGTGTGTGTGTGCGTGCGTGGATAATTTTTGTCTAGGTGTGTGTGTGTGTGTGTCTAAGTCTATGTGTGTGTGAGTGGGTGGATGTTTGTTAGCCAGTTCCATGGCTCTCAGTGAAGCAATACATAGTCCCTGAGCCGTAGCACTCCCCCCTACCCCCCACAACTTAATCGCCGTGCCCGTAAAGATGCCCCGTAGATTCTAACCTCCTCCCTCCATCCCTCCAACTCCTTTTCCACAGTCGTTTCTCCACGGACGCACGCGGCTGTCTCGGTGGCTTCGGTTTCACTTACGGGGGTGACGGCGAGAGTCGTTGAAGAGACAACCGTCCCCCTGACGTCTTTACAATTTATTCAGTGAGCTGCGGTTCTTTGCTTGACGATCATTTCTAATCTTGGGGTGACCATAAAGCTGCTCCTCAGAGAACAACTAGCCTCTTCACAAAGTAGTTAGTGCCATTATTACATATGCACCCTATTATGTAGCCACTACAGTATAGTTCACATTATGCAAATGAGCTCCAGATGCAACTCTTTGAGACTGGGGTTAAGAGGGTGTTATGAAGTGTTATGAAGTGTTATTAAGCATTATGAATTCTCCCCTCCCCAGACCCCACAGCCGCGGCCACCACCATCCCCACCGCGGAAGATCGCTCGTCATGTGACAACACTCCCTTCGGCTGCTGTCCCGACGGCAAGACGGCCTCCAGCAGCCCTGAGGGAGCCAACTGCCCCCGTAAGTACCCCCAAAACCTCCCTCTTATTCCCCCCTTCTCCCGCTCCCCTCCCCTCCTCGACCCCAACCCCCCACCCACTTCTTCAACTCCCTAAGGAGGCACACATTTTGAATATGAAACAATATGCTCATATTGAATCTGAAGCTGCGTTGCTTCATTCTCGCCAAGCAAACGACAACATAAATAGTCACTACCGTCCATGAAATGTATTATGTCAAACCACATTTGCAGCACGCCAAATCACGAATGACGAAACGCATCACGAATATCCGTGTATGTCAGCTGTGGCAAGGCGCTAACGATGATGTCATATGTCGTCAATCGATTGATTGCCCATTCAGCCAAACTGTTACTGATAATAGAGCGTCTCGCGCCTTAGTCAATACGCCAGAACTATTTCTCCTCCCGGGGAAGGCCTGTCAGCCAGATATCACAGTCATTAGGATGGAAATGACAAGTCCATGGCGACCAGCCAGGTGCAATATCTATCAGCAGAGTGTCTCGCTGTATTTTCCTCCTGTATTGACAAAGTGTCAGTGATCTCTCTGAGAGGAGCTAACTGCTAGTCGCTAACGCCTATCGTCTGAAGCCTTAGATGACAGCGTTTATCGGGCGATCTGAAGTTATCAGAAGGTGTGGACAAATTGTAGTGGTGCACCGATGGACATTGTGATTGTGTTTTTGTTCCGTTAATCATTCGAATCCCCACAGTACACCCAAAAATGTTTATGCATCAGCGTAGTCGCAAGATTTGATTCGGGGTAGCCAAGATAAGCATCAGTGGGAGTGATTCTAATTACTAATACTTTGTTGCCACATCATTTAAACATCTGAAAAGTGTAATACTGTATGTTATACAAAGTTTTATATATTTGAATGAAGAAATAATGTGCATGATTTCCAAATGTAATACTAAGAGCAAAGCTACTGTCAACACTCCCAATGCAAGTTGCAAGAGGCGAGTTAAACTCCAACGAGGCCTAAGTTTCACAGTTCAATGTGATCTGATAGTCAAACACCCCCATCCCTCTCTTCGTCCGTCACGGATCCCGCTCGTCTGAAAAATTGCCTCCTCTGATGTTTGTCTTCTACCCGGATAAAAAATCTGATTTATCTCTCTCCTCTCGTCTTTTTTCTTCTCCCCATCCAAATCTCCCCCATTTGCTCCTTTTCGATAGCAGCCCCGTTAGATTTCGATAGCAGCCCCGTTAGATTTGAACCGATGTGTGTCGGGCAGAAACAACGACCAAAAAAAGTCCTTATCATGCAATTTTAACCAGCCTATTTAAGTCACCGGTTTGGCGGCATTAGGAGACAATTACTGCTATCTTTCACGATAATCAAACAAGTGATCTTCCCTTTTTCCCAGGCAAACTCCGAGCAGGGCACCATGATTGATTTGGGCAATTTGTTCGGCTGACTACGAGCCACAGCATGAAACCTCAACATCAGTGCCTCTCCTCTCCTTCTCTCTTCCTTTCTGCTTTATTTCACTCTTCTCTTTCACGTTGTCTTTAGTCTCGCTGCAACTGTGTTGGCGGAACAATAGTGAGAGGCCATAGGGGGTTGATGGATTTTGAACAGGGAATGGGGATGTTTAAGGGCAAAGCGGGAGACTGTCTTTGCCAAAGCCAGGGACTTTGAACAGTTTCTTCATTTTTGCTATGTGTGTTGTCTTGTCTGTCCCTCTCTGCTTGTCTTTGTAATATGTGTGTCAGTGTGTCTTGTCTGTCTAACTGATCTCTCTCTACTCAGTCCTTAATGCCTCTGCCAACTTTTGGGACGAGTCTCGGTCTGGTAAACTCCAGTCCATTCCTCACCCCTTCCGCTTCTCCTCCTCTTCCCTTCTTCTTTCACTCCTCCATATCCCACAATCCACTCTTTCAACTTTCACTGTGGCCAGTCACAGGCTCCACCCAAACTCCCTACAGCCCCACCCATCCAACCAACCAATCAACAACGACCACACTAACCCTCCTTCCAACACATGCACACACACTCCATCACTAACCCCAGACTGGCACTACCCCAAACGGTCACTGTCTGAAGCTGAGGGCGGGTGGTTGAAGGCACCGCATGCCTCATAGGCACAGGAAGTAGTGTTTTTCTAACATGTTTGTGACACCATTTCCTCCCAGCCACCATGAGGTTCAGCGGCTTCCTGCACCTAGACCAGGTGGAGGGCCAGGAGGTCTTCTACACCCCTGAGATGGAGGATCCCAAGTCTGAGCTGTTTGGGGAGACGGCCAGGAGCATCGAGAGTGCTGTGAGTAGCCCCCGAACATACAGAACTAGCAGCCATAGATAAGCTACATTCAGTGGTTCAACGTCAGTCTGTTGAAGAAGTGTGGTTTGTCAAAGCTAGGGCTGTGCGTGGGTGCGTGTGCATGTATGCTACTCGCCTCCAACAGCCATGCCAGCGGTTAAAATGGTATCACTGGCCCCTGCCGAGACCTAATCTACCGCCTCACAACACTGTGTCTCTGTGTGTGTCTGTATGTGTGTGCGTCGTACGCCTCGCAGGGGCCAGTTGTGGCATTAGATAGCGACACCATGCCCCCTCTAGCCCCCTGTATGTGTCTGTCTGCTAGAGACTGTTTGTGGATATCACCTAAGGTGAAAACTAGAGAGGGGGAGAAGTGGCCTTGTGTCTGGGTCAGTGTGCCGGTGGGGGGATGTTGAGACGCCTGGCTTGTGTCTGGGCTCACACACACACACACACACACTGAATGTAGACACAGATTGGCTTTGCCACGCTGCCTGCAGTCCCATCCTCCACACAGCAGGGGCCCCCGTGGAGTCTGTGCAAAAATTCCAGTATGCTATAATGGATAATGGAATATAGTTTGGAAAGAAGTGGTGGGAGTGGTGTCTCTCACTCCCCTAAGAAGAATTTTGAGTGAACAGAGGAAGAAGAGAACAGCAGAACTAAGTGTACGCTTCAAGATCACTTGAAGTGTGGGATAGCAGCGATTAGCACAGATTCAAATTAGGTCAGGCACTTGGTACAGTACCTTATTTCTCCCTTAAGGTATCAACTTGAGTCGGTTGAGTGAGATACATTATGAATGTTATTCTCTGTTTAGTAGGGAACCATGAAGCCATGTGGATTGTGTACAGTTGAGCTATTTCCTTCCTGACAATGATTTAGACCTCATTTGGGCACCGAAAGCACGCACACACACACACAGTGTGAATCGGAAGCTAAACCAATCAGCAGCCAGCGTGCATCATGCTCACCTGACATTTACCACTGTTTCTGAAAAAACATGTTCATGTAATTATTCCCCAGCTCCAGTTAAATGTCAATTTGTGCACCCAGACTAGGCCCAATGGGGTTCTACACAGTAGTAGGCCTATCCACTGACATAGGATGCGTCCCAAATGGCACCCTACTCTCTATATAGTGCATTACTTTTGACCAGGGCCCACAGGGTTCTGGCCAAAAGTAGTGCTCTATGTAGGGAATAGGCTGCTATTTGGGACGTAGACATAGTCTTCCCCATCCTTCTTGAGAATGAGTTCACTGCACTCAAATTGGACGAGCCTCTGCACAGAGCTTATTACCTCGCTCATTCATCATTGCTGGGTATTCATTAGGCACAAAAAGGAACAAATGGACTGAAACAGGGAGGGACTACCTGAACTTGTCCAATAAGAAATGCTTGATTTAGTTCTCCATTGCAAAATGTTTTGCTTCGGTGTGTACTAATGAATGTGTGTTTCTTCCTCCCTGGCTCAGCTGAATGAGTTGTTCCGGAAATCAGAGGTGCAGAAGGACTTCATGAGTGTCCGCGTCCGCAGCCTGGCTCCCAGCAACTCCATCTTGGCCTTCGTCGAGGCCCACTTTGACCCAGGTAATACAGAACAGGACATTTCTGGAAAAATCATGGCGAAGGTGCATAAAGATGGAGGAATTCAGATATGACGTCATCTTTTCAGCACTATTCATAGAGTTCTTAAACTACGGCGTGTGACATGGTTCAATGTGCCAATAAATCAGCACAATCTACTTTTTCGTTTATTATTTTATTACCGCCGTCTTGGAGCTAAAATTGGGATCATGTATACTGTGCTAATGCCCATACAAAAAAAAAGAATAACGGAGAGCACTGTACAATACGGCAAACTTAGCAAACAAGGCGTTTGTGGTAAGTACATGGGGCTGCCATCTTAATACACCTTCGCCATTCCATTTCAATTCAGTCAAGTCTGGAAACTTCAAATCAAACATTTTCTGTAAGAAAGTATAGAGGAAAATTCCTATTGGAATTTCAGTTTACTTCCTGAATTGACTGAATTCAAATGGAATTGACTTCAACCCTGATAAAACACACTTGTTTACTGTATGGTAAATGTGTAAGGCAAATGTACTGTAATGGCTAATGTTACACATTACACAAAAAAAAAGACTATGTTTCTAAATGCCTATGTCAATAACCACATAGTATGCCATCATATATAATGTTAGTGACACGTTTGTTACTGGTTAGGCTGTGGTCTTAATGGAAAGTGTCAAAATGATAATTTCCCCTCAATAGTTACTTTTCCTTTGATACCAAATTAATCTCTCCCTCACTAACATAATTGCTATGCGATACAACAACACTGAAAGTCATTCCATTTTACAAAGCACCTTGGCTTTGTAATTTTAAACCTTGGCTTTGTTATTTTCCTTTTTCTTTTATTTGGAGGGGGGATATATTTGTTAATTGTCAGAGCCAAAAGGGACAAAACGAACAAGACAACATCAACAACAACCAAATCCTCAGAGTGAGCTTGGTGGCATTATATATTTGGAGCTGGCTTCATTTCAGCCCCCCCCCCCCCCCCCCCAGAGTACTGTTAGTAAGTACTGTTTTTACCAGATTTGATCAGATAAAAATCTTCTTCTCTTTTTACGGGCTCCGCTCAGCGTCTTTTACATTCGTACAAGAGACGCTGCCATAAAGGCGCTCTGCATCGGCCAGTTAAAACAGCCGTGGAAAACGTTATGAGAACGATTAATCTGAACCTCAGTGGAACCTTGTTGGACGGTTGGAGGACGACTGATCCCCTGGGTGTGTCGTTGTATCATAGCGACCTCGATCGCTCTCTTATAAATTCACTGTTATGAGCTAAGGAGAGGGGGGTTCATTTTCTATGTTTTAGGACATTGCTCCTCTGCCTCCTTGTTCAGTGTTTCTCAAACCTTTCCTCTGGGACGAGACGTTTCACAGTTTTGTTTTAGCCTCACCTGATTCATTAATCAAGGGCTTGATGATTAGTTGACAAATTGAATCAGGTGTGCTCGCTCTGCGATAGATCAAATACAAGGAAGTACATAGAACAGCTGTCCTGGTTGAGTCTTGTTGTGAACGGCTTTGTCATCCATGTTGTGCCACAGAGACCAGGTACACAGTGGAGGACATCGAGGGAGCCCTGCTCAAGCAGCTGAAGGCAGCCAAGGAGACGGCCATCATGGTGAAGAAGCCAGAGGAGGAGAACATTCGCTTCACCAACTACGGTAGGACAAGCACCTGCAGGCTTGGCTTGCATTGTTTACTGTAATTGCAAATATCAAGTGGTATAAGGAGATGAAATTTATACAAATTATGAAATGAAATGAAATGAAGGCATGATTAGACGTTTTTTGGTTGTTGTATAAAAAACGTCTAAGACTGACACTCTCCTTGACATTTGCTGTCTCTCTGAATGTCTCTCTCTCTCCCTCTCCACCAGGCCTCTCCTCCCTCCCCTACTTCACCACAACCACCACTACCACGGCCACAGCCACCACCCCCACCGCCAGCACCGCCACCAGCACCAACCCGCCGCCCCGCACCTCCCCCTTCATCACAAGCCGTCCCCCGGGCACCACCCGCCGCCCCTACACCAGCCGACGGACCACCACTGCCCCCTCGCCAGTGACCACTCTGGGACCCACTACTACCATCACTCCCCTCCATAGGACCAGGCCTGTGCCCCACCACACCAAGGCCCAGCGGCCCTGCGACTCCCACCCCTGCCGCCACGGGGGCACCTGCGAGGACGACGGTGCCGACTTCACCTGCATCTGCCCCGCCGGGAGAGGGGGCGCAGTCTGCGAGAAACGTGAGTGTGGAGCCCCCCTCCTTCCTTCCTTTGACCGACACACACAGACACACACACACACCCCCTAGGTAGTTTCCCTTCAGAGTTTGGGTCAGTGCCATTTATGATCTTCGAAAAGGAGTTGGAATGAAATTCATGAAGTTCAACACAATCCCATAAGAGAACAGTAGGTTCCTATTGATGTCTTGAACTGACAGTGCTGAGCTGGAACTGACCCCCTAACTTGCATTAAAGACAATACCAAAATCCATACACCTTATATTAGATTCCAATTAATTTGACTCAATAGACATCCAGCATCTACCAAAGTCACTACACCCACTATCTAAATAACCAATGAGGTTAGCTACCACTGACCACTTTACCAATCAACGCTAAAGTAAACTCATATCAAATCAGCGTCTGCTGCGCCGAGCCACAAAATCAAGCTTGGAGTGCCGTCGGAGTACTCTGAGCTTTTTTCCACTTCGTTTCTCCCCCTCGGTGGTCTCTGATAAGAAACCACCTCACACAGCTGCATCTTAACATAATTGACCCTAATTTCTTTGATGGGGATTAGTTGGTGGAAATCAGTGTGTGTGTTTGAGTCGGAGTGTGTGTGAGTGGCTAAGTGACGGCTGCGGCACAACACCGTAGCCTCCCTTGGTTCAATCAAATCATTCGATGAGAGGATTTCATCAGCCTACATTCTCCTGAGACGGAGAGAGGCGGTTTAGGAGTTTGTTGAGTTTGGGGAAAAGGATGCTAATGATGATATAATAGTAAGAAACGTGTGTGTGTGTGTGTTTCAAAACCCTGATTATAAAGTCGAAAACACGTCATCATGCTGTCCTTTCCTACCTGCCGATACACACCAGCACACATTCTGTTAGTCACGGGTTCTATCCTTCCATCTGTTTGTTGGGCCAGATTAGCTGAACTAGGCTTGTCTCCAACTGTTTAACATGTACCAACCATAGAGATGGAAAGAGGGCCCACCCCTTATCTTTGCCATTGTCGCTTCTGTCACAGGCTTTGTGGTTAGCGTGGTTACCTCTATCCAACTCTATGGTACGAACATTACACCTTATACAGTATGTGACACCCTCCCATCACCCCTCTTTTCTCAGTGATCAAGTACTTCATTCCGTCGTTCGGGGGTAAGTCCTACCTGGCCTTTGACACCATGAAGGCCTACCACACGGTCCGCATCGCCATGGACTTCAGGGCCGCCGAGATGACGGGCATCCTGCTCTACAATGGCCAGGACGGCAAGAAGGACTTCCTATCTCTCACCCTGGTCAACGGCAAGGTGGAGCTCAAGTGAGTGGACGGGAGGAGGGGATAAAACAGAAAGAAAGAAACCAGGAAGAGGTTCAGTTAACAGGGAAGTGAAAACAGTGAGCTGTAGATGGACCCAGAATGATGTAAGCTTAGTTTTGTTTGGGATGAATGAGACATTGTTTAACTCTCTCTCTATTCACACATGCGTATTAATACTCTCTCTCTCTCTCTCTCTCTCTGGACATATGTCTCTTGGCAACTGTAATGAATCAAATACTACTTGAAATAAAAGAGAACAGAACATTATGTTAATGTCAATGTGTATCGAGCGCTAAGGATCACAGTGTAAAAAATATAATACCATACATTCTCAACCAAGTTAGCTTTAGGTACATGTATGACAGTTAATCAGGTGTGCCTGTGCATCCATGAACCTCTAAACTGTTGCCTTTCTCCAGATCTACCTTTGTATGCAGGAAGGGTTTCCCATATCCAGTTTCCAATATCAAGATTAAGCCTATTCTTGGACTAAAAAGCAATTTTTTCAATGCAGATTATCCATTGAGCATGTACACTGAGTGTACAAAACATTATGAACACCTGTGCTTTCCATGACATAGACTGACCAGGTGAATCCAGGCTAAAGCTATGATCCCTTATTGGTGTCACTTGTTAAATCCACTTCAATCAATGTAGATGAAGTGGAGGAGACAAGTTAAAGGAAGATTTTTAAGCATTGAGACAATTGAGACATGGATTATTACTAAATATTAGGAAGTTGTTCTTAATGTTTTGTACACTCTGTGTATAAAGCAATGGTTTGCTTCCCACCCCCAGGTTCAACACAGGTTCAGGCACGGGCACCCTGGTCAGCAATGTCCAAGTTAAGCAGGGTCGCTGGCACCAGCTGGTGGTGACGAGGAACCGGCGCAACGCCATGCTGAGCGTGGACAATGAGCTCCATATCAACGGCGCCAGCCCCCCCGGCACCGACGGCCTCAACCTGGACACACACCTGTTCATCGGAGGGGTGCCCGAGGACATGATGACAGAGTAAGGCCTCACTTGAAGGGCATTCTAGAGCGTGCATTATTTCCCTATAAAGCACAGTATATCGACACGGTAGAATTCAATGGCTATAATTAATTCTTACATGTTTTGTTTGAGCTGCTTTTTAAAGCAAAAGTCGAATTGAAAACATTATTGGTATTGTTGAATTCAATTTTCATAATATCATGCTAGAACTGTTTGGTTAGCTAAGCTAGCAAGTCTGTTTGTTTTGATTACCATGGCAACTACTGTAGCTATCTAGTAAACTTGCTAGCTAATTCAGTGGATGTTGAACACATTTCTACTGGCAAATGTAACACATTTCTACTGGCAAATGTGTTAAATCATAGCCATGGTATAAAAGGGATAATCAACTCTGGGCTCTATGCGTTCTCTGGAAAATAATGCAACTCTGTGGAAGGTTAGTTCCACTCCGCTATCGCGACGTGGAATACATCTTCCATGTCGTTAATTATTTTCCATAGAACGCATAGCTCCTCACTGATTATCCCTTACGTAGATATGGAGAAAATATGATTAATTTAGAAATAAGATTTTAGTTGTTGAGTTACATGAAAACCGTTATGTCAGGAACTCTCCTATACTCCCATAGTGGTTTATTGAGAAGCACACACAGTGAGCAGTATATGAAAGGATATTACTTTTTTCATATTATTTGTTTGTTTTTTCTGTCCAGCACCTGTGTGTATTTTGCCTGTTTTTCACTGAGTTAAATAACTGTTGGATGGTTGATGGTATAATGCCATTCACGCACTCTCTCTCCCTCTCCCTGTCCCTCTCCCTCCCTCCATCCACAGTGTGAAGGAGAGAACCTCCATCGGTACGGGTCTGGTGGGTTGTGTGCGCATGCTGGACGTCAACAACCTGGTGTACAACCTGCAGGAAAAGAGTGACAACGTGCTGTACGGCACCGGTGTGGGCGAGTGCGGCAACAATCCGTGCCAGCCCAACCCTTGCAAGAATGGCGCTCCATGCCAGGTCAAGGAGGCCGAGATGTTCCACTGCAAGTGCATCAACGGCTACTCCGGTGAGCCACATTTTTTTTGTTTCTAATAACGGACCTCCACTAGATCTGGGATCAAATATGATTTGTTTTCTTTTAAATACTTTAGCTGCGCTTGATTGAGCTTGCCGGCTGGTGAAATGGAACCAATAACAATGGAATAGCCCCCAAAGTGCAATCCTCGCCCATCTTGCATGCACACCGGTCAGGCTCAATCAAACGCTCAAAAGTATATGAAAGCAAGCCAATACTATTTCAACCCATGTCTAGGGAATTCCCCGCAGTCAGGTTTTAGCCATTACGTCTTGTTTAAGACTTTTAGGTGTGATGCAGTACAGAAATATTAAAGACTATAACCTAATCCCATCGCCTGGTCTTTGCCCCCTCTCTCCTCTTTTAGAGTGGTCACAGTCCACTAGGTCTAAGCTAATGAGGGAGTGTTGTTAAATGGTACTAGCGACCATCCGGCCCTAGTGAAGCATGGCCCCTAAAGCTTTTAAATGATGCTGCTGCTCTCTTGCTCCAGCAGCACACTCCACACACACAGACTAGGAACCAGTTTGAGAGGAGAAATATGGGAGCTTTGTGGCTTAATGATTAGCCTATTATGAACTTGGTAATGCTAAGACTGGGTATGTATGCAAAGAGGGAGAGACGAGAGAGGTAGAAAGAGAAAAAGGCAGAGAGAGAGTGTGAGAGGGAGAGATGGTAGAGATAGAAATGAAAGAGTGAGAGTGTAATAGATGGCTATGGGAGAGAGCCTTCCTTCAGAACTCAGTGGGAGACGTTCATTACAGCATTCTCCTCGCCTCAGGTGGCTCTGGCTACTAAAATAATGATGGCTGAATTGGGATGCGGCCTGGCTAGTGTAGGGCAAAGCCATTTCAGCTATCCGGGAGCCATTCAAGCTACCTCTCCCACAGCCAGGAACTAAGGTTCCATAAGGATAGCAGAAAGGCAGCAAAGGGTGCTTGGGTCTTTTCTTAATCTGCACATGTAATATTTCTAAATCCTATTAGAAAATGACCTCTTTTACTGAGGAAATCCATCCTCATCCTCTTCTCACACGGAATGGAGGCAAAATGGTCTGAAAATATTGGGTTGTATTTATTAGGGCATACGATAGTAACGCGTTTTGCAATGGGAAATGAAAAAGCATTTCTTATTGGATAAGTTCAGGTAATCCCTTCCTGTTTCAGTCCATTTTGTACCCTTTGTTGCCTAATGAATTCAACCCTGGTTTTTATAAGAGAAGGTGGTTTGAAGATTCTCTGGTTTGAGTTCTAACTTGAGTTTTTTTTTTTTTTCTGGTGATGGTGAACTCCAGGTCCAACGTGCGCCGACACCCACAACCCGTGCGAGCCCAACAGGTGCCACCCCTCGTCCCAGTGCCAGGTGCAGCCAGAGGGAGGGTACAAGTGCGAGTGTCCCATGGGTCGCGAGGGACGCCACTGCGAGAAAGGTACTGCCACCATCTTTAAAATAAGTTTAACCTAGTGTGCGTGTGCGCGCAAGTATGAGTGTATTGGACATATATACAGAATGTCAGCATAGTATGTACTTTTTAATGTCATATCAGACCTACTTGAACTACAAACATTTTATTTAAAAAAGGAAACACCAGAAGTGGAAAACAACAACAGTTGCTTACGATAACACAACGTGTGGTACAGCACATCAATTCCATTATCTGTTCTCAATTCATCAGTTCTCCACCGCTGCATGCTACCATGGCCCCCCTCGCATATCATCCTGCCTCAGTGTTCCGGTCAGGATTCTGGGTGGAAGATCTACCCAAATCTCCCTCTTTCCCCACTTCTCTTTTTCCCTCCGTGTTGTGACGCTCCGTCTCTCCATCCTGAGGGAGTTGAAATGCAGAGAGACGGGCCGCCGCCTCCAGGGTCTCCGGCGCACAGCGGAGCGCCGCGATTGGCCCGTCGGGCTGTTAGCGCATTCGTCTCGGCTGTGGTTGTTAGCGAGCCTTCCTGTAGCCGTTCTCCGTCTCGCTCCCTCTTCCGCCCACAGGTGTTGTGTTCAAATGCGTTCGCCGCTACTTAGCTCCACGGGGAAGCGGGTTGAAGCGCTGGGCCGCATCTGGGGAGGAGATCCTAATGCACCGGAGCTGCGTTTGAAGTTCAGCATTAGCACTTTCGGCGATTATGTTTGCAACTGTTTTTTTGCTCTCTTTTCCCCCCCATCACATCCACCAAATTCTCATGGATGTTTTCAGAATATAAAAGCTTGAAAAGTGAATGAAGAATGAAGGTTGGTGTTCAAAAGTTAAGTCTATTTATTCGTACTTAGACACACAGGCATAGATAAATATGCACAGTCTCTCTCCTACACACGCGCACAAAGACACACACTCCTAGCCCCACTGGGTCACAAGTCCCAGTTAGCGGTGATTAAAATAAATTGGGGTGAACTGAAAATCATTGTGAGGGAAAGAGCGTCTCACGCGCTGAGGGCTTCGATTAAATCAATGAGATGACTAATGGCATCAAATCCTCTGCCTGTGGTGATTAATGAAGAAGTCACTCAGCCTGAGTGTCTGGCCGACACAGGTTTTGGATCAGATAAGTAGCCATCTTTCAGCGGCCTACGTTAACGGCTGTACTGGGAACAGTTAAAGGGATACTTCGGGATTTTGGCAATGAGGCCCTTTATCTACTTCCCCAGAGTCAGATGAACTCGTGGATTCCATTTTTATGTCTCTGTGTCCAGTATGAAGGAAGTTAGAGGTAGCATGCTAGTAGATACCCATAGACTTCCAGTCATTGCGCTAATGCTAGTTAGCATTGGCTTGCGAAACTACCTCTAACTTCCTTCGTACTGGACACAGACATAAAAAATGGATCCTTTGAAGACAGGATCCTTCAGATCAGATATTTAAAAAATAATTCAGCTTTAAAGGCTGTACTGGGAACAGTTAAAAATAGGAGGTGTGGCCGACTGCCTATTGGAGGGAAGCCCTAGGTAGACATAGTTGTATTGATAAGTATAAGAGTGCCGCTCCCTAGTATTTGGCTGCGGACCACCATTCAACCACACAGAACTCCTTTACTGGAACTCCATTTGAGATTTTCCTAGTGGCCTACTTTCCTTACCTCCCTTTACCTCCCTAATATTCCTTTTGTTTTTTACTAAAGAATGTGTTTGTTTCATATGATTGGGTCTTGCTTTTCGTGTATTGTGTAGTTGATGTGTATATAGATACTGTATAGTGGTTGTTGTTTGTTGATGTGTTAATGCAGGGCTCATCTGCGAAAGAGACTGTGGTCTCAGCATGACTCCCTGCTTAAATGAAGGTGAAATAAAATACAACAATGATCTGATGTCACACATCAGAGTACCTGGACATTTTCTTGTGACGAAGCCTAAGTAGTGTGTGTGTGCATGCCTTTCGTACCTGTGTGTGTCTGTGTGTCTGTGTGTCTGTGTGTGTGTGTGTGTGTGTGTGTGTGTGTGTGGCTCGAGGAACTGAAATCCTCTCCCACTCCACTCTGTAAACTGGCTGAGTTCCGAGGTAGCTCTTTCCTTTTCTTATTATGACAGCCGGTTTGACAGTTTGACTTCCTTGTCGTGTCTGCAGCGGTGCTCCTGTTCTTCTCTCCTCCGTGAGCGTTGTTAGTCGTCTCCTGCGCAATGGCTAATTAGCTTTCTCATCTCCGTCTGCCTCCCTTCCCCACCCTGACTCAGCCAGCTAATCCTACCTAATTACCAATGAAAAGAGCCTTGCAGGCCCCAACTGTGTGCGTGTGTCGCAAACAGTCTGGGTGGGTGAAGACTAGGCAATCATTGTTAACCAAAACGGACCCCCTGGGTGGGTAACACTGAATTCACCCAATGTCCCCCTGACTTGCTGCATAAGCCATATTATTGCCGTACACATGCATAGTGCTGCCGTAAGGATGACATAATGCCTGTCGTAATGCATTCCGTTTTATAACCATTTTTTCAGTGTCGGAGAAGAAAGGGGCCTACATGCCGTTCTTTAGTGGTGACTCTTACCTGGAGCTGAAGGGATTGCACACCTACGGTCACGATCTCCAGTAAGTAAAACGCTCTTTTCACTACACAGACACTCTACGAATTACATACACAACAGCATGTTTCCACATGATATACAGGAGTTGGTACTGAGGAGCTGTGAATTGATGTAATGGCAGATAGATACTTAAAGCTGTGCCTCGGGCAGAACAGTCCTATGGTGGATAGGATAGAATATAATTAAATGGAACAGAACAGATAATCGTCCTCCATAGAAACAGAATTCCATAGAAATATAAAGTACTTAATTACATTTCTATGTTGTCCTCTATGGTGGGAATCCTTTTCAGTCTTATGTAGGTTACACAAAATAACACACAAGCACAGTTACAGTCACATAGAGAATATACAGTGCCTTGAGAAGGTATTCACACCCCTTGACTTTTTACATTTTAATTTTGTTGTTACAGCCTGAACTTAAAATTGATACAATTTATATGTTTTTGTCACTGGCCTACACACAATACCCTAAAATGTGTGTTAAGTTTTTCGAAATTTCTTGAGTCAATAAGTATTCAAACCCTTTGTTATGGCAAACCTAAATAAGTTCAGGAGTAAAAATTTGCTTAACAAGTCACACAATAAGTTGCATGGACTCACTCTGTGTGCAATAATAGTGTTTAACATGATTTTTGAAGGATTACCTCATCTCTGTACCACACACATACAATTATCTGTGAGGTCCCTCAGTCGAGCAGTGAATTTCAAACACAGATTCAACCACAAAGACCAGGGTGGTTTACCAATGCCTCGTAAAGAATGGCACCTGGTAGATGGGTAAAAAAAAAATCCCTTTGAGCATGGTGAAGTTATTAATTACACTTTGGATGATGTATCAATACACCCAGTCACTACAAAGTCACCTAACTCAGTTGCCGGAGAGGAAGGAAATGGTGACTTTAAAACAGTTACAGAGTTTAATGGCTGTGATAGGAGAAAACTGAGGATGGCTCAACAACATTGTAGTTACTAATACTAACCTAATTGACAGAGGGAAAAGAAGGAAGCCTGTACAGAATACAAATATTCCAAAACATGCATCCTGTTTGCAACAAGGCGCTAAAGTAATACTGCAAAAACAATGTGGCAAATCAATTAACGTTTTTGTCCTGAATACAAAGTGTTATGTTTTGGGCAAATCTAATACAACACATTACTGAGTACCACTCTCCATATTTTCAATAATAGTGGTGGCTGCATCATGTTATGGGTATGCTTGTAATCGTTAAGGACTGGGGAGTTTTTCAGGATATAAAAGAAACGGAATGGAGCTAAGCACAGGCAAAATCCTAGAGGAAAAACTGGTTCAGTCTGCTTTCCACCAGACACTGAGAGATGAATTCACGTTTCAGCAGGACAATAACCTAAAACACAAGGCCAAATCTACACTGGAGTTGCTTACTAAGAAGACAGTGAATGTTCCTGAGTGGCCGAGTTACAGTTTTGACTGAAATCTGCTTGAAAATCTGTCAAGACTTAAAAATGGTTGTCTAGCAATGATGACCAACCAATTTGACAGAGCTTGAAGAATTTTTGAAAATTATAATAGGCAAATATTGTACAATCCATGTGTGCAAAGCTCTTAGAGACTTGCCCAGAAAAATTAGCTGCAAAGGTGATACTAACATGTAGTGAGATTTTTCTGTATTTCATTTTCAATTTTCAGCCTAGCATTTGCTGAAATTTCTAAAAACATGTTTTCACTTTGTCATTATGGGGTATTGTGTGTAGATGGGTAAGATTATTATTATTTTTAAAATCCATTTTTAATTCAGGCTGTAACACAACAAAATGTGGAATAAGAAGGGGTATGAATACTTTCTGAAGGCACTGTAGTGTCACATTATGAAAAGGCCAGATAGACCGAACAATTGAAAGACACAAGCACAGTAGACAAGAGGTAAATACCAAGTCTGGTCATGTTGTTTGTGTTTTGTCTTTGCCTGGTTGTTTACCATTGTTGTTTGTGTTTTGTCTGCAGCCAAAAGGTCAGCATGACGGTGGTGCTCATGGCCAATGACTCCAACGGCATGATCTTCTACAGCGGCCAGAAGACGGACGGCAAAGGTGACTTCATCTCCCTCTCCCTCAACGACGGCATCCTGGAGTTCCGCTACGACCTGGGCAAGGGCCCCGCTGTCATCAGGTGGGCACCACACTAGAACCCCATAGTGACTCTAGTCTATTACCCCATAGTGACTCTAGTCTAGAACCCCATAGTGATTCTAGTCTAGAACCCCATCGTGACTCAAGTCTAGAATCCCATAATACTCAAGTTAAAAATCGCATAGCGACTAATCTAGAGCCCCATAGTGACTGGTGTGTAGAACCAAATAGTGACACATGTCTATAGCCCCATGGTTACTCGAGTCTAGAACCCCATATTGACTCGAGACTAGAACCCCATGGTGACTCATGTCTAAAACCCCATGTTTACTCTAGTTTAGAACCCCATAGTGACTAGTATAGAACCCCGTAGCAACTCTAGTATAGAACCCTGTAGCAACTCTAGTCTAGAACCCTATAATGACTCTTGAACCCCATAGTGACTGTAGAACATAGTCTGGACTCCTTGTTAGCTGGGTTATTGTGGTCTCTTTTGATTTTGGATTGTACTTGTGTGTGTGTGTGTGTGTGTGTGTGTTGTTGTTTTGAGACATCCCTAACCTCTTGGCTCGTTTGTGTGTGTTCCTCTCATGCAGGAGTAAAGATAAGATCAAGATGGGCGTGTGGAACACAGTGAATCTGGAGCGGGCCAATCGAAAGGGAGAGATTAACATCAACGGAAAGGACCCAGTCAGAGGAGAGTCGCCGGTGAGACAGACAGAGAGAGCTAGCATGCTAGGATAATCAGACGTCTTTATGATTAGCCTAGCTATTAGCATGCAAGGCAAACCGGCTATGAGTATGCTATCATACAAGGCAATATACAGCCTTGCTTATGCTTAGCCTGTGCTACTGTGTGTGTTTTCTGATGTGCGTGTCACTGTAGCACCACACACTTGGCCATGCATATGCCCCACAGGAGGTTGGTGGCACCTTAATTGGGGAGGACGGGCTCATGGTAATGGCTGGAGCGGAATGAGTGGAATGGTATCAACAACATCAAACACATGGTTTCCATGTGTTTAATCTCATTCCATTTCAGACATTATTATGAGGTGTCCTCCCCTCAGCAGCCTCCTGTGATATGCCCGTACCAAAGGATGTGTTCAACTTAATGCACTGTATACTCCCAGAGTTCACTGTTGATGACACACCAGAGCAAAATAATGTCCCTAGTTGAGGTCGTTGATAAGGGCATACACACTACCAGGGTTGTGTTTGAAAACACATTCTACTGTCTTCTCACGGCTCGTCAAGGTGAGAAATAGTATGCTCGAGACGTAGAGGGCACGTTTGACAGGTCGTCTCTTATCTGGAAATGACCCCTCCCTTTTTAAATCCTTTTTATCTGCCATCTTTGACTCTGACAAAATGCCTAAACAGTAGTACGATCTTGTTCCTATTTGTTGCAGTCACGAAACATAACCAATATGGCCCGAGTGGTATACACCCATTAGTATGACTTGACTTATACCTTTGAGCTCTGAGTGAAGCAAATACCTTCAATAGTGCTCTTCGGAGATACTGTAGATACTGTATATAGATGGAAAGATGGAGAAAATAAATAATGATTCTCAAGCAATAAACCAGATACATGGGCCTAAGTGAGAGAAATTGAATAGCTGGATATGTCCGCAAGTCATCCAATTATATTTAACAGTGTAATTTGTTATTCTTCGTGTGGTAATTGTGTTTCACTCCAGCAACATGGGCAGAAAGTCATATTAAAAGACTAGTGATGGAGGAGCTCAACGTAAAGAGGCTCCATGCAGGATATAGCTGGCAGCTAATTCTCTCCTACTCCTGCATTTACAATGAAGAAGGGAGCCAGGGAGTCCCGCTGCACTCAGAGAGCCTAGCGTCTTTGATATAGATACCTTTATATAAAGTAATTATACCTGGGATGGTAGTTTCAGTATTGCAGGATATCTTTAAACAGAACATTTTGCCACAAATCCATGCATGCTTTCTCATACAAACAGAAAAAACACTGTCTGCAGTGGCTACAAGTTGAAGTGGGAATTTAACATACACTTTAGCCAAATACATTTCAACTCAGTTTTTCACAATTCCTGACATTTAATCCAAGTACAAATTATTCCCTGTTTTAGGTCAGTTATGATCACCACTTTATTTTAAGAATGTGAAATGTCAGAATAATAGTAGAGACAATTATTTCTTTCAGCTTTTATTTCTTTCATCACATTCCCAGTGGGTCAGAAGTTTACATACACTCAATTAGTATTTGGTAGCATTGCCTTTAAATTGTTTAACTTGGGTCAAACGTTTCGGGTAGCCTTCCACAAGCTTCCCACAATAAGTTGGGTGAATTTTGGCCCATTCCTCCTGACAGAGCTGGTGTAACTGAGTCAGGTTTGTAGGCCTCCTTGCTCGCACACGCTTTTTCAGTTCTGCCCACACATTTTCTATAGGATTGAGGTCAGGGCTTTGTGATGGCCACTCCAGTACCTTGACCTTGTTGTCCTTAAGCCATTTTGCCACAACTTTGGAAGTATGCTTGGGGTCATTGTCCATTTGAAAGACCCATTTGTGACCAAGCTTTAACTTCCTGACTGATGTCTTGAGATGTTGCTTCAATATATCCACATAATTTTCCTTCCTCATGATGCCATCTATTTTGTGAAGTGCACCAGTCCCTCCCGCAGCAAAGCACCCCCACAGCATGATGCTGCCACCCCCGTACTTCACGGTTGGGATGGTGTTCTTCGGCTTGCAAGCATCCCCCTTTTTCCTCCAAACATAACGATGGTCATTATGGCCAAACAGTTCTATTTTTGTTTCATCAGACCAGAGGACATTTCTCCAAAAAGTACGATCTTTGTCCCCATGTGCAGTTGCAAACCGTAGTCTGGCTTTTTTATGGCGGTTTTGGAGCAGTGGCTTCTTCCTTGCTGAGCAGCCTTTCAGGTTATGTCGATATAGGACTTGTTTTACTGTGGATATAGATACTTTTGTACCTGTTTCCTCCAGCATCTTCACATGGTCCTTTGCTGTTGTTCTGGGATTGATTTGCACTTTTCTCACCAAAGTACATTCATTTCTAGGAGACAGAACGCGTCTCCTTCCTGAGCGGTATGACGGCTGCGTGGTCCCATGGTGTTTATACTTGCGTACTATTGTTTGTACAGATGAATGTGGTACCTTCAGGCGTTTGGAAATTGCTCCCAAGGATGAACCAGACTTGTGGAGGTCTACAATTGTTTTTCTGAGGTCTTGGCTGATTTATTTTGATTTTCCCATGATGTCAAGCAAAGAGGCACTGAGTTTGAAGGTTGGCCTTGAAATACATCCACAGGTACACCTCCAATTGACTCAAATGATGTCAATTAGCCTATCAGAATCTTCTAAAGGCATGACATCATTTTCTGGAATTTTCCAAGCTGTTTAAAGGCACAGTCAACTTAGTGTATGTAAACTTCTGACCTACTGGAATTGTGATACAGTGAATTATAAGTGAAATAATCTGTCTGTAAACAATTGTTGGAAAAATTACTTGTGTCATGCACAAAGTAGATGACCTAACCGACTTGCCAAAACTATAGTTTGTTAACAAGAAATTTGTGGAGTGGTTGAAAAACTAGTTTTAATGACTCCAACCTAAGTGTATGTAAACTTCCGACATGAACTGTATATGGTGGATCAGAATTCTGTCTGAGCCACAGTAGTTTTAGACCCAGCTGCAACTTCTTTAAGGTCAATTTCTCTTTTTCATTTATTTTGAGTGGCAGCCTTCTGACCTTCGGGCTTCATAGTTTGTGTTGTGCGGTTTTATGTTGGTCCGACATCCGCTGTTCGCTCTCTCTTCTGATAACCTTTTTTCCCTCCTTTTCTCTTACTGTGCTGTCTGGAAACTAAGAAATCACGCAAGGTAATAAGTCCCATCCACCTTAGACATATTTCATATCTCCACTTTCAGCTTCAATTTCATTCGCCACTTCTCATCCCCATGCTGCACCATACCAAAGTTATTAGACTATAGAACTGACTGGGGAAAAGAGTCTGTATTTAGTGCTACCATTTCATACACAGTACAGGAGTAGAGACATTTGTTAAAGAACTCGGTTTGGCTTTCACCTCAGTCCATCTGCTGTGTAGGCGGAGGGAGGGAGGGGTGTCAGTTATCTTTCTGACCTCCATTGTTCCTCGCAACAATGAAACGTCTTCATTAGTCTCTCGTGGGCGGGGATTTCTCTCCTGTGCCGTGTGGCAGTCGAGAGTGAGAAGAAAGTAAAGAGAGAGAGTGGGGTGCAAAGCCAAGCCGGGCTGTTCTTTTGTCATGTACTTTCTTTTGCGAAAGAGAAACAAAGCTCACCATATAATAGTCACTCGATCACTCACTCACTCGATCACTCACTCACTCGATCACTCACTCACTCACACACTCACCCACTCACCCACTCACTCACTCACTCACTCACTCACTCACTCACTCACCCATTCACTCACTCACTCACTCACTCACTCGTTCACTCATAACTGCACACAACAGCACTGACAACATCCATTCTATTAGACTGGCCTGTTAGCAGCGTCCAATTCACTCCTATTCAGAATCCAATATGACCATTCAAATTGATAGAAACCATGTTTATTATATATTATGGCCATAGTTAAACTCAATATTAATGGATTGGATTTATATATCCATTTTTTTAATGCTCAAAGCGGTTTACATTATAAGGGGGAGAATCGCATGTCAATTTTAATCCTGAATCAAAATAGAGTTGATCCCAACTGTTACTCTTCACTTGAGCATCCCCTTTAGCTAAAGTGTTAGTAGGGGTTATAGGAAACCGGGCCCATTTCGGCACTTTGTTATCCCCAGGCAGCCACAGGTGACCCACTCGACTGGGCTGGAGGTCTTGGCCCTGGTTTCCCTTTCTGTCAGAGCTCACTCCAGGCGCACTACATAGCCACGGGGTTAGCGAAGCCCCACTGGCCTATACCCTCCCTCCTCCAGCTCCCATCTCAAATAGAAGCAGGACCCAATGCCAGCTCTCTTCACACATAACCCAGGTTTACTTGGCCCCTTCCATAATTTTTCCACCAATTACCTCTGATTTTCCCTCTGGCAATTACTGCCCTACATAAAAATAAAGATCCGTAATTCCTCCCTAAGAGTGGGCCTGTACATCCTGCGCAGAAGGAATGCTGTCGTAATTGGAGGCAGCTCTCCTGTACGTTTCTGGATGGAGCAAGGGCCTGATTTCATGATCGTCTGCCGCGCAAATGAACGGCCAATTAAAGGCCGTGGCTCGCACGGTGTCGGAAAGGTCGCCGGTATAATCAGCCATTCATTAGAGACTTTCATTAAAAAAACACCATCCATATCGTCTCTTCAGCCGCACCAGGCGACTCTCTTTGTAGCCCTTTTCTTGTGTTTTGTACTAGATAACGAATAATTGACTGCTCGGAGTGTGGTACAGAAATCAATTATGTTTTATAATATATCAAGTGTATTGATGTGGAGAAGGAAGTAGCCTAGTGATAGCGAATTGTCCTGCACTATATCAAGGCTGTGTAATTCCAGTCTTGGAGGGCCGAAGCACTTCTGGTTTTAGTTTCTACCTGGTAGTTAATTGCACACACCTGGTGTCTCAGGTCTGAATCAGTCCCTGATTAGGAGAGGATGAAAACAAGAAGTACACTTTATAGCCCTGCACTATGTAGATATCTTTCAAAGGATAAATCTTTTTCACTGTTATTAGTCTCATCGTGCTACAGTCTGTATGGCTCAATAAAAAATATGGAAAAAAACAGGTATCATTTGTATTGGTCAGGTGTGGTTCTAGTCACTATGGTAGGGTTCCAGACCATGTGGTAGGGTTATTGTCCCTGTTCACAGGAGGTTGGTGGCACCTTAATTGGGGAGGAGGGGCACATGGTAATGGCTGGAGCAGAATAGGTGGAAAGGTATCCATGGTTTCCATGTGTTTGATGCCATTCCATTCGCTCTGTTCCAGCCATTATTATGAGCCGTCCTCCCCTCAGCAGCCTCCACTGTCCCTGTTATTGGGTTCTAGTCCCTATTATTAGAGTTTTAGTCTCTGGTAGGGTTCTAGTCCTTTTAGTAGGTTTCTAGTACATGTGGTAGGGTTCTAGACCCTGTGATAGGGTTATAGACTATGTTATATATGGTTCTAACCCATTGTCTCTCTCCAGAACCAACACACTGCTCTCAACCTGAAGGAGTCTCTGTTTGTGGGTGGTGCTCCTGATTTCAGCCGGCTAGCAAGGGCCGCCTCGCTCAAAGATGGCTTCAAGGGCGCCATTCAGAAGGTGAGTGTCCTGTCCCCACACACAATCCTCAGCAGATATGTTTAGCCACACACCCTGTTCAGAAGGTTATGCAAACGTTTCTATCAATTCTGTAAATTATCAACAACTATCGATTAAAAAAATAAATAATGTTTTATTTAAAGTATTAGACATCATTTAACTGAGACACAATGTTGAATCCACCTTATACATGGATAGATATATTTTGACACGATTTATGATGGACAAGAACTATCAGCTGCCTATACTTGATGACAGACCTTTACAGTGACTTTAACAACTTTAACCAAGGTCAACGATCAGCTGGTTTTCAGTGCTGACGGTGTCTCATTTCTTTTGGCTCACTGTACTAATAATAGAATAGAACACATTTGATGTCCCTCCATGTTTCTCAGCTCAGATCTTTTCCCTGACAACTTTCCAGCTTGTTTGTTCTCCTCCGCAGCAAAATGCTCGTCTTTGAGTGCCAGAAATGGCTGTCTAAAACAAAGGCAGGATGTTACTTAATGCTAGCTAGCTTTTTCTCTTTCAAAACTTTCCCTTGAAAGCACCAAGTTAATCAAAGCTCAGTCTAAAAGTATGTTTTAGCAGTTATTTGCTGAATTAATTAATAAGTGACTTGTAAAGTAAAGTCGTTACTCATGTGTCTTGAGTTTGAGACGAGTGGAGTTGAAAAGTGTAATGTGTTGTATGCAGTATGTATGCTGCATCGACTTATATGTCATGGCTATTTAATTACAGTCCTCGAGGGCCATAGCCCTGCTGGTTTTCACTGTTTCCTTCTAATCAAGGACTGATTCAGACCTGGGACATGAGGTCAATGAAGGCTACACACTGCACTATGACAGGTCTAAGTCCTCTCTCCTCCTCTCCATCACCCGTCAGATCACCCTGATGGGCACGCCCATCCTCCGGCAGGAGAACGCGCTGCACTCCAGTGACGTGGCCATGTTCGAGGGCCACCTCTGCAGCCGTGAGCCCTGCCACAATGGGGGTCGCTGCAACCCCCTGCTGGAGACCTACGAGTGTGTGTGCCTCCACGGCTTCACAGGCCCACACTGTCAGAACAGTAAGTGAACAATGATCCTGAACTCAATGCAATGTTTTGTCAGTAATATCAATGTCATGCTTGTCTTAGTGTCACCCTTTGAAGGATGAAACAGAGTTACCCCTCTGTTTCATCATTCTCACACGTGCGCACACACACACAGACATACATGCTACACACATACATACTGCACACACATACACTTTACCAACCCCATTAACCTTGGCCGTATGCCCTACTGTCCCTTTACATTCATTAAAACAATAAGCGCATGAACGCTCATCCCAGATCATCACCATCCATTGCCAGACTCCAATTAAAGGAGCCATGTTTCCTAATGATTCATGTGATCTCATTCAATGTTCGTCTTCCTCCTTGTCCTCTTCCTCGCAGCTATCTTCGAGAAGTCCGCCGGGGAAATGGAGTCCATTGCCTTTGATGGCCGGACATTCATTGAGTACCACAACGCCGTCACCAAGAGGTAAGGGAGATGCCATCTTGTTCGTTGATTCTAATGCTAATAGCCTCCAATACTAATTTTAATTGGGTTGAGCAAAATGGCCTCCGATGTTAACACTAACCGGAAGTTGCGAAATGGCTAATGGTTAATGGCCTCCCCATTCATATTCCACTGCAGTAAGTGGCGGTGACAGAGTTGATTATTCCAGGCCCATTAGGGGCTTCGTAGTGAACCGGGTGTTAGCTAATAGTTCAACCACTTTCCCTGCACTGTCTCTGGTTTTGACTAAATTTCGCTAATTAGCGGCACGGCTAACAATTACGGGATCGCCCCGAGCGCCCCCCCCCCTCGCTCGCTGTGCGCCGAGGCGGACTGAGCCGACACACACTTATACACGCACACACACACACACACCATACCATACCAGCATAGCACAACAACCATATCATCACTCTATAGGCTTTGTTAAAATGGGGTTTAATTTAATATTATTTTAGACTTAGAGTATGTGCGACTGTGTCCCCTCAAATTAGCAGTCCCAAAGTGTCGGTTGCCATTTTTAAACACACACTAGCTATAACAGGAATAGCCGGATGATGTAGGTGTAAATGGTTTCTATACCGGGTGTGAAAGCGAGAAAAACGTATTCTGCCTTCCAGGCAGCCGCTTAAACATTTGATCCTCTACCATCCATCTATGTCTTCCATGCTGGCTCTCACGCCCGCAGGTTGGCACGCATTAAATGTTTGTGATGATGAACCTGAAAGACATGGAACATAAGGCTCCCCATCCAGATCCATTACAAGTCTTCCCACAACACTCTAAGGCGTGAAAATGGGAGAAACAGACAGTGAATTTGTGGTCTTATGAGCACAACACAGAGCACATGTGCATGCATGCACACACACACACACACACACACACACACACAAACAGGGCAAATATTAAGAGAGAATTGTAAGATCTGTCTGTATCCTCTGTCTGTTGTCCTTGTTAAGCCTGTCAGATGTCTGTGCTGCCGTCCATCTGTCTGTCTTCTTCTGTCTCTTGTCTGTCCGTCTCATATGAGTGTTCCTTGTCTGTCCTTCTGCTGCACTCAAGCCAACTGACCAATGAGATTCCGGAGTAAGTACACATAAAGGAGTCCCCAATCTTCCCAGGTTTAGTCAAAGCCAGACTAACCTAACTAATACAAAGCCAGACTAACCTAACTAATACAAAGCCAGACTAACCTAACTAATACAAAGCCAGACTAATACATTACGATAGTTAACACAAAGTAATAGATTCTATTTTTATTTTCCTTCTATATCATCTTCATCATCTTACCCTATGCAAGATAGCTATCATGTGTATTATATTTAAATTGGCCTACAGGATTTTACATTCAAACTCCATGCCCATAATTGGATTTGATCTTTTCTCATTACAAATTCCTCATCACACTCCAGTCTAAATGAACGCATGACTGCATGAATCCACAGAAAGCAGGTGCTATACTGTATGCATGGTTGTAACTATATTCGCCACAACCAGAAGTATATCCACGTACCTTATATTGGATGGTATTAACTGTCATGTTGAAAAGAATGAGACCCCTTCTTAACTGCAAGATTATGGGCTGAAATATTCCCCTTCCTCGGTTTTGCTGCCAGTCCCACATCGATTATTTAACTGACTCCTCTAGGGTAACAATTAGATCTTACTTTGTTATTAGTTTCCTCTTCGCTGTCATTAGCTTGGTAAGTAACCTCCTGAAAGAAAAACAGAAAGCAGGGAAGTTGGATTTAGGTTGATTTATGCCAAGCAGATTCACCAGATAATTCGATATCCACATTCAAGCCCCTGTCATTTCCGGTTAGTCCAATCTCCAACTGCAATTATGAATAATTATCGAGTCGGCGGCAGAGAAAAAGAACGACTGAAATGTTAATCAAAGAGTTATTTCCTCTTTGTAAAATTATTTAAACGAAAGACCTCAAATTGAGGCCGAGAGGGCAACGATATCCTTTAGGGCGATGATCATTCGAGCTGGACTGGCCAGATCGTTAATAGTTGTCACTTCCTGTAAGAGCGAGGGGCGCGATTAGTGGCCAATCTAGGCCAAACCAGAGCTTGCCGGCAATCTCTCTCCGAGCGAGTGGCATCGATTCAACCTTATCTGGTGTTGAACAGGGATTAATGAATGAATTAACAAATAAATTAATGAATTCCTCAGAGGAACGTTATTACAACGTTATTACAACACACAGACCACCACTTTCACCCTGGGCTAATGTTGCTGTTACTATTTACAGCAGCCAAGATCAGTCTTCATTGGCTGATGCCTCCTCTTTTGAAACCTTGGGTCGATTCTCTCACGCATCATTATTGGAGAGACCAATGATATAGGGCTCCGTCTCTGATAATACGATATTTGACCCCATTTTTGTTGATTACCCAATTTTTCTCATTTGGCGCTTCCTTCACTCAAGAAGGCCACACACACACACCACACTGTCATCAGACTCAGTAATAGTAGTAGTAGTAGTGGAAAACTTATCCCTAAGGGAAAATTGGGTTTGCAGCCAAATTATGAAAAACATTATTACATTGTTGCCCAACTCTCCCCTTAAGACACGTCTTGGGCACTGACTTGGAGTCCTAGTGGTGGTGTGGTTGTCGTCATCCTCTGAGGACCTCATTATGTTGCTGTGCTGCTTCTGGACCGTGATCGCAATGGATCTGCAGTACTGTATCTCTGATCACAGTAAAGCTCCTAGTACTTCGTAGTATATCCATACTACCGTATTACTTAGAATGTAGTAATGCATTGGGCATGCATTTTAAGCAGTACGCTAGTATGGACATGAGAACGTAGCCACCCTGCTTTCCCAGCTCTCGAACAAATAACTTGCTCTGTTTGCCACGTCTCCTTGTCTACGAAGCTCCTCTCTATGCCGGGGTGACGATACGTCACCCTGTAAGGGTCCTCGCGGGTCCTCCTTCCGCCCCCCTTCTTGCGCTTATCGCATGCCCTTCCATTCTCTCCCCTGCTCCCTTAAAGTCCCGAGTCACTGGAGAACCCGTCAGAGCAGAGGTGAGTGTCCCCTGCAGCCTGGGGCTGTAGCCAGCGCTGTCTAACCAACCGCTAGCATGCTGCCTCCCCATCCATCCCCACCCCCCTGACACAACCACCCGCAGGTTGCAGCCTAACCTCTCACAGCACAAGGAAACAGTATTGGAGAGCCACACTATTCAATACTCTGGGCCCCATAGAGAAAGTATTGGAGGGCCACACTACTCTATACACTGGGCCACTTATGGAGACAGTATTATAGGGCCCCACTTATTTGTTTATCTGGATCCCCATTAGCTGTTGCAATGGCATCCAGGGTCTATTAAGACAGAGTAGCTCAGTCGTCCCAATCATCTTCAGCACTAGCAGCCAAAACACCATCCAGCCTTGCAATCTCTATGCAATGTTCTCCACCTTCAATCTCTATGCAATGTTCTCCATACAAGCCTAGCAATGCTCTATTTACTACTGCCATCTAGAGGCAATTGGGTGCACAGCACTTTATAAGCCTTTTTTTTTTTTTACTTCAATCGATGAGGAATAAAAGACGAGAACAAAACTCCATAACGTTAGTCTATTATTCATCCAGAAAGTAAGCCACCTTGATAGCATTTAAAATACTGCATACCTGCCTTGTTTCACATGCTGTCCTTAATTCAATTCAAACTTTGTCCCTGCAGGGAAATGTATTATGCAGCCAGGAGTCCAACGCATAATAAGTCTAGTCAATATAGTATAAATACAGTAGTATAGTATATCCTTATTCTGATGACTGGGGCCTTATTATTCCTGACAATCCATCCTGGTGAGGATTTATTTAACCTTGTCCCCAGGCTATTGCGCACAGAAGTCTGGTGCGTAACACTATGGCTTTGTCTGAAATGGCACCCTATTTCCTATATAGTGCACTACTTTTGACCACGGTCCGTATAGGGCTCTGTTCAAAAGTAGTGCACTATATAGGGAATAGGGTGCCATTTCAGACACAGCTTATGATTTATTTGGGGCCCTGGGTACTGTGAGGGTTAGGCCAGGGGAAAGGAGTCCAAATATTATATGAGTTTATCTACCGACCGTTTGTGTCTAGTGGGTTTCTTTGACACTTCATTCATTAGTCACTCTGTTTTGTTTGTTGTTCTTCAGTGAATTGAATGTGTCTTTTTAGAAAGGAAACTTTTCCCTTGGAAATCTTAAACTCAAATGTGGTTGCGGTGTATTAAGAGACGCATCCAATTCCACTTTGCACTCCTTCCTCTCTGCTGGGTCAAATACTGTACATGTGTCAACCCCCTGTTGGCCATACCTGAGCAGAAACCAAATTAGAAGCCTTAATTAAACAATCAGTTCAATCTCTTTACCCCTGTTAGCTCATTAGCAGTAGCCCCGTTTTTGGCCAGCCTGATGACAGAATCAAGTCAAATCAAACTTGATTTAAAGTGGATCGATTTAGGCGTAGTCTGCTGTAATTTTCTTCTCCTCTCCCCATGTCCTGTGAATAACCCCCTGTGCTCCCATGAGCCTCTGTCTGTGCTGACTTGTTTCGTATACGTGTCATGTCTGTCTCTTGTAATCTGTGTCTTGTGTTCCGTGTCGTTCTGTTCTGTTCTGTGTGCTTTCTGTCCTCTGTGTGCTTTGCCTGTGTTTGTCTCCGTTTTTTGTTTACGATCCTTTTGAAAACTGTGTAAGTAGTTGAGCCTTGTCGGCATCACAATACATTACAGCGATACCGATTGGTGACAAACACACACACACACACACACACACACACACAGGGGGAACCGTGGAGAACAAAGGAGCTATTTTTATAAATAGCATCCCTTCAGGAGTGTTTGTGTTTGAGGTCTGTACCAAATGGAGCTGTGTCTGTATGTGCATGAACATGTTCCTGTGTGTGTGCGAGTGCATGAATGTGTGTGTGTGTGTGTGTGTGTGTGTGTGTGCAAACCACCACCCCAGCTCCAGTCAGGCTTTGAGCAGCGGCCCCACTCTCCTAGAGCCGACACAGCTGTGACAGTGACACAGAGCACTCCTCCATAGGAAAAGCCAGGATGTCCCCGGGTCTCCACCCTTCTCCCCTCCACCCCTGTCCCCAGCTCCCTGACTCCCCCGTAGCACTGGCAGTTCAGAGACTATGATCAAACAGCACTTCAGACAGCTAGCTCCAAACCCCCCTGCATCCTGCCCCGGTCCCTCCCCACAACAACCACCACCACCTCACAGGAAGAACAGAGGAGAGCTACTGCACAGTTAACCCAGGAGAGAGAGATAGAGGAAAAGAGAGCTGGACATACCCAGGATGAAGTGGAAACATCATAGCTGATCCAATAGTCTTTACCTAATCTTCCTTTCACTGTCATCTTCTCCTTTGCCTCATAGGCAGCAGCAGGTTAAAGGACCTGAGAGGATTCCCACCATGACCCTGTCAAGTGCTTTCAGATCAGTTGTTATGAAGGAATCTAGGCAAGGAATTAGGATGCCAGTAGTGTATTGGGACAGAGCCATCACCGGCCACTACCATTTCGGATACACCCCGTCACTATCAACCTTGAATCACCTCTTGGGGTTCATACAGCCAACACAGCCAGTATGCAAACGTGCAAATTTCACGATCACCTAACTTCCTCTTCACTTCACTAACCATTGTAACTCTCCTCCCCCTCCCCCGCAGTGAGAAGGCCCTGCTGGTGAACAAGTTTGAACTGAGCATTAAGACAGAGGCCACCCAGGGCCTGGTGCTGTGGAGTGGTAAGGGCGTGGAGCGATCTGACTACATCGCCCTGGCTGTGGTGGATGGCCGTGTGCAGATGACCTATGACCTGGGCTCCAAGCCTGTGGTGCTGCGCTCAACGGTCCGCGTCAACACCAACCGCTGGATCCGCATCAAGGCCAGCAGGTAAGACGTGCGAACGTGACCGTGAACAGAAGTGGTTCACTACTCATGGTACACCCGTGGTTCCATGAACATTGTTGTTGTTGAAGTATAGGATAGCCTGTATTGGTGATATTTTGTTTTAGGCCAAATCCGCACTTCAACTTCACTTGAAAAGTTAACATTTGACTTAAGTGGAAGTTATGGAATTCACCCCTAAATTAATATTTATTTTAGTAATCATTTAGTGAAAGAAAATGACCAAACAGTGGAACAAAGTCATGAAATGTTCAACGTAAAGTTCAGCATACAGAGTGTATGGTTTTCATATTCGCTAGCTTTGGGTTAGCTTTTATGCCACAGCATTTAAAAGAAAGATCCTCTCAAAATATATTTTTGTATTTTTTTCATTAGTCCACTGTTAGTACTGTCCAAAAAATTCATGTTTCCTTTAAGTGTGAGGTCATGTGTTATGAATGTTATTACTTTGTCTGACATCTCTTCTACTCGAAGCACACTATGACATAAGTGCTTACTTACCACATAGTGAAGATTTGATTCCTTTGAATCCATGAAAGTTGGTCTCTGTAATTTAGGCTCAGTGCGATTGACAGACTGCTAAGTGACTGGCTGTGTCTGAAATGGCACCCTATTCACTATAAGGTACACTACTTTTCTGGTCGAAACTTATATAGGGAATAGGGTGCCATTTCGGATGCAATTTCTCTCTCCCATTCCCTCAATCAACTGCTAAGCACACAATCATCAGAGCAGTGAAGACTTGATTACTCTGTGAAGTCTTGATTTCTGCTACATGTCAGTTGAAGTGGAATTTACGATGATGTAGCAGACAGGCTGTAAACAAATGTTATCTTCCCCCCATCTCTCTCTCTCTCTCTCCTCTCTCTCTCTCTCTCTCTCTCTCTCTCTCTCTCTCTCTCTCTCTCTCTCTCTCTCTCTCTCTCTCTCTCTCTCTCTCTCTCTCTCTCCCTGCCTCTATCTATCCCCTCTCCCTCTACCTCCCCCCTTCTCTCTCACTCCCCTCCCTCTACCTCTCCCACCCGCTCTTTCTCCATCTCCCAATCTATTCTTCCTCCTCCCCCTCTCTTAGAGCACTTAGGGACGGCTCTCTCCAGGTGGGCAACGAGGCGGCGGTCACGGGGTCGTCGCCCCTGGCAGCCACTCAGCTGGATACAGACGGAGCCCTCTGGTTGGGTAGGTGGACTAATGAGCTTGCGTCTTGGGGTTTACACAGACAGGCAGACAGGCAGAAACACAGACAGAAACACAGACACTCACACAACCTCTGGTTTGGTTGGTTCTGCATATATCAATCTGTCAGACACTAAAATGCTGTTTTTAGAAAGAGCAAATGGCAAGTGAGGAAATGCTTATCAGAGCAGGTCTAACATTCTTCTAACAGTGCATAGAACATGGACTAGTGACCGAGGTACCGTTGAGCAACACATAGGGTTAACCTGAAATCCATCTCACATAGTACATTTCCAGCTGTAACGATGGTAGAAGTGTGCCAGAAATGAGGAATGCACTCACTCTGCATTGCAATGGATGACAAAGAACTCGCTGGCATGAAAATAATTGGTCTGAAATGTGAGATGATTGTCCAACTCTATTCATGTATTGGTTTGAGAAATAAAGCTCTCTGACTAACCTCAAAAGTTCTCTGCTCAAGGTTGGCCCGTTATCTTCTTAAGTTCCATTTGGCCTGAACTTCGCTCAGAGAAATGGCTTTTGAAAGAGCACACGCTGTGTCTAGATGGAACATTCGGAGGAAATAGAAAAAAATCACTTTCAAATGCATGTGGTCGTGCAATGTGGTGGGAAGGTGTATGTTTGAGCGAGGAGAGCCAGCTACAGGGACACATGTCACACATACACACACTATTTCTCTCTCACACACAAACACACACTAATGACACACCACACAAGCACACTGCTGTGGTTCCAAACAGGTGCTGAGCACACCCCGCGGCTAGAATACATTATCCTTTCAGCAGGCCGCTCCTCTCTTTTAAATCCCCCTCTTTCACCGCTCATCATTAATTCATCTGTAACTCGCATGAAATTAGCCCTGTCGATCCCCGAATCAGAGGCACGCAATCCGATTAGAGGGGACAGAGAGAAGAGACGGAAGGGGGGAAAGGGCTCGACGGAGAGAGGCAAACTCGCGGCGGAATAAAACGAGAGAAAGAGAGAGAGCGAGAGAGAGAGAGAGCGAGAGAGAGCGAGAGAGAGAGAGAAACGGCGAGTAATACAGGTGACATATCAGAAGGCCGACTCCCATTGAAAATGAAAGCAAGGTAAATTCCAGTGATTGTGGTAGCGCAGTCCTCCAGAGGACCACCGGTTTGATGTCCTGTTCACCAGAGCTTCATGTGTCTCTCTCTTCATCTACAGCCAGTGTCAACATCACACAGTAGTTAGTTACCCTTTGTGGCATGAAACATGTTCGCTTGTAGGGAGATGCAAGGGATGTGACCTCTATCTATCTGTGTGTGTGTGCATGTGTTTGTTGTGTGTCTGTCTGTCCATGCACCTCGGACACTGTAGGTCTCCTCTTTTCATGAGTTCTAAATCCCTCTCTCTCTCTCTCTCTCTCTCTCTCTCTCTTCCCCCCCTCATTCTCACAGGTGGCTTGGAGGAGTTGGCGGTGGCCCGCAGACTGCCTAAGGCCTACAGCACTGGCTTCGTGGGCTGTGTAAAGGATGTCGTGGTAGATGGCGTGGAGCTCCACCTGGTGGAGGACGCCCTGAACAGCCCCAAAATATTACACTGTTCCGCCTCTGGCACAGCCACCAAGGCCAAAAAATAGCCTGGCTAAAATCACTCCCTCCATAAACACCATGTCTACTGCTGTAATTATTTTATATTTTTGTATACTTTTCATTGCTTTTTATATTGAAAATAAAAAGAATATGTTGTTTTAATTTTTTTTTTTTTTTTTTATATATTGTATTTTAATTTTTTATCTGCGGCTCCCGTTCATTCATGATCCCTGCCCTAAAATGCAGGTGTACATACCATACATATACGCATACTTTTGTGTGACATCGCGAGACAAGTGAAAGCTGTATTCATTGTAGTGTTTTGTTGTTTTAAAACAAACATGAACAAAACCTCTCCCTCGCTCATTACTTGAACACTGGTGAATCACATTGGTGCTCTCTGTTATTTCCATATCATTCACTACCACCCAACACAGCCTATAGAAATACATACATACAAACATTCCCCTGTGAGATAAATACAGTAGAGACATACTGCTGTTAACTGGGTCATGGTCATTAGAGCACACTGTTACAAAACGTTTTACAACATTCTGCAACGGAAATGGAAAACGGGCATGTCTTATTGGGCAAGTCCAGGTTGTCCCGCCCTCTTTCAGTCTGTTTTCTTCTGAATGAACAGGACAATGGTATCCTAGAACCCTCTGCTTGCTACTGATAGGACACATATCAGTAGGGCTGAATGAGCTTCTGAAACCGCTTAATCAAACTCCTCTAACAGCGCAAATGCTCTACGTTGCCTCTGAATCAACGACTGAGTTTTGAAATACTTCGCTATTCGCAAACCCCCAGAGCCGAACAAAGACAAAGTGCCCTGCATTCCAGAACAACTTACATATCATCATCCACAACATGCATCAATCAAGAAATTTAATAATAATTGACATAAATAAATGTAATAAATATAGAGTATATAAATACCTGAGACTGTGAATATGTAAGATTGGTTCTCTTCTCAAGAATTGTGATTCTCATGTATTGTGCATTCTATTTTACAATCAGGATGACCACTAGTTGCATGCAGTTTCTGCAGTGTTGATTTTGTTTTGTTTTGGTTTCTCTGTGTTGCCGGCCAAGTGGATTACCTGTCGCAAACATGCTTTGTGTTTTACAAAATGGTTAAACTATTTTACTCTAATCTGATTTCACTGAGCTAGGAGAACTGTTTAATTTTTGGTGGGGTCCTTTTTTGAGCACTTGTTTTTCTATTGGAGCAGTTTGTTTTGCTGGACTTGGAATGGTGCAAAAGGACAAGTTGTTGTTGTTACCCCAACTGGCCTGGTGGGGGTGCTGTAAGCTCAGGCTGAAGAGAGGACAGACGAAGAGGAAGAGGCGAGAGACTGTATCATACCATAGGAGGCAATAGGACCCTCATATGTTCAGTCATGGAATGTTCAGTCATCAACGAAATTCTTCAATTTTTCAAACATCAAGAGTCAATTTTTTTCTCAAATTGGAATGAAGACTGGGTTATACTCTCTCTTGTATTAAGAGTGATCCATCTCTTGCTGTTGGAAAAGTGATCATGTGATAAGTTGGGACATTTGGCAGCAAAATTAGGAAAAAAATTGCAAACATAATCGCAATTACTAATAAACATACTTATGCATGGGTTTGTATTGTCGAGATGAATTCTGTAACATCCAAAAACTGATAATGCAATTCAAAAACTAAACTGCAATGACTGACATAAGCCCACTCTGTTTTGATATATAAGATACTTGGCAATATTATAAGACAAAACAAATGCTTGTTCAAGGTTGAGTATCAGTGGTATTGTACTAGTTTGTTTAAGTTCTTCATTATTTTCCCCTCACGAAACAAAAGCGGCCATTTTGTACAGCCCTGAAATTTGAAAGTGAAAATTGAGCAATGTGTAAAACTGGAGGTTGTTTTTAGTACTATACACTGGAAATAAGTCTGACTTGTCTGTTTACTACACACAATAATGATGTTCCTATGTCAATGGGGAGGGGAAGAACATCGACGCATATGGCTTTTGAGTGTAATCAAGGACTAGTGTCCAATCCAAGACCAGGAACCCTGTGTGTGGGCGTGTGTGTACACCACTGTATTTACATGTTGTATTACTGTTGAATTTGACCTATTCCAGTAGTTGTTCATAAGCAGTGGGCTCCTGTGTTAGTGGCACTCAGAAGACAAGTGGCACAGGCTCAAGTGTAAGATGACACGATCTAATGTCGGGGTGGTCAAAACTGTCTATGAATTGCCTTAAAACAGGTCAGCGGCCTACAGGTTGACAAAGTTGTTGTCCATACTGTTCTGTGCTCTTACTTTGGCCAGCATACTAGCCTCATCATCCCCATGTAAATTAATACATAATAATTATATTAATAATTCTCATACAAATCCTCAGAGGGCCACAAAAATGGTCGCCTTTGGCTTTACAAAAAATATACTATTTACTGTTTGAATCTATTTTCTGTTCCTTATTTATGTCTCATGTGGATTCCGTCTGGCCTCTGTAAACTACTGCTTGATTGAGACGCTCCTGAAGGGCAGTGCACCGAGTAAGAGTGGCATGACCTGACCATTACTAACTTTATTACCTTTGTCTTGTGTTCCTACCACCATGAAATAAAGTGTCAAACAAACAGACCTGACTCTGTCACCTGTCTCCGTGGAATTCATCCCCTTCCAGTTGAATGAAACGACATAAGGACTACTTAACACTTTCATAACGGCATTACCTAAACACTGATCAATTCCTACTGTTCACAGTAAGTCAATAAGGACAAAATGTGTTTACTTGTGCGTATTAAAGTGTTAAGCATTCTCCACAAACTTTAGGAAGTTACTCTTGGATGGTTTCTGTGCAGAATGAACTTATACACCTTATACACAATTCAACTACAGTCAAATAAGTATTTATTTAGGGCACACATTCTAACATACTACGTGCAGACAACTTACTCATTGATTCTAGGTTCTTGCAAGTATAGCCCCACAGATAATCATGGGTTCAAGACTACTAATGTAAAGATGGAATGTTAATGTGTGCTACTTGGGGTAAGACAATTAGATGGACAGGCAGCGATGCCATTCTCATTCAACTCAAAACGTCCAGCCAGCCAGTGCTAAGCACATTTCAAGATGTGTTATTCTTAAACATGCTGTGGAATACAGTTTTAAAGTAACTGCTCAGTGTTTCCAGATTTCAATCCCAAAATGTTTATGTTAAAAAGTGTATTTTCTGTAATGGAATGGTGTGGGCGTACCCCAACAACAGAATGGTGTGTTGGCGTATACCAGTCATAAAAAATATTAATGCAAGTAGACCGCTGATTGGCCAGCTCATCCTCCTTTAGACCGCTGATTGGCCAGCTCATCCTCCTCACGGAGATAACATCATGTTCTATGAGGAAATAGCAAGCATTTTTTAAACGGTCTGTTTGAGATACAAGTTTGAGGTGGGGTTTTTGAATTGTTTTTTCTCCAATTTATGCTTTGACCACATGAGTCGTTCCATGTAATTTCAGCAAGTCATGACACCCCCCATCTCAGATTGTTCTGACCATTTTTCTGTAGTTAGAAAGAGATAGGATTTGCATTCCTGAAACATTATTTCATTGACATTTTATTTTATCTCTGAGAAATTAAGCTACCGGTAATTAGGATTTAGTAAATATAGTACCCATCATCCAATTTGGGCCAAACTTCTTTCTACCAATGAGTAAGACATGAGGAATAACTAAAACAATTCTAAAGCCACCCACAGATGCCCCACACCACATGCCAATTCCACCCCAGCAACCAGTATACACTATCAGTTCACTATGTTTGACAAGTAGTATGAAGCTGTAGTTTGGAGTATTGCTTCTCCATACTCATTGGTAGGAAGAAGTTTGGTCCAAATTGGATGTTGGGTACTATATTTATTGAATATGATATGAATCCTATAAATTAAAATGGCCAATTTGGGTGCAATCAATTAGCTTAATTTCTCAGAGATCAAATTATATTTCAACAAAATAATGTTTCAGGAATGCTAATTGTATCTGTTACTAACTACAGAAACAATTTCAGAACAATCTGAGATGGTGGGTGTCGAAATCCTCTTTCTTGTGCCTTTTGTGATAGAATGACCCACATACAGTACGAGTATAAGACAAGTCAACATTATTTGGATACGAGTTAACATAATATGAACTTTTAACAGTGAGATTTTCACTGGGCAGTTACTTTCAATTATATTTTTTACAAAGGTCAAAGTGGATTTATGAATTATGCAACAATGCCTGACCTTTTCCAACTGAAAGGTCATCAGCAGATCTTCTGAGCAGCAGAGGAGAGGCGGCTAGCCTGGAAATGTGAGAAAAAAACGGCATCTCATCCATGAGCTTTTCTCATGACTTCTATCTGCAAAAATACAAACGCACTGGGTTTGATTTCTGCGGCCCAATGTAAAATCATGATGAAGTGATCGGAGCTCGGATGAGAGGGCTCTTTTCTCTTGGGAAGGGGGGTTTCTAGCTAGGCCCTGGTTGGCTGCAATAAAGGCTCTATTTTTCTGTCCGTAACAAGGCCCTAGCTGTCCTGCTCCATAGGATTCGATGTGAGTCCCCTTTGTTTCTCTTCCTGGGATTTTATTTTGGACCAGAGGAGTCTTAAGTCTTCGGGCGAAAATGTCAAAAGGTCAGCCTGGAACCAATCACCTCGGGACAGAGAGGGAACAGAGAGCGAGGGGACACTAAACAGGGTCTTCTTTATCGGTTTTGGCCTGGCTCTAGGGGACCGTTCAATGCTGCTGAACACTGAGCTCGAGTCGGCGTACACAGTCACCCCATCCCATTGGCTCTTTTTAGAGGTTGTGTCCCAATCCCTTTTCATGCACGAGTTTGCTCTCCTTTTTATAGGTTGTGTCCCTGTCGTTGTTCACACTCTCCTACAGTGCATTCGGAAAGTATTCAGACCCCTTGACTTTATCTACATTTTGTTACGTTACAGCCTGAATCTAAAATGAATTAAATTATATTTTTCCCTCATCAATCTACACACAATACAAAAACAGGTATTTATAAAATTTTACAAATGTATTAAAAATAAAAAACTGAAATACCTTATTTACAAAAGTATTCTGACCCTTTGCTATGACACTCGAAATTGAGCTCAGGTGCATCCTGTTTCCATTGATCTTC